ACAAAAAACACCAATATATATATATATATATATATATATATATATATATATTATATAAACATATATTAAAACCCTAACAATTTTGGTGTTTAACGACAAAAAAACTTCGCTAAAAGCATCATATTATATTATTATTATTATTATTGATAAAATTCTAAAAACAATATATATATATATATAATCCTACCTGTTCTTTCACTTTGACTTTCTGGATCTTTGATTTTTCACCCTTCCTTTCAAGAGTTATATCATGTTCGAGCTCTCCCCTGCCCCTGCCCTGCCCCCTTAAAAAACATGTTCATTCAGAGCAGAGGAAGAAATAAAACACCTTCCTTGAGCTATGGATAAAAGCTCTCAAACAAACTAACATGTATGATGGCTCCTCGTATCGCATCTATCTGCTGCTGCTTCTGAACAGATCACAGTGAAGAAACCGATTTCACCCATGAGTGCGTAGAAGAAGGGTCTGTTCTCAACGACACTCCGGTTAGAAGGGTGTCACCGCGAAAGTAGCCACCCGAAGCATCATGCTCACCATGTTGTGTCTACGAGATTAGCGTGAAAATCTGCGTCCGGTTCTATGCACTCCTCGGGCATGTATTTCTCCGCTTCTTTCGCTGAGAACATCAAGAAAACCAAGTGAACTGTCAGGGAGAGGAAAAGAGGTAGAGAGGGAAGTGAGAAGAAAGGCGTCCAGGCAAGAAACCATGGCTTCACTGATCGATCAGGGAGAGGTACAGAGAGGAATGAGAGCCATGCCATCTTTTCTCAGCAAAACACATAGATGATGGAGAGAAACACATGACATCAGAAGAGCAAGACAGCGTCCAGTTCGTTTTTTACTACATGATCGGTCATAAATATCACGACAATCCAAACAGACATGTGTATATGTATGTCCAATATCTTGATCTCGACGTCGTAATTTAGACGCTCCGGTTCACGTGAGGTCAAAGTGCGTTTGGCGTTTTCATAAACGCAGACGCCTGTAAGTAGTTTCAAGTTCGATGTTTTCTCCCTATATATGTTTGGATTCCATTTAAAACCTTAACGACATAAGTGAATCGAAGAAGGCATGAACACAGAAACGTTTAGAGAAGACATGAAACACAAGAGCAGATAATAGCCAAGGAGACAGTTGCGTGTAAAAAGATAAAACAGAGATTCTCCAAGAGATTTTGGTGAATACGAAAGACCTGTCCGACTACTATAATCTCATCCATTGGCATTGTTTTGTCCACAAAGCACAATCTTTTGATGTCTGAAACTAATCATGTTTTTATTCAAACCCAGAATCCAACAAAAGCTAAGCTCTCTCTGGAACCCAAGTATTCACCTATCCTCTTTACAAATCTTACACATAACGAAAGCTTCTTCTTTACCTATGAGTTGTGGGTGTATGTGGCATTGGATATGGTAATGGAGCCAGGTTCATGGGTGCACCAGGAACCACTGAGCCAGGGATTGGAGGAGCACGAACACCATAAGCCATGTGAGGTGGAGCAGGAAGGTTCACAGGCGTGCCCACGGCTGAGACGAGTGGTCCACCTCCTCCTACTGGTTGGCCTATCCCATACGTGGGAGAGACTGGAGATTGCTGAGAAGCGGTTTGCTTGGGTGGGTTTGTGGAACTGGTTCCTGCACTAACAGTGCCACGACCATCGTTGTTCTGACCTGTGAGTTGTCCCTGCGGTGATGAGATGTCCCCGTTTCTGATACTGGTGATGTCATGAATGCTTGACCGCCTTCTGTCCTTGTTCAAGGAGTTGAGACGGATGAAGTACTTTTGGGCATGGCTCGCGACCTGGGTTGGGGTTCTTGTCACCACAAAGTTACGAGAAATGCTACGCCAGTCGCCTTTTCCGTACTTATCCAAACCCAGAAGAAATAATCTGTTTGCAGACAGACAAGAAAAATAAACCGAAATAAGTAGAGCCCATCAGAGCTATGGTGGTCTACAAGTGTTATACACCCGACTGTTTTAAGTAGCCCAAGAGTGTCCTGAAATCTAACTTTTTATATAAAATACAGGATATGATTAAATCTGTCAAAACCCAGTTTCTTTCATTCAGTCTTCTGATGAAAACAGCAAAATAAGCATATGAAGGCAATCCAAGCAACGTTCACGAAACTGCAGACTCGAGGTAACTGTTCCATTTTTCATCTTCCTGATAAAAGCTAATCGCATATGGAATGGCAGAAAAGCAAACAGAATAGCAAAATGGGGCTCTTTCTCATAGAAGATACGCTAACCCTTTTCACATTTCAATTTACTGATGAAGCACTAAAGATACAGCAAGGTAAAGGGATTCTTTAAAGTGCTTAAGCTTTGGCTAATAATCTCCCATACCACCTCCTCCTAGTTCCATACCAAGCTGTAAATTTTCTAAAATCTGCTGTCCAACTTACTGTAGACAGTTAAATTTTAGCCCGGCTCACATGTTAATATCATAGTTAGAGAGAGATTTCACAGCAACGTCTTCATACAAGAAACAGACACTTTTAAGATTACATCAGCTTTCCAATGGCTAATCTGTGATAGAGCTACCAGTTCTAGACATCATCCACCACTCATTTTATCATTACATTCACGAATCACATCTGGAAATTGATACCATCTCCCACTAATCTCAGCTTCTAATCATACCCCCAACAATTTCCACGTCAAAAGTTAAAAACAAAATAAAAATTTAACTTTTAAGTAAATTCTTCTTATTCCTTTTTCCCGCAGGAAGAGAATCCAAGAGAAACAAGGACACTTACCCTATACCAAAATCTGCCCTTCCATTTCTCATTCAAGTTCTGGGAAATGGGTGGACAAACAACCTGAAAGGATCCACAACTGTGCCTCACCAAGGATCCACAAAATCCAATACATCAACATCAACGTCGCTTTAATCCCAAGTTGATCCACAGAATCCGATATCTAAGCAAAAGCACTTACTAATTCCAGACATACAGATAAAACATATGCAATAGGGATAAGATGTAACTCAATTAAAAAAAACACATGGAACACTAGTTCATCAAGACTTGCCATCATTATGGAACCAACAAGAAAAGCACAGATAGATTAGTAGCACAAGGAAATTTCACCTGTGTTCCTCCTCCGTCCAGGCAATCCCTTTCCGCCGCTCTTGCTCTGTCTTTGATTTACCTCCTCCATGGTTGAAGTCACCCCCACCCTTCTTATCAGTTCCTCCTCCATCACCCACATGGCCATTTGAACCCTCTGGAGAACTATAAGCAGGAAGAGGCACACGCCCTGACTCAATACTATTGATATCTTCAACTAGAAGCTCATAATGCCCTTTGATCTGATCCGGAGTTTTTCCAGGAACATCTGCGGCGATTTTCTCCCACCGATCCTCAGTTTCATCAAGATGATTCACAAGAGCATTCTCAAAAGCAATATCATCCTCCCTACTCCATGTAGAACTACCACTGACCTCATCCACGGTCATTTCCAAGCAAACCCACCACAATTCCAAAGATACCGACCTTATACCTCTCCCAAAACGTGGAATATAACCCACGCTTCCGCGAAATTCGATCTTTTTTTTTCAAAAAATATCAATAGAACTTAATATTTTGACTAAATTGCTCAGAAATTCAAATCTAGATTACACCGCATGCGTAGGAATAATCAGAAAAAAAAGGATGAGAAGATATCAGCGAATCCAACACGCGAAGAGATTAAATCGGGATCTTCCCCGCTTTTTCAACTCCAAAGCTTCACAAAGTTTCTACTGACGAACTATGAGACAAAAAGACAGCATCAGCCGGAGAGCGAGTGATGATGATCTTATCTTGTCTAACTGAAGCAAGAAGGATTGTCGCGAGGTGAAGCCACAAAGGGGATTGAAGTGAGGAGATGGGTATTGCACGGCAGACAAATGCGAATTCGCAGGAAATTAGAGGTTTTTTGAGGAGTGTTTCTAGGGATTGAGACAGGTGAGGGGAGGAAAAAAGCATAATCGAGAGAGAGAGAGAGAGAGAGAGAGAGAGATCAAATCTCCATTGCCGATGTTCAAAGGAAAACGGTGTTAAGACTTAACCATATGATAACGACAGTTTTTCACAGCTCAGGCTCGCTGTGTTTTTTTTTTTGGACAACCCCCAAAAAAATACTAAACTTTACCACTTTCTAAAATTAAATCTCATATTTAAAACGTTATTATAAAACCCTTTCTAAGTCAACTTCAACGTTATTATTGTCACCTGTCTATCACCAGTTTGGCTTTGGTTGATTTGCAACTGAACCCACCAGGCCAAAATCGAAACCATCTGTTTCTAAAGGAGACTTATTTGGTTAATAACCAAATAATCGAACCGAATAACATATAACCATAATTGAATCGAATGAGATGCAAAATTGAATGGTTATGAATTTTTTAAAACCGGAAAACCGAACCCGAATCCGAACTGAATAAAAAAATAATCGAAAAACCGTAAATTCCTTTAAGAAAATGAATATTTTTATCATAACCGAACCGAATGTAATCGAATTTAATGTAAAAACCGAACGGTTATCGTTTTTCTAAAATCGAAATAATCAAATCCGAACCAAAACCCGATTATCTTCGCTTGCCAAATACATATATGTATATGTATATATATATAACCCAATGGATACCTTACTACAAGAAGAGTACATAGAATCAAAAATAGTATCATTGTTTAATTAGGCTCAAGCAAAGGAAGCAGAATGGCCTGTAAATGGAGGAGAAGGTGCAGCCTCGGCTTTAGCCGATCAATCTCACAATGTCTAGGTTGGCTTCTTCATCATAGCAACAAATTCTTCAAAGTTGATTTCTCCGTCCTGTTTGACACAACCACAAGCCTGAATGTCTGAATAGAGGAAGTCTGAGTTGGTTCAAGAACGAGATATGATCCCGAAAGACAGGAGGAATTAACACGTGAGGAGAAGATGTACGTTATTGGTGTCAACTTGAGCAATGATCTCTTTGATGCTTTCCTCGTCCCCCATGTTGTATTTCTTCAGGGCTCGCCCCAACTCTTCCATGGTTATGTGCCTATATATATGTATAACACACAGAGGGATGAAGAAGCCGTCTCTACAGCCCCACAGAAACACAACCGTCGAATGATTGTTACCCGCTATCGTCGTGGTCAAAGTATTTGAAGGCAGTTTGGAAGTGGTCCTCTAGTTTTATCCCATTGATATCGATTGTGCCTGATATAAACTCCGAGTAGTCTACCATTCCATCTCCATCGAGATCAGCCTGAGATTTTCCGTCATCTCTACAAGTTTAACCTCAGTTTTCTAGGAAACGGTATGTCGTATCTATATATATACATGACTTACAGCTTCCATCAAGTCTTTTATTTCAGCTTCTTTCATGGTAGAACTCAACTTTGATTTCATCTCCTCCAGGCTGATCTTCCCACTCTGATCACTGTCTAAAGATTCGAAAATCTTCTTAAGATGCTTGAGTTCTTCTTCGGAAAGCTTCTCTGCAATAACCTGAAAATGTAAAGGAGAACACGGCATGAGCTCGGAACAAGAGAACGCGAGATTATGACAATCATCAGCTTTCAGCTATCGTTTCGGTCTTGCCATTAGGGCTACTCTTTTTAGTTTGTTCGTGGCCTGGAATGTTTTCATCCTTGACAAAATGGTAATGTCAAGCGGGTCATCAGACGCCACCCCGTCCTCTCTCAGCCATTCATTCTCTGCAGTACCAATGGCTCATCACTTGTTTTCCACAAGAAATATCGATTCAGAACCGATGATAATAGTTTGAGTCTGGCTTACCTAGCAGCTCACTAGCCGTGGGCCGCCTTCTGGGATCGAATTGTAACATTTTCCTCACAAGACTTTTGGCGCTTTCGGATACGCAAGGCCAAGGGTCTTTTGAAAAATCAAGTTGTCCGCGGATAATGGCGTCGTATATGTCCTCTTTGGTTGCAGATGTACAGAGAAAGATCGATGAGAAATCGAAAGAGAAGACATTTACGAAAATCAAATGTAAACGAGAAAAGAATCATACCTCCAGAGAAAGGCGGGTAGCCGCAGAGAAGCACGTACAGAATCACTCCAGCACTCCAGATATCCGCCTCCGGTCCATACTTCTTAAGTATAACTTCTGGAGCGATGTAGGATTTGGTTCCAACTGGATCCTTAAAGATCTGACCTGTACCAAGTTATCAATCTCAGTGACAAGACACGCTATGGAATCGGATTTCACAATCATGTTTGGCAAAAACAGAACAGCGAAACATGACCCTTGTCGGGGGGGTCTATCAGAACCACATTCTGAATAGATGAGGATGGTAATACCTGTCTGGAAGAAGACGGAGAGACCAAAATCTACGGCTTTCAATGGGGAATTGGCCTCTTCACTCAAGAATCGAAAGCTCTCGGGCTTCAAGTCTCTGTGCATCACGCCGACGGAATGGCAGTCACGCACCACAGCGACTATCTGCCTAAACAAATTCGCAGCCGTTTTCTCCGAGTAATGCGCTTGATCCTTGACCCAATCGAACAATTCCTTTCCCCGACACAGCTCCATGATCAGATTCACCGAGCGTCTGTCCTCACAGGCTTCGTGCAGTTTCACGATGTTCCTACACTTTCCGATCAATGATCAAAGCCCAAGGGTATTCCCAGTAAAGGGTAAACGAAGCGCTTACCCTTTATCGGCGAGTCGGGTCATGACGTCGACAAGGAGGCGGACGTTGACGAGGTTGTCGGAACGGGTGAGGAAGCACTTGCGGAAGGACTTGCAGGCGAAGGGTCGTTTGGTGGTTTTGTGAGTGATGAGGAAGGTGCCGCCGGAGGGACCCTTCCCGAGCTCACGGACCACCTCATAAGACTTGCGAAAGTCCTTCTTCATCGACGGCTCCAGCAGCCAGACGGATGAGCTCTGCTTGTTCCCCATCCCTCACCCAAAGTCAAAAGATTCTCTCAGATCCAGCATGAGCTTCATGAAGAACCCTTTGGACTTTGTTTAATTTTTTTTTTTTTTAAATCGCAGTCATTTTATATAAATATTCGTGGTCTACAAATCCAAAAAAAATCCTAAAACTTTAGTACTTACTAAAATTAAATTATATTTAAATTTTTCATTTAAAACTCTCAACTATACATGCGGACCTTGCACAGAAAGAGCATAAGAATTTTCTATTTATTTTTTTGGTTTATTTATTTTCTATTTATTTAATTTTCAAATCCTAACTATATTGTAATTGAAAAAAAAATCATAAATTCACTTTTTCTCCGTGTTCTTCGTAACCCCTTTTTTTATACCATTTTTTAAACATATTCTGAATTTTTTACAGATTTATAATTGTTAAAATGAGGTAATTTCTTAACACTACTCTTTATTCTAACCTAAAATCTACTGTTTGATTATGCCAAACATCTAGGATACGAATCCAGTATCCATAAATTGCAATTGTTAATTCAATGTCCAAAAACGGACCGAACGAATTATAATGTGAGTTGAATCATCAAAACAACAACGACATATATTATAAAAACTTAATTAAAATCTATATATATTAAAAATTGTGTTTGAAGACTTTTCATGAAGCCACCTCATCATTCATGTGGCATCTTTTATTTGGAATTTAATTTATATGGTATTATGTGGCATCTCAAAATATCTAAATAAATAATAAAATAAAAATATACCAAAAAATCGTGGTAAAAAATTCATTACCCACTAATAAAATGAAAAAAAAAACGCATGCTATTCATTGACCAACTACACCATATTTATTATTATGGTAAATGTATTAGTCCACTACATTGATGATTGTTAGAGAATGGGGCAAACGAAGGGCCAAAAAAATTTCATATTCCAACGGCAATTAGATATTAGTATGACATTCAAAGTTTTTATCCACTTTCCTATAAAAATATAATTATTTCTTTACAAATAAATGATTCATTAAATGTTATAACATATACGTTGCATATTATAAAATTTCTCTCTTCTCTCTTACTATTTAAACGACAAAAACAAAATCAGTACCCATGTTAATTGATTTGATCGCAGATGTCATATCACATTAGTGTATAAGCCATAATTTTCCCTTGCATTGGAGTCCAATTGATATAATATCATTGCGTTTTATTTATTTATTTTCTATTTTCTATTTCAGGAACCAACTTCTTCGGACGCTTGACAAGCCTTCTTCATCAACGAGATTGAAAGAAATGGTTCACATGGAGAGTTTTGTTAATTGCAGCTGGATTTGGAATCAAGTTGTCATTTGTTAGCTATCTAAATATTCCCGTTCGGAACAAAATTATCAACTTCACTTCTTGAGAGTCCTTCGCAAAAGGATCTTAACATAGATAATTGTGTGGCTCTTCAGGTATGATCCATCTAATTACGTGAGTAAAATGTTTCTGAGTCTTGAAGCATAATTATATCCCTTTACCATTCAATTAGTCATATTCAGGGGTTCAAATGCTCCATTTTTTTTTTAATTATGAAGTTTTTTTTTTAAATTTTTGAACCGTGATGTTTTGAAAAGGTGCATTTGCAATGGACTGTGTGAATCTTGGAAAACCTCTACTCAAGATTTCAACTTCTCCTCTGCATACATTGGCTAATAACAATAAAAGTTCAGGTTATACTCCATTAACCAAAGTTTAAATATGAAAATTTTGAAAATAATTAACATATATTAAGACTTGATACATATTATCAAAACCTTCAGTTTTTTTATTCGAGGCAATATTTTAAACTCTTTCTTAAGTTTTTCGGTTCAATTTCTATATGCTTCACAACTTCTGATTTGAAAATAACTTTTTCAAGGTAAGAATGAACTATTCAAATAAAATGAATTAAATTATAACAATCCTATCATTGGAATTCTGCATTTTTTGTAGGTACATAGAAGGATGAATACAACAAAGTGGAGTGAGTGTGCCGAAACTCTAAAAAAGTTTTCCCCCTTTTCCATTCTACAGTTTCTACCAAAGGGTATATCATTAGACACATTGTTTGGTTTAGAAGATATTGGCGTTATTATGACTTGTACAAGTATGATGGTTTCCCTTATTCAATGTGAATTTTTTTCTTTTTATTAAGAAAAATATATATCTCGTAGGAACATTTTCCTACAAAATTTTTATGGAAGGTTAAGTTTAGAAAAAAAAAATAGAGAAATAGAAAAAGATGAATGTTATTTTTTTTAAGTATTGAGTAATTTTTTTTTATAGAAAGGGGGGTGAGGAGAAATGACACTCAAAGTATAATAGCAGATCCACGTATATTAACATAATTTTTTAAATGACAGTTTTTTGAATTTACATTGGTTTAATAATATCCACGTATATTTTTTACTTCTTTTCTAAATAATTCAAATTTGTATTAAAATAGTTTAACATTATAATAGAAACTAATACACAAATATATTCTTTTTTATCAAATAAATACTCTATATTATTTTTTCCTAATTTAATATCAACAAAATTTATCACATCATGATAATAAAGTTTTAACATAAAAAATTTATAAAATATTATTACTTTATAAGTTAGTCAAGTTAACCAATATTTTATTTAAAAACCCTATTTAAATTATCCATTATAATAGAACTTAATAAAAAAATCTATTTTCTAACTTATATTAACGTTGATGTGATTTAGTGATCTTAAGAACCAAAAATAAAAAAATAAAAAAATGATAAAATTTAAGGTCATTTAATTATTTTTAATTCCATGCATTGTGCATTTCTCTTTTAATTCTTACTTTGAAAGTTCGTGAAAAGCTTCATGATTAGTAAATATGTCACCGTCACTTATTTGATACTTGAGAATCGATTTTCTCATGAAACACATTCAAAGATCAATGGAAAACCGCTCCCCAAAATGTCTGAACTGTGCAAACACGCGAAAGAGTTCAAAAACCGGTTTTCCTCATTTCATATACAACATGTTGATAGGAATTTTATGAATATTATTTTTTAAATAGTTATAATAGATTTTATAAATATTATTTTTTTAATTCAGAAATGAATAGATATCATTGATTTCTTTTTTTCTTAAAATTTGGTTTTGTTTTGATATCCGTAGATATTAAAATATTTTTTAGTATAAATACGATATTAATGAATAATAAAAATTACAAATTAAAAAAAACTTATAAATAATAAAATTTCATCTTCACTGGAAAATTAGTAATATTCTTCAAAAACAAAATTCATCATGAATTTTTATCTATAAATATTTTAATCTTATAAAATTAGAAAACACATCACGAATGTTTTTTTAATTTAGATGAAATTCATAAAAAATAAAATCTTTGAGAAAAAATTATAGAGATTTTTTTTTTTACCTTTGAAAAGAAATTCAAATATCTAGGAAAAATAGATAAATCAAACAGAAAAAACTATAAAAAATAGAAAGAGAATCACATAGATAAAACTTTCGGTAAATAGATGAATTTATTTATAAATTCTACATATAATTTATTTATATGTTTATTATTATTATACAAAATAACAAACTTATTTCATAATATTTAGAACAATAAAAAATATATGATGGAATATATTTTTGATCAGAAATTTTAAAATTCTATCACACAATAACTGATATAAATTAATGGATGATAACATTTGTATCGTTCCACAGAAAGTATTATTATTGAAAAAAATGACGATGACGTTTGTAATATTCCCAAAGTGAATTTTTTTATATATTTATACTATGACATGCTATAGTTGACTAAAAAATAATATCTACTAGATTTCTCAAACCACCAAAGATAATTAAAAAAAAACATATCATTAGATTTTAAAATAGATATACTTTTTGTTGTATATATTATTGGAATACCAATTATTATCAACAATTAAAGATATTGGCTCTGTTTTGTATATAACTTTAACCGAAACCCATAAGTTAGACTTAAAGAGATATCAAGTCGAATCATATTTTATGCATATTTGCACGAGTTTATTATACAAATCACTCGGAACAAGAGATCTAGGAAAGAACACATCGTTGACAGTCTTATTTGAAATTATTTATGCCTTTTATACATTGGACTTCACTCTCTTTGTAGTTATTTACTTTGAAAATTGTAGTTGTGGATTTCCACGTTATAAAAATAACTTTAAAATTTTATCTCCACTTATTATTAAAAGATTAAGTTTTCAACATTTTAAAAAGAAAAATTGCCTAAAATCACATTTTTTAAAAAGAAGTTCATATAAAATCACCAACATCATTATTTACGAAGATTTTATATAGATACAAAACTCAACCTATCCAAAAATTTCATAACAATTTTAAACATTTTTTAAATAAATAATAACTACAATATATAATAATATCATTTTGTTATTAACTTATCTTCTCACCATTTTTATGTTCCTAATCCACACAATATAATATTAATTTTACAGTGATTTAATCATATATATATATATATATCTCCTACATCAAACAAATAATCTATATAAATGTTTTACTATATTCATATCAATATATTATAATAATATATTTAATAAAAAAACCTATGCATCAAACAAATGTCTTTACTTTGTAATCATTTTTGGATGTTTTTACGTGAATTTACTAATATAAATTAAAAAAAATTGTTAAAATCCTTTCTATAAAATAGTACCATTATCTTTTTCAGAATAATATGAAACCATGAAAAACAGAATTATTTTTACTTTTCTTACATAAAGATTTATTTTTTGTTTTAATTTTATATATTAAAATATATATATGAAAATTTATGTTTGTTACATATGATTTTTTTATAAAAATAGTGAACGAGAAACTTAGGATGTATTTTATTTAATTTGATTGATATATAATTAAAATATAACTTTATTGTAATTAAATAATTAAATAAATAGAATTATGTTATTAAAATTCATCTCTCTCTCTGTTCCATTGAATTCCTTTGAAAAAAAGAGCCTGAAAACAAAATACAAAATCACAGGGAAAAAGTTTCGATTGAATGCGTAGGTATTTCAGTTTCTGTTCCGGTTTTTCCCGCCGATTTTGGCATTTCGATCTCAACTTCGGTATGAAGAGTGTTCTTCTAGATTCGAGTTCGAGTTCTGCGTTGGGTAACCTGACCACAGATGACTCCGACATTGATTTCGTCGACGTGTTCGGTGGCCCGCCGAGGAGACTGTCATTTCTCCACGACGTCATGCGCCACAGCTTCAGCGAAACCGCAGTCGGAGACGGAAGTAGCGGAGCTCTGATTTCACGGAGGTCCATGTAGCTCGGCGAGTCCTCCGAGAATATTGTATAATATTTGTTTAGACCACTCATAGAACAATGACGATATTGTGATAAAAGATGATTAACATATGTTGAATTTTCAATAACGTACATATGAAATAGTATTGGTACATATTAGACTACGACAAAACAAGGAATCACTATCGGTTTAACAAAAAAACAAGATATATCATACCATTGCCATCTACTCAGGATAATATACAATATAATACTTCCAAAGAAATTTTGAAGGTTTATTTTCGATGGAAAAGTCGTATAACACCAAAGGTCAGATCAAACCTTCCAAAAACCGGAGACACTCTATCTCTCGAGATGCTATGTTTTGTTAGGGTTCTTTTTTTTGTTGCATTAATGATTTTTTTTTCTATTTCATTATCTGTTTTTTTCATGCCATATGATGTTTTGGATTGTATATAAAGTTGGTAATATGTGTATGTGTAACTGGCTTTCAAGAACAACATCAAATATTTCCATTATAATTACTCCAAGTAATTTAAACTCACATATTTAATTTACAAATTAATTTATATTCATATTATTTTGATATATCTCTTCTATATAAGAAATTGTTTGACACGGAAGAAATGAATGATTGGATATTAAATAATAAAATTTTAAAAAATATATATAAATATAAATTAATAAAATATAATGAGTAATTTTCTAATATATTCATTCATCTTTTTCTTTTCTGTATATATCAATATATAACTTTTGATATGTTTATATCAATGATTTTCTATAATAAAATAGCAAATATTTTATATTGACAATAAAAATAATAAACCGCGCATCGCGCGGTTCACACCTAGTAATTCTTAAAAGGGTTGAAGTTTATGTAGAAAGGGTTTTATCTTTCCGTTTATGATTTTTTTTTTTACTTAATTTGTATAGTTGAGAGTTTTAAATAAAAAAAATTGGTGGTATGAGATTTAATTTTAGTAAATTGTAAAGTTTAGAATTATTTTTTGGAATATCCCTTTTCTTTTTTCTCTCTTCCCGTTTTCCCGTTTTATGTATGTACCATTTAGTATCGGCGAAATGATATAAAAGCAATTATAATTCTATTAACATAATAACATAATCTCTAACTTTTGTTGATAGCTCCCATCAAAATATATTTAAAATCTGGAATTGTTTATCTTCGAATTTATACTTTTTTTTAGTGTTGGACTCAAAAATTCATTTAAAAAAAATTAATTTTTTCTTTTATTTTTGTATCAGTTTAGAGGAAGATAAAACCCGAGAATACGAAAATTATGATGCTTTATCTGTCTATAGAAAACGAGTTAAATCAAAACGAAAACTTGATATGGGTAACCCTACAAATGAATGAAAACTCTTACAAGGAGATTCACAAACTGAATATGCAAAAGCCATTTGATCATATATATGTATATACACACACACACACACACATATACGTATATATATATATATATATGGGAAAAAGAGTAAATGACACAAACCATCATCTTTTTTTTTTTTTATTTATAATTATTCTAAACACGAAATGGGGGGCCAAGCCAACAGGTTTGGTGTTTGGGAATGTGTCAAAAGCCAACATATTATCAATGATGAACATAAACCGACAACAATGCAAAAGAGTGAGAGCACCTCTCTGAGAGCTCTGTTACAAACTTGGAAGAAAGATAACAAATGTCCTTTTCCTTCTTCTCCAAAAACCTAGCGTTTGCTTTCGGACTTTTATTTCAACATTATCCCCTGCAAAATCCCAAATTCTGACCTCCTTAAAATCCAAAAAACGACGACCCTACATTGCCAACACAAGTGATGATGGTGTATTGTTCTAACTCTATATTAACCAGCATCTTAGTTGGAGACTAGTGGAGATATATCGGTTTTAAACAGAAATAAAGTTCCTTACCAGATTCGTTCTTTGATCTTTACTTGGTCATTCTGACAGGAGGATGAACTAAAACCTTGAAAACAGGATTAGATGGAAGCTGAGGCCTAGGAAGCAAACCTGAGTACAAGAGCTTAAGCAGCAGCCTGCAGCAACTCCCTTTCAGCACGCTCCCTGATCCTTCTCTCGAGCTCTGGCCTGAAATGCCGTATCAGACCCTGGACGGGCCATGCAGCCGCATCACCCAACGCACAGATTGTGTGTCCTTCTATCTGTTTGGTCACCTCATGGAGCATATCGATCTCTTCAAGCTTTGCATTTCCAACCTTCATTCTCTCCATGATCATCCAAAGCCAACCAGTGCCCTCTCTGCAAGGAGTGCACTGCCCACAGCTTTCATGCTTGTAAAAGTAAGAGAGCCTTGCAATGGCATCCACAACGTCGGTGGACTTATCCATCACAATGACAGCTGCTGTTCCTAAACCCGATTGGACAGCCTTGAGCGCATCGAAATCCATCAGCACATCCTCACATACGTTCTTAGGGATGAGAGGGACCGATGAACCCCCGGGAATGACAGCAAGTAGATTGTCCCATCCACCTCTAACACCTCCACAGTGCCTCTCAATCAGTTCCTTGAGAGGTATGCTCATCTCCTCTTCAACCGTGCAAGGTTTGTTCACATGGCCTGATATACAAAACAACTTCGTTCCAGAGTTATTCTTCCTACCAAAACTTGCAAACCACTCTGGTCCACGCCTTAAAATGGTGGGTGAAACAGCCACTGTTTCCACGTTGGTAACAGTGGTAGGACAACCGTATAAACCAGCGTTGGCAGGGAATGGTGGCTTCAACCTGGGTTTTCCTTGCTTCCCTTCAAGGCTTTCTATAAGTGCGGTCTCCTCACCACAAATGTATGCCCCAGCACCAAAGTGAATATAAACATCAAAGTCATAACCAGATCCACACGCATTCTTCCCTAAGAGACCAGATTCATATGCCTCTTTTCTGGCCTTCTCCAGATTTTTACGTTCATTCACGTATTCACCTCTAATGTAAATGTATGCAGCTCTAGCTCTCATGCCCACACCAGCAATCAAACACCCTTCCAATAATTTGTGTGGATCGTGCCGCATGATTTCCCTATCTTTACAAGTTCCAGGTTCGCTCTCATCAGCATTCACAACCAGATATGATGGGCGACCATCGGATACTTTGGGCATAAATGACCACTTAAGTCCAGAAGGGAAACCAGCACCACCACGCCCACGAAGACCGGACTTTTTCATTTCATTGACAATCCAATCAGAACCCTTGAGCACCAAATCTTTGGTTCTGTACCAATCACCTCTCTTCATAGCCCCTTTGAGAAAGGGGTCATGCAGACCATAGAGATTGGTAAAGATCCTGTCTTCGTCCTTGAGACCACCGAAATGAGTCTTTTCCGGAGGTGGAGGAGGTGGAGGCGGCTGCGGAGTGTTGGAAGTGGTTGCAGCTTGGGCACTGAATGACCTCACCACTGGACAGAATCTGTTACTTTGCTTCCAGGTTGACGCTGCTCTCTGCAAAGCAAGGATCCCCCTCACAGGTGCCTATTAGAAAAAGTCATTCAAAATAAAGGTTACACAACAAAACAACACACATTCCGGAAGTCTAACATAGACTGAGCTGAAGCTAACTGCAATTCAGTTCAGTAGAATGAAGAGAACCAATCACTAGAACAAGTGAACAGATAGATCTCTTGGGATTCTGCCATAACAACAATTAGTCTTCAATATGTAGAGGGAACGCACACATAACAGTTAAAATTACTCTAGAAAGGCCAAGAAAATCACAAAAAGAACTAACACATCCAACTCCATTAATATTCAGGCAGATAAAAGCCTCTAAACTGACTTTATGGAAAAAGGATAAAACCCACAAATTCAACACTCTCAAAGAACCCAGTCTGAATCCCCAGAAATATCAGAAAATGTCATGAAGACAATTGCAAACACCGGAAATTCCATAAGAATCGCAAGTTCCAAACAGGCAAAACTGAGGCGAAAAAAAATCTTCGTAGAAGAATAATCCCGGTCGCTCCAAAGGCACCGACCCATCACGGAGGGAAAAGCAGGATAGAATAAAAACATTACCGGATCAAACAAAAAATTCCAGTGAACTAGACGAGAGGTTTAGATCTGTGAGATAAAAGAAGTCGCATTTCGCAACCATTTTGCTAAAATTTATCTGCATAAGAAACAAATCAACTCCTAAAATTCGCAGCCCTAACGAGTGCGATGGATGCAGAACAACTCATCGGATCATTAACATAGAAATGGAGCTAAGATCATCAGGCAACAGGGAGGAATCAACATCCAGGAGAGAGAGAGAAGAGAGATTTACCATGGTGTTGAAATCGCCGATAACGTACTCAGAGAGAGAGAGAGAGAGAGAGAGAGAGAGAGAGAGAGAGAGATGTTTAATCTTTTGGCCAGGGAGAGGGCCACGAGTTCGTCGAATCGAAGAGAAGAAGAGAGGAGGAGCTCTATGAGGAAACGAAGTTATGATTCTCTGCACGTTGCACCACCTAAATCCGATGGAATAGACGGCGCAGATTAGACCACCTCGTCCCGATGTCTTTTTCCTTTTCATGGGCCTGATCTAGCTGGGCCCACAAATACGTTCCGCATTTAACCCGGCTCGGTAATATTTTAATGGGTTCAATTAAAGCATAAAAGTGGGGCCCAAATTGGCCCAATTTCCTGCGAGCCTTCATCGTTCGCTTTCTTAGACCTCGAAGCTTGAACCGTCGTCGGAGGTGGGATTCTGGGGTAGAGATTGAGAACAATGGGAAGCGCACCGGCACAGATTCCGACGAGCTTCGGACACGAGCTAAGGGCTTGTCTCCGTTGCCGTCTTGTCAAGACTTACGATCAGGTTTGTTTGCGATTTTTGGGATTTGCATATTCTGTATGTTTTTGTCTTCCAAACTCTGAACATGTTTGCTCCGTCGATGTCGATGGTGGTTTCCCTAACAGTTCAGAGAATCTGGGTGCGAGAATTGCCCTTTCTTCAAGATGGAAGACGACCATGAGCGTATTGTGGATTGCACCACACCTAACTTCAATGGGTACGGCCTTGTTCAAACTCCTCGTTAATCGAACTCTGCTATGTTTCGGAGACTCGTAAGCTTCTAGGGTTCATCGATTTTCACTGCTGTGTGGTTATTTGGTTTCTTCAAAATTCTTTCTTTAGAATGGCTACTCAGTGCTTCTGATTAAGCTATTGATACGTGTTTTCTGAGCTCCCTTTGGAAAATCGATTGTTTTTCTTTGATTTGGATGGACTACATTGAAATACCTAATGCTTGGTGCGGTAGGAGTGCTTGAGTTTTCCCTTTTAGTGTATTATAAGTTCTTCATGATTGAGTTTATCTCCTTTTTCGGGTACAGATATCTCTACTAACTAGGTATTGACACTAAGAATTTTTGCAGAATAATCTCGGTGATGGATCCAAGCAGAAGCTGGGCTGCAAGGTGGTTAAGAATCGGTACGTTGAGCTTTCTTTTAGCATATCCTTCAATCTGTGACTTCTCTTTTTCTGACTGTGTGGAATGTTGGCATTCTCCTTTCCATTATGTGTCTTCATAGTTGTATTTTGGCAGATGGTGATATGACTGTTTGTTCACTCACCCCTTCTATTTTTAAAATAAGGAAGATTGTGATGCTAGCAGCTGAGTTCTCAAACAGTGGAATTCAATAGCTTTGTTTTAGTTGTGCAGTGTTTATACCTCTGGTTTCTCTGTCAAAGCCAGGAGTATTCTGGATTTATGCCTCTTGATGTATATGCTATTCACAGCTTCTTTTTCCTTGGTTTAATATACTGAGGAATTTGAGTAGATGTGTCGCCATTGATGTTCCGTCTTGACTCTTGAATCCAATTGAAATCTGAGTTTGGTGTTATGTTCAGATGCTTTGAGACATTTAGGTTTCTTGTGGGTGCGAGTCAGAGATTGACTAACAATAGCTGGTCTTGTTTTCTTTTCAAAACTCTGGTCTAACTTCATGTTTGATGGAATCCTATCATATCTCCTGGCAACCATTATCCTTTCTTCTTTTAATTGGATGGGTTCTAGGAGAAGAGAGATTTCTGCTTTTGATTGCATTTAGAACGCAATTGCTAGCTCTCTTGGAAGCGGAAATAATATGACACTTGCAAATCTCCTTCCAGGGAAGTTTGTCCCAGGATGCTACACACTTGCCGTCTCAGAAGCACTCTCAGAGGATTTGCAGGTAACAGATATCTAGTGGACAGAACCATTTCCCCTTCTACCATTAGCACTGCTCTGCATTGGCCTTATGGAATGACCATTCATCATTCATGTAGTGAAAGTTCGACTCTTATGACAAATCGTTATAACAGATCCTTTGATATGTTCTCAAATAAGGAGATGGCTTCAGAAAAGCACATTCTAATTTCATGAGTTGCGTGTTGTTCTGAATCTGCAGGAGGGCATGTAGTTGATTGATCTCTCTAACTTAGTTCTCTCAATTCACTGCAGATCCTATGCCAAGAAGAGCGTGTGCAATATGTACCGCCAAAACGCATATGAAGAAGTATCCGGTTAACCCGAAATGGGTCAAACGTATGAAAAGAAATGGCAAGACGGTATTGCTCTCTTCTGTATCAGGATCATATATTTAGTGTTGTGTATATTAGACGCTTCAATCTGCAATGGAGCAATGTTGACATGACTGCAAGTTGTCAGCGTCAATCTTGAGTTTTAGAACCCATTAGATGTCTTCTATACACACATATAGGGGGCTGAAACAAGAAGTGAGTCACTACTGCTCTGCCCCTACTTAACAAATCTAATTAAAGCAGTAGAATTTTTTATTTATCATTCTTGCAGATATATTATTACCCTCATTGCTGGATTTAGGTGTTTTAAGATTAGAGTTCTGCTTGGGTAAGTCCAATCAGTTTTGAAACTTTTCCAACAACATTAGCATAAACTGTTGTTGAGGTTTAGGAGCTGTTTAGCTGCCTGATTCCTCAAGGAACCTGTTCTTACAACTTCTGATTCCGGACATGTGTGTGCGTGTGTGTGAATATATATATGACCATGGAAGTTGTCACTGCAAAAACTGAGGTGGTGGTTTCATAAACAAGAAATGAATGCGAGTCTGGTACGTGAACATTGAAGGTGTTTCAGATAATGGAATCATAAATACTTTTCCGGTCACCGGCAAATCTGTGAGGAGCAGCATCTCCGTGGCAAGTGATCCCCATACTGGGAGTGGGAGCCGAGCTGCACAGCAATTCTCTGTAAAATCTCAAATCTTATCCTACTTCATCACGAACGAGAGAAGTTGGACGAAATAACCATTGTTAAAAAAAGATTTCTGTGAGAAGTTTACCGATGCTAAAGGGGAAACTTTTGCGGGTAAAATGAATCGGTCCTAATGTTATTTCTTCTCAGAGGTTCCAACATGTCAGCGGCCACTTACTCGATACAGAGACTAGCGAAACTCGTCGTGGTATCCATACTCATCATCGGTTTCATCCTCGTCGAAAATGGCACTGTAAAAGACATATGGATGCTCTATCATCTCTGCCAATGTCAGCCTCCCGTCTTTGTCTGAATCCGCCTGCGTTAGGAAACAACAGATCAATGTAACTCCAAAGCTGAGGAACACCGTTAATGAAAGTAATCCTTACAGGAGGTAACACCATTTCATATTGTAATAAAGTACCTGAGATATAATATAATCGGCTTGTTGTTTTGCGTAATAACGTTCGGTAGGATGGATTTTAGTAATGATAGGAAGCAATTCAGCATCCGACAAGTACCTGTAGAGAGCAAGGAGCTTAGTTAGATGGTGTTATCAGATACTAACTAAACCCACCATTCCGTACACTTACCCGTCGCCATCTTTGTCAAGCTGACCAAACAGTTGTTTTGCCGGACCTTCAGGCAAGTCGTGATGCGGATGTGAAGAATTGTGACTTTCCTCTTCGTAGTTCCTCACTGTGTCAAAGAGTCCATGGAAAAACTCTTTGAAGCTAATCTTTCCGTCTTTATCTGAATCCCTTTCTCTGGTAAAAGAAACAAGCCAATAGATAAAATAAATGCTTAGGAAAACCAGACAACCTTTGTTGTCAAAGCAGGCGCAAAAGACTACGAAAGGCTGTGTCTGGTTAAAGAAATACATATATGATCAATCAAATCCACTCGTCGCCTCCTCACATATGATATAACTTGATTCGGCAATAGCTTCAAATGAAATGGTCATTCTTTTGCCTTCATAGTTATGCCAGAATACGAACAAAAACAATTAAAGATAGCAGTAAAATACCTTACTTCCTCCTTGCACAACCACATCAGTAGCTTAGGGTTCTTGGTGTCAGCCGGATGGACCCCCACACAAAAATACCGTGAGAAAAAAAAAATACAGACTGCCCGAGCTAGACCAGAATTAGTTAGAAGATTTATAAATTCGCCTTCGGCAGGCAGAAAAGGTAAATGCTTACTCATTGAACTCTGTTATATTCAGCAGACCATCACCATCTGCATCGGATGCGTTGAAGTGTTCCTCTTTCCACCATCCCATGTCATAGCCAAAAGAATCATTATCTGATAAAACTATACCTGTGTCAGCTAGCAGTTCTAGGAAACAAAACTGAGATATATTTTATTATCCGTTCTAGACCGTTAAAAAGGAAATAAGGTTTCCAAGAGAAGGGAAGAACCCTCTTTCATCTCAGAAACTAGAGAAGCATAGAACATGTCCGAGAAGAGGAGATCATATGGACCATATGCAGAAGAGAAAGGTCATTTGTATGCTTCTTTGACATCATTGCCAATGCAAAGATATCACAGTCCATTTGTGAATTTGATTATGCAGAACAGAAACTAATCACGAAGAACAGGAATATAAAATCAGATTAAATGACAAAAACAAGAAGAAACACCTTCCTCTCAAAGCATTCTACTTCACTTATTACACAAAGAGACCAAGTCATATAGTAACTATAACAGCAAGTGCAACAGATGCCCAGATAAGCTTCTACATGATAGCTGCATTAATAGCACACATTGTGACAATAATCCTAAAAGAGAAAACACCAAATATGAATCACCTGCATTTCGGACCCACGAGGGTGGTTCGTATTCAGAGAACGAAACGAATCCATCCTTGTTTCTATCATGAACATCCATCTCTCTTTGAGTCCTGTGTATGATTTCTTTCTCAGAAGACTGCATGTTCCAGTCAGTCAATTCACTTTCGGTCACAAACCCATCCGTTGGAGCCACATCAATCTTCGGAAACAACATGATCAGCCTGCAAAGTACCAAGAAACTCTCTCCATAAAAGACGAGTCCAGAAAGTGTAAACACTAAGTTCTCCAGAAAAACTTGAACTTTACGCCGTATCGCTTACATTGGAATCGCAATGCTTCATCGTTAAAGATACTAATCAATACATCTACTTAGGAAGAAGCCGGATGCTGGATCTATTCGATCTCAAATGGATCAAAGCTATACACCAGAACCGAACAAAACATACTCCCTCACACAAGACCCAAATATTAACTTGGTATCATTTTTTACTCGGATGAAAAGTACCCGGAATCCATGTGTAATTACGAACACATTGCCTGGAAAGGTCAAGCCATTAATCAATCAAGGAAAAATAACGATCAGGGAACATGACCCAAGACAACAAGATCAAGTGCGCGCAAAGCCGTAAACGCGACCATACAGAGTAACGAGTGCCCAAATCAGTAGATGAAAGCAAGACACAACATAAACAGGGAGTAATTAGTTATCAGCATCAACCTGTCGGTGACATTGAACTTATCCTCATCATTCAAGTAATCCTCTGCATCCATGAAGTCCTCCCACTCGGGCTGCGACTCGTGACCAGGCGCCGAGTCACTGTGGCCTCCGCTTGCTTGCTGCGAATGAGACACAACCTCAGGGTGATGATCCTCGAAGTACTTCCGCTCCCACTCCTTGTCCTCGCGGCGACGCTCGATGTCGGCCACAAGCGGATCAAACGGGACCGGCTCGCGGCGGTTAGGCTTGAGGTTGAAAGACGACCGGAGTTTCAGGCGGCGATGGTTGTGGTGATGTTCGCCATGGCCGCCCTTCTTCTTCGGAGAATGTGAGACGAGGAAGAGGACGAGCACGGCAACGGTGATGTATATGGCCACGGAAGCTTTGCCCATCTGGGGAAAATCTCAGCTAAACCCTAATTTTTTTTGGGGGGGGGGGGGGAAGAGAGATGAAGGTGAAGAGTTAAGTTGAAGATGACGACGGATGCAGAGTGAAGAGATTGATCGTGAGTGTTATGTGAGTGACCTGGCAATGTATATAAAGATTGACTCTAGATCTTCTCATGGTCAAAAGTTTCATTAGCTATCAACATATATATATGTACATTTTAAAGGTACAAATATATAGACATATATGTACGTATATACCTACTATTAAGTGGTTTAACATTTATATAAACTAATTAATGAAATATTTCGATGGAAAGAATTAAATATTTATTCAGTTAAAAGAAGAAAAAAAAATACCAAGACACGCACGGAAGCGAAGAAACGAGAGAAGCGATGCCCTTTGCTTTTTTTTAAAAAAAATTAATGTTTTTTTTGTAAAATCGTGTTTGCGAATTTGGAAATTTTCTTCTGTTTAATTAATGTCGGGCTTAAATGGATTCTAGGATTTGGGCCGGGCTCAAACAACAGTACCACCGGGTTGGGGTGGTGCAACGTGCAGAGAATCATAACTTCGTTTCCTCATTGAGCTCCTTTCTTCTTCTCTTCGATTCCACGAATTCGTGGGCCGAAAGGTCATCTCTCTCTCTCTCTCTCTCTAGGTTCTCGGCGATTTCAACGCTACGGTGAGTGTGTCTCTTATGTGGATGTTGATTTCTCTCTGTTGCCTGATGATGGCTTTTCCTCGATAGGCAGGGTAATTTTCTGGTTATCGTAACTGGTTATGGAGTTGATTTTTGGTACATTTTGGGTGATTAGTTGAGTATTTCTGGTTGATTTCTAGTCATCAGGATTTGAAATTTACCACTGCCCTGTTTACGTTGATGTCGCTGTGTGAATCATGGATAGATTTCTGAGAGAAAAAAGGTTTGGTGAGGGTTTTAGTGTCAGCTCATGATCCTCATCTTTGGAACGTTAGGCATTGACGAACCTGAATATTATTCCGCTTTTACTAGTTTAGCTACGGTATTATCTCTGCTTGTTAGAGTCCACGCTTGATTATCCTGCTTAAGGATCTATGCTCACAGAGGTTATGCGTTTTTTAGGGTTCTTTGTAGATCGGTTCCCGTTTTTTGGCAAAAGAATAGGAATTTGTTGAGTGAGTTGGGTGTATGATCAATGGGTGGCTAAGAAGAAGGGTGTTATTATTATGATGATTGCAGCAGTAGGGGGGAAATCGTAGAGGGTTGGATTGGAAGAAGGATGCCCCACAGGACGCGGCCATTGGCAGGGCTCTTGATTTTCACCGGAATAAACATTGTGTTGGTGGAGACGATCACTCCAGTCTATGACTTTGTCTGCTTCCTTCCTTACTGGGAAAGAAGGGTATCCATGCTCCTACACTCACTCTCCTATGTTGTCTCTGCTTTCTATTTGCTTACCACCATTGTCTGCTTTCATTCCAATAATGATAAAGGACCAACCCAGTTCGAATCCCTATCTCGTGGGGGTGTTGGGGAAGGGAATATACTAGGTAACTTTACCCATGTTTTTTATGCAGAGAGGTTGATTCGAACCCGTGATCTCAAACCCCACGGCAAGCGAGCTTATCTCATTCCAATAATAATAAACTTGCCATAAATTTAGATAGATATGTCATTTGGTGAGTGATTCATGATGCATTAGGACTGCAAGTAACTATTGACAATGTTTGTGGAAGAAGACTTGCTGTTTTTTTTTTTTGCCACCAATCTCGTGAGACTGATTAGTATGATTGGTTTTTTGTTTTGGTAATGGTGTTTCATGGGATGGCTCAAGAGAGAACGAATCCGGCAGGAGCGTGAAGCTGTTGCATTATCAAAGGGCACAAACTAAACTAAAGTGGCATTATATCCTTTACTTTGTATCTCGGACCATACCCTTCAAACGGATTATTGTGGGGCTTGAAATGGATTGTAGGCCTTGGGCCTCGTCCTGTACCGTGCTCAAGCAAAAGCACAGTGGGTAATGGAACTGTCCACTCCGAACAAATATTTAATCACGGGCATATTAGAGCGCGTATAAAAAGGGGTGAAGGAATATTCCATACATGTGTGAATTTATACGGACTCATCATTCCGAAACTCCCGTATCATGTTTTATATTTTTTTTCAGCATCGACTTTCTTCATATGTTTTGAAAAGTTTAACAAGCTTTTATGAAGAATTTTGAGTGACAAAGTTTAATCAATCACACGTGGTCGACAAGATAAGCGCATCACCAGTGGCTGGAATGAAAAATCACATGAAGAGAGTCCATGTTGACGTATATTATATTATATTATATTTTTTTTATACATTGGAAAGTTCGGTTGCTACCCTTCGGACGCGCTGACCGAATAAATCCAAGTCTACACGCACGAGCCTGCAACACATGCATTAGAGGTAAATCAACAGTAATTGACAGACAATAGGTGAGTTGGCAAGGAGCATGATTAACATACCGAGAGATTGGAAGCCTTGCCGCTCACCTAGGGTTTTCCCCTATTATATTATATTATATTATTGCTATTCATTTCGGTTTATTAATGTTATAAGCATCAAAATAGACGACCATGTGACTCCATGAATAGCCTCTGTCACGTGATGGGCCGCTTGGTCCAAGGAAGCTTGCTCCCATGGTCGGTTTCAATGCATAACAAAGTCCATGCCATGCATCTTATCTTATCCCACTTTGTGTGTGTATGTATATATACAATAAGTTCAGTATCGTATTATAACAGTCAAATAATCTACTTGTGATATTTAGTCGTGATCTAAATTTAGTATATAGAAAATAAAATAATATTTATAGATTGATCATAATAATATTTTTAAGATTTGAGTGAGTATAATCGGTACTAATAGCTTAACAAAATTTAACTATTTTTCCATGTAGTAACAATGCTTAGTTAGCAGTGTAAACATGATACCATCATGGCTAAATATTTTTTTTAACAATTCTTTTTCCTGAAAATTTCCAATATAGTAATATGTTCATAACGTGACAGCCCTCTTTCGAACATGAAAGCCATAATTATTTCAATATATGTGTATATACACACAGGAAATATCCAATTATATTAAGAAAAAGAAAATTTCAATAGGCTTGATATATTTTCACATTTGACGGCCGACACGCACATATATATATATATATGTGTATGTATACATACGTACTTTACATTTAAAAAAAAATAAAATTAAAAGAGGTTCATCACCGTTGGATTCAAGCTGGTCATCGGTATCCGGGCAATCCCTTCACGTGCCCATACCCTCTGTTTACTCCCACGCTCTCTCTACGCGTATATATATACACTCACACTCGCCGCGTAAGTATATGCGCAGGTTTTGGTGTGATTGGATCTTACGAATTATCCACGCAATCTGCTTTTCTTCGCTTTCTCAGACCCCCCATGAACGACGCTTGAAGGAAGTTTGATTCCGTCGGAATCGTGTTCGTATATATACGTATATAAGTACATAGATACATATATTTACACCTCCATATACATATTCATAGTACCATACCCACGTATTGATTTGGAGGCGGGGAGAGGAGAGATGGAGAAGTACGAGGTTATGAAGGATTTGGGAGCTGGGAATTTCGGTGTCGCTCGGCTTATGAGGCACAAGGAGACGAAGGAGCTCGTTGCTATGAAATACATCGAAAGAGGCCGCAAGGTCAGTTTTTTTTCCCTCTTGTTTCTAATGATCTGGGCTCTTATTTTCCGTGATTCTGTTTGATTCCTGAGAAAATTCTTTGTTTCGTCATCTGGGTTCCTCTTAAATCGATGAGTAGCGTTTTCTTTTGTACTCTAGCTCAATGCTATGAACTTTGATGACGGATAGCGAAAAGGGTAAATTCGTAGAAGAGAAGAGAAGATAGTGTTCGGTGGAATTGAAGTGCTCAAAGGCTAAAGATGTTGAGGAACAATGATGATAAATAGATAGAAATGCTTTGGTTCTAAATGGAAATTCGATTCTTGAGGTCTGATGGTTGGTCTATGGACCACTGAATGCAGATAGACGAGAACGTGGCAAGAGAGATTATCAATCACAGATCACTAAGGCACCCGAATATCATCCGGTTCAAGGAGGCGAGTCTTTTCGGCTCTTACATCAACAAACACCATGTCTTTCTCCTTACAAGTTTCTGTAGATTTCTGTTGGAAGTAAACCTTGTTTGGGTGCCCTTGCAGGTGGTGCTGACTCCCACTCATCTGGCAATTGTGATGGAATACGCTGCTGGAGGGGAACTCTTTGATCGAATCTGTAATGCTGGTAGATTCAGTGAAGCTGAGGTGACTTCTTCTGTTTTTGCCCGACATCGGTCTTCTCGTCCTTTGATTTCTCCTTGTTAGTGTTGAAGTTTTAGTTTCTGTTGTCTACTTGTTCCAGGCTAGATACTTCTTTCAGCAGCTGATTTGCGGTGTTGACTACTGTCACTCCATGGTATTATATATATATATATAGTACACCGAATTATACAGTCAATCATCCATGGAGCTGAAAGCTATGTGCTTCATCTTTACAATATCTGTGCACACGTAAACGTCTCTCTTTTTTGTTCCTGTTACTTCGCAGCAAATATGCCATAGAGATCTGAAGCTTGAGAACACACTGCTTGATGGAAGCCCTGCTCCCCTTTTGAAAATCTGTGATTTTGGCTACTCTAAGGTCTGTGTGCTTTGTTGAGAAACACTCAGTTGTCTCCATTCTGTTTTTTGTTATTGGGTCATTTGGATTTATTTATTCGTAATCTGTTCATTTCTTGTTCTAAATCCGTATTTTTACTCCATTGTTTCAGTCTCCCCTTACTCGTTTGTTTTACTTTTCCTATTCGTGTAGTCATCTCTGCTGCATTCTATACCCAAATCAACGGTGGGCACTCCAGCATACATAGCACCCGAAGTTCTTTCTCGGAAGGAGTACGATGGCAAGGTATATTACTGATGTATCATGTCTCTTCAGCCTTTTCCTTTATCGTATTATACATATACATGTAGTTAACGTGTGATCCGGTTATAAAAACTAAGCTAAGGTCTTCATGGACAAAAGCAAAAGATAGAAATTAGTGTATATTAGCTTACACATCCTCTGAGTGCTTTAGTTATCCAATCTTTATTTCGGCTCTCATATTAGTTTTCCCATGCCGCTGATGCGAGATGCCTTTCTCTATCGATCCAAGGACTTCAGATATCATTTGTTCCTTTTTTTCCATGGAGAGGAACATGTTATGGTTTGTGTTGACAAACATTTCTGACCACCAAACGTTTGAACCAGTTGAAGTCGATAAGTTTGTGATTGCAATCATATTAGCTGCAAAAGTTTCTGACTTTCTCGTAGCAGGGATTGTTAAATTAAGGGCTTTTCTATTTGGGAAGTTTGCTCAACTGTGGGATCTATTACTCTAAGATGGTGATGAATGTGCAATGAGCTTTAGCTTTTGGGGTGGTTGCTGTATGTTGATTTGCTTCTGAAGAATGTTCGTGCTTGAAGATCCATTTCTGTCAATAGGGTGTTAGCTTTTACGTACTTTTGGAGAATTCTTTGCACTCATTTCTCTGCATGTTGTAGTTGGCGGATGTGTGGTCGTGTGGAGTGACGCTTTATGTGATGCTGGTGGGAGCGTACCCGTTTGAGGATCCCGATGATCCACGTAACTTCAGGAAAACAATCCAGCGAATAATGGCTGTGCAGTACAAGATTCCGGACTATGTCCACATCTCTCAGGACTGCAAACACCTTCTCTCCCGCATATTCGTCACTAACCCACTCAAGGTATTATTACACTGAAACCATATCCTATTGCCGAACTGAAATCTTTCTGAAGGAAAAGGAAAAGAAGGGGTTATGTTTCTGATTTTGCCCTTTTTCCCGGAATGTGAATATTGAGCAGAGAATCACGCTTAAAGAGATAAAGAACCACCCTTGGTACTTGAAGAACTTGCCGAAGGAGCTGACAGAATCTGCTCAAGCTAATTACTACAAGAGGGACAATCCTAGTTACTCTCTTCAAAGCATAGAGGATATAATGAAGATCGTAGGAGAAGCGAGGAATCCGGCTCCATCTTCTACTCCTGTAAAGGGCTTTGGCTCTGGAGCTGAGGAGGAAGAAGAAGAAGATGGTGATGCGGAAGAAGAGGAAGAGGGAGAGGAGGAAGAAGAAGATGAATACGAAAAGCATGTCAAGGAGGCACAGTCTTGCCAGGAACCTCACAAAGCTTAATTAAAAACAAAATCATATCTTTCTTTTGTAATCTATTTAATACAATAAATACCCTGCGGTTACTGTAATTTTGTTTTGAGTTTGGTATGTGAATTTTAAGGTGTCTCTGCATCTTCTTCCATGTCCGAAAGACAATCTTGAATCTCCTGTTAAAAAAATTTCTTGTATACTTTTTGAACTTTTGTTTCTCCAGCATGTAAGAGTTTTATGTTGTGTGTCAATCGGGCAGGCCCGAGGGCTCGGGTTCGGATTCGGGTTGATCTAATTTTTTTCGGACCTAAATAACTAAACCAAAAAACCGGTCTTATAGATTCCGGATTTGGGTTCGGGTCGAGTTGGTCCACTAAATTTGTTTTTTGATTTTTTTGATTTTTTAAATTTAGACTCTGGAACCGATCCGAATCTTTTTTTAAACCCGTTTGGAAAGTTCAAAAAATTTTGGACCAAAATATTTAGGTTCGAAATCCGTTATTTTTCGAATTGGATCGGATCGGATTTCGGGTCATTGTCACAAAATTGACACCCTAATTTTTATGATCCATGTGATTTTTTTTTTTTGTTGTCGGGTAACGAGGTAACGGGCAAGTTGCAGAGACAACAAAAGATGTTAGAAAAAAAAAACGCTTATACTTTATCCCATAGTTTCTTACCTTCGCGTGGACCGGTCAAAGAAACTAACCTTATAACACTCCCTTATTGGCAGGGGCGGATCCATGTATAGACCAATGGGGTCCCATGCCCCCTCTAAAATTTTTAATTTGTTTATAATTTTTTAAAATTTTTGATAAATAATATAAGGTGCCCCCATTAACATTTTACCTGTGCCCCCTCTTTCCACTCTTTTGTTTTTTTATTTCTCTTTTTTTTAAATTAAGTTACGTATTGTCTCTTTTTTTATTTTTTATTTTTTATTTTCCAACTGTTTTTTAATCTTTCTCTCTTAATTCTCAAAATTATTATGTATAGATCTAATATTAAAAAACAATCAAATTAAAAATATTTAAGTTTTATTAAAGGAAAATAATATGTTAGTATATCAAATCTATTTCTAATTGATTGTAATCTTGTATAATTGATTCTCTCTTAATTGTATCTCCTTAGTGACCTTAGATATAGCAACCTCTTCATGTATATATTTTGTATTACACAATTGAATAAATGTGAGATCATATTATTTCTTTCATTTATGACTTTTAAGTAATTTTATTTTTTATTTATTCATCAATTTTTATATTTTGATGATACTCACAAATTTATTGTTATATATATCTATATATATATATATATATATTTTATTTGACTTGATAAAAAAATTATAGATAAATTGATTAAGCTAAAAAAATATTAGAGGATCTTATCAATAACATGATAATGACTTTTAAAAAATGATAATAGAAAATAAATTAAAACGATTTGATCTCGACTGGTTTGATTAATACATTAATTGATTTTATTTGTTGACACTATGATGGAAGATGTTTTCCGTTAACAAAATTTGTAAACATAGCTCTAAGCAATCGTATTAGTGATCAATTTTTGAGTGATTGCAGTTTATTTTATTAAAAAATATATATTTTAAACAATTATAAATAAAAGTTATTATGGATATATTTTAAAAAATAAAAAATTATAAAATTTAATGATCAAATATAAATATTTTTTATAATATATTTTTTTAATTAATTTTATTATATATTTATTATAATTATTGCCCCCACTCATAATTTTTTCTGGATCCGCCACTGCTTATTGGCAACGACAACTATGTTTTAGACCTTTTGCTTTAGCTTTCCTTTCTCTTCAATATGTATTGGTAGGTACAGTACAGGAGAGTAAAACCAGACCGGTTAACCTTAACCATTTTGTTTAACCGGTTAACACCTACTTATACCCTATACTACTGCCGGTGGAAGAGTTTAATGTCAGTAGCTGGGAGAACCTAAATTTGAATATATTATATATATATATATACACATACAAGTGAAATGCAAAGAAAGAGTTGAATGGGTGTGGTCCACTTCATGCTATAGATGAATAATTGTTTACATTATAATGTCCACCAAAAAAAAAACACGGATGGCGTGCAGGGGCGGATCCATGTATAGACCAATGGGGTCCCATGCCCCCTCTAAAATTTTTAATTTGTTTATAATTTTTTAAAATTTTTGATAAATAATATAAGGTGCCCCCATTAACATTTTACCTGTGCCCCCTCTTTCCACTCTTTTGTTTTTTTATTTCTCTTTTTTTTAAATTAAGTTACGTATTGTCTCTTTTTTTATTTTTTATTTTTTATTTTCCAACTGTTTTTTAATCTTTCTCTCTTAATTCTCAAAATTATTATGTATAGATCTAATATTAAAAAACAATCAAATTAAAAATATTTAAGTTTTATTAAAGGAAAATAATATGTTAGTATATCAAATCTATTTCTAATTGATTGTAATCTTGTATAATTGATTCTCTCTTAATTGTATCTCCTTAGTGACCTTAGATATAGCAACCTCTTCATGTATATATTTTGTATTACACAATTGAATAAATGTGAGATCATATTATTTCTTTCATTTATGACTTTTAAGTAATTTTATTTTTTATTTATTCATCAATTTTTATATTTTGATGATACTCACAAATTTATTGTTATATATATCTATATATATATATATATATATTTTATTTGACTTGATAAAAAAATTATAGATAAATTGATTAAGCTAAAAAAATATTAGAGGATCTTATCAATAACATGATAATGACTTTTAAAAAATGATAATAGAAAATAAATTAAAACGATTTGATCTCGACTGGTTTGATTAATACATTAATTGATTTTATTTGTTGACACTATGATGGAAGATGTTTTCCGTTAACAAAATTTGTAAACATAGCTCTAAGCAATCGTATTAGTGATCAATTTTTGAGTGATTGCAGTTTATTTTATTAAAAAATATATATTTTAAACAATTATAAATAAAAGTTATTATGGATATATTTTAAAAAATAAAAAATTATAAAATTTAATGATCAAATATAAATATTTTTTATAATATATTTTTTTAATTAATTTTATTATATATTTATTATAATTATTGCCCCCACTCATAATTTTTTCTGGATCCGCCACTGATGGCGTGGATTAATTTGACATTGGATTTAAATGACGGTGCACAAAAAAAAAAACCTGAATATTATTCAACAGAGACGCTTAATTATCGTATCACATGTATCAGACAGCCATTCATGCCGAAATTAAAAAATATACAATTATTTTTTTTAATAAAAAATAGAACGAAAAGACAAAAATAAAATAACGCCATTGCTACTTTTTAGCTGCTTCCATGCACCAAACTCGTGAAATGAAGCGCCAAAACCTTACACGTCCTTTTGGTGGTAGTTACCTCTATCCGACGGTCACGATTTTGCCACGTCATCACCTCCTCCTCCCTTAAGAGAGGGATTTAATCTCCTCGGTCCCTGCCTTTCACCGTCGAATGCAACTCGATTCGTGAAACCACCATTTTTTTCCGGCGGTAGAAGAAAAGAAGCGCCAAAAAGCCATGGAGGTCGAGAGAGTGCAAGACATAGCGTCCTCGTCTCTTCTGAGCGATGCGATCCCCTCGGAGTTCATCCGGTCCGAGAAGGAGCAGCCGTTGATCACGACGTATAGAGGCCCAGCGCCGAAGATTCCGGTGATCGACCTCGCTGATCCGGACGAGGAGCGCGTGGCGCGTGCGGTAGTGGAGGCGAGCCGAGAGTGGGGGATATTCCAGGTGGTCAACCACGGGATCCCGGCGGAGCTGATACGGCGGCTGCAGGAGGTCGGGAAGCAGTTCTTCGAGCTCCCAGCGGCGGATAAGGAGGCCGTCGCGAAGCCGGCGGATGCCAAGGACATTGAAGGCTACGGGACGAAGCTTCAGAAGGATCTCGAAGGTAAAAAAGCATGGGTTGATCATCTCTTTCACCGAATCTGGCCTCCGAATCGGATCAACTACAGATTCTGGCCGAACAACCCTCCCGAATACAGGTGCCAGATTTGATAACGTTTCAGATAATGCCGAATAAAGGCGTCAGTTTCTTCGATTAAGCGATTGATTTTGGAGAATCGATGCAGGGAGGTGAACGAGGAGTACGCGGGGCACGTGAAGATGCTGTCGGAGAGGATAATGGGGTGGTTGTCGGAGGGGCTAGGGTTACGGAGAGAGGCGTTGAAGGAAGGGATCGGCGGAGAAGCGGCGGAGTATATGATGAAGATAAACTATTACCCGCCGTGTCCGAGGCCGGACCTGGCCCTGGGAGTGCCGGCACACACCGACCTCAGCGCACTGACTCTCCTCGTCCCCAACGAAGTTCCTGGTCTCCAGGTCTTCAAGGACGACCACTGGTTCGACGCCGAGTACATTCCCTCCGCCGTCATCGTCCACATCGGCGACCAAATCCTGGTTCGTATCTGTCAAAACCTCCACATTGATTGGAACCGAACCTGATCTAACGTCTGGGTTTGGAATGCAGAGGCTGAGCAACGGGGCGTACAAGAACGTGCTGCATAGGACAACAGTGGACAAGGAGAAGACGAGGATGTCGTGGCCTGTGTTCGTGGAACCCAAGGCGGATATGGTGGTCGGTCCCTTGCCTGAGCTCACGGGCGGCGACAACCCTCCCAAGTTCAAGCCTTTCGCCTTCATGGACTATAGCTACCGTAAACTCAACAAGCTTCCTCTCGACTGATTAAGGAAAGATCCAAAACAGGAAGAAATAATTCTTCGGGTGGTGATTTAGATTCTGTTAAGGTCTTTTGTTGTTTCTCATGTTGGAGAGAGAGAGAGAGAGAGGCCTTGGTTTCAGCTGTTTGTGTGCCTGAATAAGTTGAAGAACCTCACATTGGTAATGGACGTGGGGGCCTTCTAGATTATGGTCCCTGTGGAAGTTGCATGTGTTTGGTTTACTAAGCGAATGGATATTTCAGTACCTTCAATCAAAGCGATTCTATCCCACCATTATATATATTGTGAAGTGAGTATCGGACCCTCGCGGTTCTCTCCGACACTCGTACCGACACTCGTACGTGTGAGTAAGACGAAGACACAACGGATTTTAACGAGTTCGATTACCGAGCGGAGCTCGAGCCTACATCTCAGTCTGACGGTGCTGGCGAATCCACTAGAACAAACGGAAAACAACCGAAGACGGTGGTCTCCACAAATCCGGAGACTCACCAACGATGTGTCCAAGAAACAACCGAGAAAGAACAGAATACGTGACGTCTTACCAACCCCGACTCACCTACCTTGAGCCGCCGTCGATCCCGAGCTCCGACATTGCCGAGAAGCTCCTCCGTCGGCGTAGATTTCTTTCTCCTTCTCCGTCTTCATTCTCGCCTCTCTCTCTATCTCGAGCAGCGTGTTTTTCGCGAATGACAAACACATTAGGGTATTAACCCTAAAACGCAAAACGCCACGTTTCGGAAAGCCTCTCCCTCACGTGGAGGGTTTCTCTTTTCCACCAAAATGGGCCGTGAAGCCCAACAATCTCCACCTTGGTGGAGAGAGAGAAACAAACAAGAAATAATAAAAATAAACACTAGTGGAGTTCGCCGTTTCCAGCACCGATTGACTTTCCTCGACTTTCGTCGGAATTTAAAACATATACTTACCTGACTTACCTGAATCGGAGTCGACCATATGCATGAATCTGATGAAGCTCCTGTCGATGACTCCTCAAGGCCTCGTCGCCTTATCCCGCAACCGATCAGCTTATCCAAACCTGAAACACTCGGTAAACGTGTTAGAACGTTCACCCCGATAGGACTCGAAACAAAGTCCTAACACGCGTCGCCCGACCGGCAAACGCTATCCTCGGTTGTATGACTCCCTAGACCGTCTAACTAACCCTCCTTGGTAAATTCCGAGACTTCACCTGCTAGCAACCCGATGATTATACCCGACGTCTAACCGTCTCCTAAGCCTATCCCGACTTCTCCCGAGACTAACCTGAGTCATACTACCGAACCCGCTAGATATCTAGCTCAGGATCCCCGTAGAGTCTACACTACCTATGAGTATGCAACTTCTACCCTCGGACCCTAACCTGCCAACTAGAATTGTCCCACGGTTTTGTCCCGTGAAGACGCTCCTAGTCATCTACGATGCTCCACCGAGAATGAGACACGTGAGTGCACGTGCACGGAAGTACTCAGCAACAGTTAAACCAGTAAGTCCGACACGAGCACGGGCACCAGGGGGTTCGTTCATTTGCCCAAACACAAGAGCACATTTGCTCTCCGACTGTCAGAAAAAGAAGATTCAGTCATACGTTAACCTGATTAGCAAGAAAACAAGATATGGCAATGGGCAAAACAAATTATTGCCATTAATCAAAGGACCTGCTTTTCGCCCAGCTTGATGATGCCACTCTCAATCATTTTCCTGTACAAATCGTTACCCTCACGGGTACGTTCTCCCACACCCGCAAACACAGAGAACCCTCCTGATTCAGCAGGTATCCGTTTAGTTTCCTTTAGCACAAAATGGAAAAAGAAATGGAAACCGGCATTCGGGCTTGAACATACCGTGAGCTTTGGCGACATTGTTAATCAGTTCCATAATAAGAACGGTTTTGCCTACACCAGCACCACCGAAAAGACCAATTTTTCCTCCTCTTTGGTAAGGAGCAAGGAGATCGACAACCTTAATACCGGTGTCGAGTATCTCTTGCCCAGTGGACAGTTCAACTAAAGCAGGAGCTTCTCTATGAATGGGCAAGTGATGATCGGTTTCTGTAGTAGCATCCCAAAGACAAACACTTATTGTCATTACACAGACCTCCAGAAAATGGCACATTGATTTTAAGGGTCATGGTAAGACTTCCTTACTGATTTCTCCCCTCTCGTCGATGGGCTCTCCAAGAACGTTCATGATGCGACCGAGGGTAGCCCTCCCGACAGGGATCTGAATAGAGAGAACCTAGTCCAAATCAACACTGAATAGTGGACATTCGCATCTTAGGATAAGGACCGGGAAGATCGGCCACAAACAGATCGGCATTGACTCTCAGATCCCAGATAAAGAGCGAGAGAAAGGCATTACCGTGATGGGAGCACCGGTGTTGAGAACGCGGCGACCGCGGATTAGATCCTCCGTACCATCCATGGCAATGGTCCTGACGACATTCTGACCCAAATGATGAGAGACCTCAAGGACAAGCCTTGTTGGGTGATCAAGCGCCTCGAGAGCGGTCATGATCGGGGGCAATTTCGAACCTCACATCGACGATGGCACCGATGACTTGGCAAACTTGCCCGATCGCACCCTTCCCACTGTAATCAAAGGTCTTTTTCTGGGCTTCATCCTTCGGTGGAGCAGAAGGAGTCGCCGCAGCAGGGGCCGGGTAGGTCGCGTACTCAGAGACGCGCCTGAGGAGGTGCCCAAATGGAGCGGCGCGACGAGCGGAAGCAGGCGATGAAAGCCTACCGAGGGTAGATGAATTCGAGGCAGATCTGCGAGAAGACGATCGAAGAAGCGAGTACAGAACTCTTCGAGACGCCATGGGAGGGAGGGAGAGAGAGACTTAGGGTTCGTGAGTAAGAGCTCCCAATCTCAGAGACTGAATCTCTATAAGACAAATGCTCCGCCTGTTCCTTGTTGTTTGGGGTTTTTTACCCAGGTCCCATCTATTTCACCTCTACACCACCGAAAACATAACACATTTTTTTTTCCTGTGAAAAGACGAAATTACCTTTAATGAATTACGATATTTATCCGTTCGAAAACAACTTCGTTATTACGACTTCGTAATTAAGTCTAAATATAGTTACAATTGATTCTAAAAAAGTGGCAAAAAAATCATCTGTCTTATTTTAGTCGTATATCAGTTATATGTTAGTCGTAATAAGGTCGCAAAAAATAAAACGAAAAAGGTATTTCGGACTTTTCTAACCGAAAAGTGGGTTAAAATTGAAAATATTTTTTTTTTCGGTGGTGTACACTGAAATATATGCTACCCAAGTGGTGGGTTATTTGGGTTATTTTTCCTGTTGTTTGGGCTCTTCTTCCTAGCTCAATGTCAGAACTTTATTTACAAAAAACGCCATTAATGTTTTACAGTTCTAACTTTCTCCCCAAAAACATCCAAAATGATCAATCTGACCCAAAGAATTTATCACTATGTTATAACAAAATCCACATTGTTTTCTGTACAAATTAATCAAAGATTCAGGTCAGTGGAGATACATACATACATCGACGGTCAATATCTATAACACATTTTCAACCTGTTTGGGCTCGTTTTTTGCCCCCCGCTAAATGCCAACTTTTATTTACAAAACGCACCATTAATTGTTTAAAACTCTCATCTTCTCCCCCAAAAATATCCGGATTATCATTCTGACCCAAACGTGGGGAGGAACATTCATCTAGATTTTCCCGATACTCTGAGAGATATAGTTGGACCAAAGAACCGGTAAACTTTCGAATTATCAAAAAAAAATATATCATTCTACGTTATAGCGAAACCCATAGTTCTCTGTACAATTTAATAAAGGATTCGGACAGCGAAATGCATGCGTACATACATACATACATCAACAACAGTCTAATATCCATCCTATTGGACCCAATTGATGTCAAGATCTTTAAGTTTGGAGAGCCATTTATGTGTATCTTGAGAAACGTAAGGTCTATTATTAGCAATGAAAGTTGCATCAGACTCGCTCCTCTTACTGCTCTCTTTGGTGGTGGCGTTTGTTTGTCTGTTTGGGTGCCTCACTTTCAATGCCAAGAGCCGCGACACTTCGTGCAGCCCTCCCCACTTCTCCAGCGCCCGCGCAATGTCATACCGACCTGTACACGCGCACATATATACAGTCTCTTAAAAGTACGTCTATTCACATGCCATTGTATGGTCTACCCTGCCATTCTTCTAATGGTTTTTCCCTGAGAAGGCTCCTTAAGTGAAAGAAGCAGCTATACAATACGAATGCATTGCTAATTCTATGGATGTAATAACTTCCGTGTTCGTTAGCTTACCTGCACGCTCAAACGTCTTTCTGCTAGGCATGAATGACGGGTCCATTCCCCAATTCTTCTGAAATCTGCCTATCTGAAACACCAAATAGCATTTTCCAGTAGATTATCTTGGACATTGCTCTCTAACTAGTAGTCTATGGTACACGGAGTACATGTGTATATATATATATATATATTCACCTCATCTTGCAGATTTTCAAGATTGTCCCAGTATCCCTTTGGTTTGCGGTGTTTGTAAGCAAGCGATAGATTCATCAAGGAAGCGATTCTCCTAAACCCACCCATACGTGTAATGGCCTTCTCAATATCAACCCTCCCGTGCAAGCGGAGTTGCTTTCTCATGGGCATAAACCCTTCCTGTCCATGTTCCGATACGAACTTCAGAAGCTCGGATTTCAGGACTTTGATGTCCCTTTGCAGGCCAGGAATTCTTGGTCTCTGCTTAGTTTGATTCATACCCCCACTCTCATAGACTGTCTCCTCTGCTGCGCTACAACCTGTCTGTGTGTCACTAGATGCTGAATCTGTTTCTTCGGAAACCTGTCTTGTTTCCAGTTTACATGCTTCCAAAGATTTCTCTCCTTCTCTTTTCTCGATGTAATCCCGTATTGCACATAAGTTTGATGGAAGATCTTCATAAATAACCTGCAAACATGTAGAAAGATACTTGAACTTGTGTCCTTCGTAACATCCAGAAGACGTTTTCACTGCAAAAGAAATCACTACTTCACACGCTCAAAGCAATGTTAATGGCAAATATCATTCATTATCTGTAACGAGAGTATTATTCCTCTTTCAACTTCCAATTTTCACAAACCTCTTCCATGATGGCTTCAGAAAGTAATGTGTCTTTTCTTATTTTCGACTCCACAGTATACTTAAGCAGCGTGTGGTGACTTCCCAACTGCTCCAAAAGCCATTTACCCTGAAGTGAGTCGAAGTCTCCTTCAACCTGCACAAATCTAATTTCCTGCTCGCGATATTCATGCAAATCCAGGACAGCTCGCGCATGAAGCACCATGTACAATAGGCCCTTGCATCCTTCCTGACAACAAAATTCCTACGGGAGTTACTAAAATTCTTGAAATAGACATAACACAAGGGCTCATCAAAATTATGTTTGAAGATAAGTGATATAACCATCAATACTGTCAGATCTTCGGCATTTTCCATTAAACTGAATGGGAAAGCTTTTCATTCCTAAACATGAAACTGTCAGGTAACGAGGAACAAACATCAGAATATGAGCTAATGAATCTGAAGGTTTTTCGCTTCTCCAACAATCCTTTAGCCTTCGCAAATAAAACTTGTGATATCCATCTCCAAAAGAGAAGTTTGGCATGTGATAACATATGTTACGCTAACAGTTAATGAATCTGAAGGTTTTTCGCTTCTTCTACAATCCTAACAGTTAACGGCCAATAGACCAACCACTATAATGTGTCCTGTTTGACTCCGAGACAGGGAACAACGTGCAAGGAGGAGTCACCATGTATCAGGATGCTATCGTACCTGAACTATGCGGACTTTATTGTTTTCTCTCGACAAAATCTTGCTGATTGCTAAATTCGGAACTATCCTGGGAAATTAGAAAAATAAGATAAATTATATAAACAAGTATTCAAAATCCTCCTCAATGTGGAAAGCTAATATGCTAGATTGTCAGTTGATGAGCTAACAGTATTCAGTACTTACTCTGGAAGACTCTCATAAGCCGTTAGAACATTCCAAACCTCACGAACAGGGGCTTTAACAGTTATGCTCGCAACAACACATCGATGAACACCTCCGTTTTCCTTCAGCCGAAAACCATTTGTCAGCATCAGCAGAAACAATTGGGGGGGAAGATTCTTCCAGTCCTTACGATAGTATAGAATCAATTTGTTACCAATAGACCATCAAATCTACGAAGATGAACTTCATCCACCGTGCAAGGCCTATCAAGTTTGCAGACTTTTCGAAACACATTCCAGTTGTTGTTCAACTCATTTGAAGGAGGTAATTGCCCAACCCCCAAGGTAGCTGAACTCTCTTCGTATTCTCTGGGGGAAAGTTTGCCGTTTTCAGAAGGAAGACCTTCAAAGTCAGTCCCGTGCAAAGGGGTGGCTGGCAGAGATGTTCTGCCCCATGGATAGCCTTTATAATTTCTTTCCGCCTGGCAAGCTAAAGCTTGTAGATTTACAGGGAGATCTGATCTGATGATCCTCTCTAAGAAAATGGCTGGGAAGTTAAATCTCGGAATCACATTCACTTCATACGATAAGACAGTTCCTTCTGACCTGGAGAAAGAGAAAAAGAAACGTTCAGAAAGAAGCTGTACCAACAGATTTCCCGTTCTTACACATAATCCATTTCAGTTTCAAAAGCAAATTTTCTGATATGCATTCCCCTATGAAATAGCTTCTTCATTCACATGAACATCAATCTCATGCGGTGTTTTTTCATGACTAAGCTTTCTTGTGCTTTTAATGAATTTTGTTCATCCACCTGTTTTGATATAGATTCTGCAGTGTATGTAAATGAGAAATCTGAATGGTCTGGATCAAAATCAAGACAGATGATATTGGACAAACCTGAAGACATCACAACCAAAAAGAGATAAGGTAACGCGAGAATCAAACACACATCGGGACACAAACTTTTGTTACTGAAAGTAGACATCATATACCTCGTACCACAGTTCAAAGACCACTTCCCTTCAAACTTTTTGAAGTCGCCATCTACCATAGAGAAGTGAAGTTCACGGCCATTTGGCTGAAAATACCCAAAAAAAAAAAGATGAAATCCATTAAAAAAAATCTTATATTGATGAATGACATTCAATATTTACACCAGATAGCATTCAGCATTCCTGGAGATCGAGGACAACCCTAGCCTCGATATGCCAATACAGCGCCCTTTGAAAGCCTCTTTGTTCCAACCATATACGCCCCGGGTGTGGGCACGGAATTCTCCCGCTACAAGTTCCACAATCAACACCCAGTTCATGTCAACAACGACAACCAACAAGTGTATCTGTACAATATATATACATACATACATACATCTACGAGAATACGAGATCATGGAAGAACTCTAGTATCGATTTCATCAAGTACAGCCCATTGAAAGAATTAGTTGTAATTAGTATAGGAAAGTACCTGCAAACGAGATTGGGGATGAAATCGGCGAGTCGCTCGTAATCAGTGAGAGAATTCCAGACGGATTGAACGTCTGCATCGACCCAGATTTCGCCTCGAATCCTCCGTTCCCTCCATGAGATCACATCGACCTCACATCGCACTTTTCTCTCCCCTCTTTCGTCGTCCTCTTCCGCAATACCTAGAGCATGATCCCGTCTCTTCACACCGGTTTCATCTCCGCCGCGGCCGTTCCTCCTCGCCCGGTGGCTCCTGGTAGAAGCAGCGCCACCGGCACCGGCTACGGCGGAGGCGGAGAAAACTCGGATAGGGCAGGAAGAAAGGGGCAAAACAACAAGAGCGGGGGACTCGTTGAAGGAATAGAGGAGGTTGTTGATAGTGTGAACGCCATGGACGAAGCTGGGGAGCCTGCCAAGTGACATTGACGATGAGGCATTCGAGGGGGTGAGAATTGGAGCAGTAGTGGCTCGTGAAATGCGAGTGAGAGTGACGAAGCAAGCAGTTGCCGAAGCGCCTTTGAGCGTGACCGTTATTTTCTCAGCCACTATATTTTATTTGTCCCCCAAAAAAGGAATGTATGGCTAAAATTCAACATCTCTCCAAAGATTTTTTTTAGGTTTGGTGCGTCTCTATCAAAGACAAGGAGGGATTTTTTTATTACAAACGTGTGTGGATTTTACAGAAACCGCCGAAACTTATTCTGTCTTGTATTTAAATTAGGTAAACATATAAACAATAGTAAAAAACTAATTCTTAAACTTTTTGTTTAATAAATTTATTTTTAAATTTATAAATACATCATTATAATTCTCAAATTAACAATTGATATTAAAAAAACCCACGTTTCATTTAAAAATTAATTTATAAATTATAATGATATATAAGCATCCAAAACAAGTATTTCGTAGAGATGGGACAACATATTGAAATGATGGTTTAAGAAAAATAATAACATATAAGTTTAACAATAAATTATCAAACAAAAAATTTAGAAATTAATTTTTCACCATTTTAAAATTTTAAATTCTTTTAAGGTTTTACCTTTTAAATTATAATTATATTTAAATTAAATGTGCTAAAACAAATTAATTATTCAAAAATAATATAAAAACAGTAAAAAATCGAATAAAGAAACTATAATGAAAATAATATTGTTTAAATTAAAATGAATTTAACTAAACGAAATCCAAGTAAAAATTGATATAAAAATTGAAAAGATATAATTTGTAATCCCAAAAAAATGAAGTAAAATAACAGCCGAATTTCAACATACCCAAAATTCAAAATATTTATCTCCACCATTTTTACTTTTATTTTGTCGAAATACAAATTAGTGAATTTTTTTTTTTGCATATAGAGAATACAAGTGTGCTGACTATTGGAAAATGAAAATTGGAAACGGATTTGGAAATCTTAAGCAAATCACCAATGCTGTTTTCAAACATAAAACCCATTTCGGAATCCAAACCCCTAAGAGAGAAGAAGCAAAAGCAAGAGAAAACCCTCTAAATGGATTGAAAGCAAAGCGAAATCTAATCGCTTAGGCTCAGTGAAGCTACTAAGGCGGTGTCTAATAAGCACATCTTGCACCCTTTGTCAAGCCAAGAGTTCTGATACGTGCATCGATCACAGAACCAATGATTGCCCGCCACGTCATCATACGACCCCACCTTCACCTCCGGAATCCCTTCTTCCAGCGTCTTGACCAAATGGAGGAAGTGGATCCTTGTCGGCCTCGTCAAGCTAGATAACTTGCTCCTGAAGAAACCTATCTCTTTCAATGTCCCTCCTGCAGCCAGAGCTTCCTCTGTTTCGTCCTTCAGCTTCTCCGAGAACCCGAAAAGGGTGTCGATCGCCTCTTCTCGCAGGTGCCGAAGGTACTGCTTCTTGGCGTTCTCGTACTCTGACAAGAAATAGTCATAGACATAGCTCCATTTCAGGATTTGTCTGCACTGAACGATCAGCATCCATGCTTCTCGTACAAACCCTAGATTCTGCTCACTTGTACCGAACTCCTTTCCAAGTTCAGGCATTACCGATTTCTCGATCCTGCGTAGATCCCTGATGGCCTGCTGCATTGCCCGGTCACCTTCCTCGAAGAGGTCCACGTAAAGAGAACGGTCTTGATCGAATGCCCACTTCTCGGAAACATCAGCTGGAACGGATGTTTCAACGCATTCTTCCCCCAAGTGATCTTCCACTGACCTCATGCACTTCCAGCAGAAATGAAACCTGAAAGCAGTGGAGGAGACAGCATAAGTTCCATAGCAGAGATGTTTTCTGAACTTCTGCAGGTTCTGTTCTTAGATGTTTTCCTGACATAATTCAGCTACTTAATGGGAACCATATACCTGCAAGGGGAGGCACAGTTCAAGAAATTGTAGCCACCTTCAGGAACGAACTGTATAGGACGGGAACAACTCGGGCAAGGCTTCGTGTTTTCAGCAATCCAGGCAACATTCAAGGATTCATGATCTGTAATACCAGCAGAAACTGATCTGCCCCAATCTGAAGCGTTGTTGCATGTAACGGGTCTGTGAGATTCGTGCTCACATTTCCAGCAGAACGTGTAAGAGCATCGGCACATCACATTAAAGAATCCATCTTCTTTTTCTTCTTCGTCATCCGAGGAATCCTTCTCCTCCTCCTCCTGAATCAGCTCGATTGCGTACTCGCAATCTGGTGAAGGACACCACTTGATGGATTTCTTGCTGCTCTCCATGTATGAACTGAGAACGTATCTCTTGTAAATCTCCTTCGCCGTTTCTGGTAACCGTTGAATCGTGTTGGGTCCAACAGCGGCTTTACAACCCAGATGAGGGCAAGAGATTTTGTCGCTTGGGCTGCTCTTATCCAGACAGTTTTCGAGGTATTCCATCCAACATTTTGTGCAGAAGTTGTGGGAACACAACGGTGTGGAGACAAGAACATGGGTCTGATGACCATCGGCGGTTGAAGATTCAAGACAAATCCCACAAGAAGTGGAATCTGTTGGTTCATCTTGCTTCGAGCCATCTGATTTCAAGCCGAATTCCTCCAAGAACATGTCTTGATCATCGCCCAAACGATCCGAAACCCTAAATACGTTCCATCGTTGACTTAGAAGGATGACCGTCGCAGCAGACTTGGACACTGAGAAAATTTCGGAGATTTCATCGATCTGTTTGTCCATCTTGGCGCAAATTTCTCTCTCCGTGATAACAGAGTACGATCTGTGTTCTTGGGAATCCATGGCGTCTCGAAAGAAATGAAGAGAAAACCCAGATTAATAGTGTAAACTGCAGGGGGTACAGAAACAGCGGCTGCGATGGAATTGATCGATTAAAAGGAAACCGCAGGTGTACGAAAGGAAAGAAGGAAGATTAGGGTTTGAGGTAGCTTGCGGATCAAGCAACTAGCGGGAGGAAGGAAGAAGATCATCCGTCTACGTCTAGGGCTTGTTAGCAGAAGAAGGGTAAAATGATAGAATCCCTAATGATGAAAAGGTCATTATTTTCTACAAGAACACGTCTCAGTTGTTGACGCTGTCAAAATAAACAGAAAGGTCAAATTAATAATGTAAAATAGCAATAATATATGGAAAAGGCATTTAGTTCTACTTTACAAGTCTTCCCCTCCCCCTCCCAACACAAAGAGTTAACTAAAAATCTCGGGATTGACTGACTTTATAAGTTAATTTTAAATTATAAAAGCATATATTAATTATAGATTATCGAGCAGACATACTTACTGGATTCCATGACGTTTTCCCCTAAACCATTTCAACTGCACTATGTTTGTACATTGCTTATCCCAACTTACAACGTTCATATGTAATCTTAAAGCCTATCCTCTCAAGTTAGCTCAACTTGTCATTTTCCTCTGAAAATATATTTTTTTTCCCGACCAGATCGACTCTGTCTCTATATCTCTCTGCAGCTCGATTTGTATCGAATTGCCTAGATGGATTCATGGAGGGTTTATTTGTATTTTTGTAGGGGTGTCAATCAGGTCGACTTAGTTCGAATCCACACTTGACCCGAAGGTTTTGGGTTTGGACTCGAGTCATCCCGATTTTTTTCGAATCTAAATTACCAAACCCAAAATCCGAACCTATATACTTCGGACTTGGATTTCGGTCCGACTCACTAAATTTGTTTTTTCAAATTTATTATTATTATTATTTATTAATTTTTTTTAAAAAAAATTAAACTTTCGTATCCATCTGAAACCCAATCTAAATTCGACCCTAAAACCTGAAAATTTCCGTACCTAAATATACCCGTTATTTTTATAGTCACACCGGCCGAACTTCAAATTTTGGGCCAAAATTGATCCCATAGATTTTTCTTTTGGGAATTGCGAAATTCGGACAGGGTTGATAGAGCTAGCGGCTGTTTCTATTTTTGCGGTCACAAAAAAATAGAACCGGGGTTCTCACGCGTAAGGTCGTTGTTGGTTTTGGTTTTGGTTTTGGGAACTGGATCATTTGGGTTTCTGGCTGTTGTATTACACATTCCTGAAATGGCAAAGGAGAACCTCCCTCAATTGAGAAGAAAAAAAGTATGGGAAAAGGCTGAGGGTTACCAGTTTCTCATCAAACATGGACGGATGATTATGCTTAATGGGCAACCTGCAGCTTGTGCACCTGTCTCAACATGCTTCTAACAAGGAAGCTCTCAGTGTTATACATGTAAGATAATGCCTAAGGAATCTGCTGATTTTTGCACTCCACATTATGTCAAGGCAAAAGAAGAAAATGTGGTAGATGGAATCAGAGTAGTTAGTAGTAGCCTTAAAGGGGCATTTGAGGTATTTATGTTGAGAATAGCAGCGGATGAGCCAAGAGGCCGAGAATCTTTCCATACGACTGTTCTTTTTTTCTTTTCTGGAAGGGTGTAACAGCAAAAAGCTTTAGTTCCACGAACGAAAGCCACAGGCACAGTCGTTTTGCCAAAGAAAAAGTATCATATACAATGAAGGAAGAAAAGAGGCTACACTTATCAGTCATCTTTTGATCTCAAGTAAAAGGCATGGATCTTAAGAACGTGAGGAGAGTACCTTGGTAAGATTGCTCTGAAATGAAGCGATGGAATCGACGGCGGATTTTGCAAGCCAGCTTATTCCAACTTTAAGACGGTGCTCATCCGTCGGTAGCCTTATCAGGTAAGCCAGCTTCCTCGCTGCCCAAAATCGAAATCCCATCCATTTAATCAGCTTTTAATGGAATCTCTCTCTGTGAAGCAACCAGAAGAAGAGCTGTTTGAGATATAGTTACCGGTATGTCCGATTGGCCCTTCCAGCGTCAACCCTTCTATGAAACTCGGTGATATAGCCGCATCGTATCTCCCCAGCGTCATCATCTCACCCAGATTCTGAAACCTGCAGTCCCACCCACATAAAAACAAAAAACTGATTTCTAACAAAGTTCACGGTACGACTGAATGCAGGCGAAAACATCTATAATATTCCTAAACCTGAACGGTAATAGAGGACGGTTGTTGATCGCTGCCCATATATTCCAACCCGCAAAGTCAGCTTCTTGAAATGCTACCTGAGATTCGACTAAGACACAACAATCAACCATCTCTGATGTTATGGTGCTCCAAACAAAGAAGAGGAGACTAACCATTTGCAACTAGTATAGTGATATACCTGAGCTGTTGCCGGAAGAAGCCTTCCTTTGGAATCCCTTAAAGCGGACGAATCACCTAAGGCGAATATTCGTGGGTGGCCCTTCACTCGGAGAGTTTCATCTGTTTCTGCTTGTCCTCTGGCATTCAAGGGAAGTTCACTCGGTATGTTTCCAGATTCCACTTGAGGTAGCAGAGGCTTGGAACCAACAGTCCACAACACAATATCTGCTTCTAGTGTTCGACTCTTCAACCCTCTTTCTGCAGGCTGAAGCTCTAACAAATACCTCTCATCTTCCTTTAAGTTCTCAAAAGCTTCTGACTCACCCGCTTTCGTTATGCACCGGACAAGATATCCCAAGTACAGTTCGACTTTTCTTGATTCAAGAACCTATCACCAGCCAAAAAGGAAGCAAAACCACCAAATGATTTAGCATCCGACACAAATGGAACACAGATTAGTATAACCTCTTTCCACAGCGACATGAGGGTCTATTTTCAATGGCTAAAAGCTTCATATATTGTAGAGTACAAGAAACTTCAGATATGATTCATTTCCATACCTTAATGGCAGCCTCTCTGTTCCCAGCTGGGGCAGATGGCAAGATAGAGTTCTCCACATTGATGGCTTGCACTATTCCTCGATCTTGCAATCTTTCGGATATGGTGGCAGCTAACTCCACTCCAGAGTAACCACACCCAACAACAGCCACCTTAATGGTAGAACCATCCCTAAAGTTCCTCCTATCCAATTTTCTCAACTTCTCGTTAACCCTCTGCATTGGTAATGTATAATGGTAATCATTATCTAGTACACAACTATGTCAGATGAAATGAAGATATTAAGGGAGAAATCTTACAATTGCATCCTCAAGAGAGTAGAAGGGAAAAGCAAACTCCATTGCCCCTGGAACAAAGTCAAGTCTAGGTTCAGCACCCAGAGCAAGAACCAGCCTGGCTGACCAGTTAAAAGGAAACAAAATGAGTCCAGATGTACCAATCATGCCCACAGTTTCAAGTTGAATGAGTATCATAATAATTCCATCGATACATCAAAAATAAATACTGAAATTCAATGTAACAGATCCAGAGTAGTGCAAACATTTATTCTCATATTTGTGAATTCATCTATCAGGATGGTAAACATAGTACCAGTCATATTCAATAAGAAAGCCACTTTCCAGTAGGACTGTTCCTCCGGGAACGGAACTTCCAGGCCCATTTACACCTAAATGATCAGAAGGTTGCAATGTTTTTACTCTGTCTCGGAAGAATTGGACCCCTGTGTTTGCTAACAAATCCGAAAAACGGGGAGCTATCTCCCACACATCAACTTCTGTATTCAACAAGTTGAGACCAAATTAGCAAACAACAGTAACAACAGGAGATGTGCCAGCGAAATTTAAGTGAGCATAGAAATTACCTCCAGAGAGGAGTTCATACAACATTGGCTTGAAAACAAAACGTTCAGACTGGTCAACCAGAATGACCTGACCAACAATAGAAGACCAAGGCTATAAACAAACTGCTCAGAACACTGTAGAAGTTACATTCCACTGTAAGCATGTCAGACTGTTCTGCCACATTTCTGCATATAATTACTGATGAAACTTCCTTTCCAATGAGTTATAGTTTCTTTTAAACCACTATGACCAATCTGATTGAAAAGCTCAAACTTATCCGCCATAACAGCTGCCTTCTACTTAATCGCACTAAGGAGAAAACTAAGGAAACAACAAAGTAGCGAAGGTGTTATCAGAAAACAGGATACGGTTCTTGAGTTTTTTTGAGGCATCAAGACTGAATGCATCCAAACCTCCAGTGAAATTAGGAATCAGATATATCCATAATTCTAGTCACAGTACTTCATGATCTTCTGGCATATGGATTAATAAAGTATAATCCATCAGGAGAAACTTCAACTAAGCTGAATTATAGTATCTATCCAGCTCCTGCATGAAACCGATATAAAACATACCTGAGGCTTTTTGTCGTCCGGCCACACAAGTGATTCCAGTCTTAAAGCCGTGTACAAGCCTCCAAATCCACCGCCTAAAATGCACACCCTCGGTCTCTGTAAACATAAGCATGGACTGTAAAAATATGGAATTCACTAGGAAAGCAGTATTGTTCCAAAGATTGTCAATACATAAGCCAACTGTAGTAGGAGAACAACCTTTTTATCAGGCCATGTGTAGGTTCGAGGGGCTGTTTCGTTTTCAGATATCCCTGTAGAATCGCCATTTGTTCCCATTGTGCTTGAAACAGAAAACCGGTTGCCATTCCTAGGTGAATTTGTGAGGAAATAAAAGTTTAATCCATGCGTCCTCGAAGATACAGGGGCTAAACTGCTCAATTTCTTTGCGCCACCTGAAACACATCAAAGTTGAACATTCAGATTTTCTACAGATTTCAAAGCCGATGAATAACGTTAGCAAAAGATTCCAGTCTAATCTGTTTTTATGACCAAACAAACAAAAATGTCCAAGCCATTCATGGTTTTGACCATATCCACAATTCTCCAACAATAGCATCCATTATAAAACCAGATTTCCTCGGAAGCAAGGAAACAAGAGCAACAACGAGATTTTCTGACGAACTGAACAGAACAAAGCGCCAGTCTCAACTCATTCTAAGCATAAGAATGAGCTTTCAAAGAGTTTTCAGAATAACATTCACCAGAAGAATCGAACTAAACTTAAAGTCTTAAAGCGAAACCAGACAGAACAAAAACCATCCCCACAAATCGAGCATCGAAAATGATTTCTACCGTGGAAATGATTTTCTGATGAAGAAATTGAAAACTCCACGGAAGATGGAAACCTTCCTACAATTGAAATACAACCAAAAGGCAAGAATCTGCCAGAGGATCAAATATCAATCCGTCATACTAAGTAAAACTCCCCAATCAAACCAAATTTTCTCGGTAAACAAACAGAAAACGACCAAAAAAAAAAGAGTAAGGAGGAGGAAGAAGGGAAAAGAAAGCATACGGGAGAAGGAGACGAGAGGAATTGCAGCGGAGAGTGATGCCATTATTGTCATCCACAAAGGCGGAGAATCGCCGGAGATCGAATTTCACGGCGTATAGTTTCCTATGGATGATCTGCTTCCACGCTCGCGCTGAATTGGCGGAACAGCGTCTGGGGTGTCAGGATAAATAAGATTGCTTAGCGTTTCGTAACGTGGTTCCGAAATATAACACTCCAAAGACAAACTCAAGATATCGCCCCAAACAGCGACTACGATTGCGTTTGCGATTGCGTTTATAAAAGGAAATTTAATTAATGGGTTTTAAAAGTTAAAAACAACTGTTGAATAGGTATGTCGATGACGGCAGTGTGGACGAGGGGACTCTGGTCGCTTCGGCACCGTACTGAGTGGTTGGTAGAGTTGGACTCTCACTCTACAATACGAACCGACAAAAAAGGGAAAAATAAAGAAAAACAATATGTAATAAACGCAGCATCCAGAGAGAATCTGAACTCGAGCTCCCAGCGATTTTCTCCCTCCAAAAAGAAATCCCCATTCCCAGATTTCCCGAATCCAAAGCGGAGAGAGACAGAGAAGGGGATAGAGATTGGCACGAACAGTCCCTTAGTTCTCGCTTCTGAGTGGACGATCTTCAAGAGAACTCGCAGAGGTTTGTTCACTTCGTCTTCCTCTCCAGATTCTGTAAATCGGCTTAGATATGTTCGATCATGTCTGCTCTTGTATCAGATCTTCTTCTTCCTCCATTTTCTGGGTTCCCTTGAACAAGTTTGCTTGCTGGTTGTGTTACCTTTTTTATTCCATCTGTTTAGATTGGTGACCCAAATGCTGATACTTTTTGAAAGCGGTGATTTTGTCTTCACCTTGATTTCCTATTTAGTTAATTCGTTGGTGGGGTTTTTTTGGTTGGATCCTTGTTTTGTGCTTAACGAATTTGATGAATGGCTGATGTTCTGCTTATGTTAATTGGCGAGATTCCTTTAACTCGTGTTCGGTGCGTTCTTCCTTTGCAGCCAAACGTAACTATACTAGTGGTTTTAGACATCATTTTTCATGTGTTTTTCCATCTTGGAGTTTCTGGGTCTCTTCTTGGCTGATCAAAATCTGTCCTTTTCTTCGTATGGGTGAGTTTGATTGGCAGATGATACGTCTTTGTCAAGTGGAGTTGGACATTGCTTCTAGCTTGGTGTGAATTTCTTGTTAACTTCTTGCTTGTTTGATCAAACCACTTGGCTTTTCGAAGCCGCTACTTTGCATCCGAATGATGATTGATATGATGGGGTAAAAGTAGTGACCGATATCTTGATGACCCAATTAGCTCTCAGGGAGGGACTTGCTTCTTGGTCGGGTTGTAGGTTCTATACTACAATTTCGGTTTTATTTCTTCCTCCCGTTTGTGTTTTGTAAGTTGTGAGCCTTGTACCGAGGTATTTCGTCGTAAGCTTTTTAGATAAGCTCCCAAACTCCTTAGCATATGATTATCTTTCCTTCTAGTGGTTGTGTATTCGCCATGCTTATTGTTGAGGATATGCCTTTTGGCCTTGTGAAATCTTTCGTCTTTGCGGATGGAAATTATGGTTGATGTCTCTTAGGATCTGATTGATATTGGTGGCTTGTTGGGGGTTCTGAGATATTCCTCTGAAAATTGAGCAGAGTTCTATACTGAGGTTATGGTAGCAAGTTCCTTAACACTCACATTGCCCTGCTGTATGAACTGCTTAGTTGAAGTGATATGATTCCTAGACCCATGCTTGCTTCCCCTTCTCTCGTGCTCGTGTAAATGCCCTCAGGATGTCCTCATCATGAAGTCCTTAGTTTATCCAAATTGAAAGTTCTTTCGTATGGTGGAGTTTGTCTGTGTGTATTTGTATGCAGATGGATTTTGTTATTCTTCTGTTTGTCAAAACTTTACTGTTCGATTGTATTTATAGCATCTGTTTTTGTTCCTTGTTTCGATCGCAGGAGCCTATTAATAGAATGGCAAGGCGATCATCTGTCTCTTCTCGTTGTCACTCAGACTGTTTCTCTTACAGATGAATTCTAGCTCAAGGCACTGCGAGGTCCTCCCATGTGGGGAGAAAAGTTGTCACTGAGTTATCATTTCAAATATCTACGCATTAAGATTCCTTACAAGAAAGTTGGCCCATAAGGAATCGATCGGAGAAATTTATCCAATTGAAATATTTGTGATCTTTTGAAGGAACAGCTTGTGGTTTGGCTTGATGGGTAAAGACAATCTGTTGGAAACGACTGATTGTGGAGATAGTAACGATAGTTGTCCGCCTGCTAAGAATGAGGAATTGGCCATCGAGGCACGGTTCAGTTTGGATAGCGAGGACGGATTGCCAACTTGTCGTGTATGCCAATGTTCGGAATCTGACAGAAGGGGAGATACTGCATTAGCATTTCTGGGCATTACTCCTCCAGTCCAGGAAGCTCGTAAAAGCAATGCAAGCGAAACTTCTGGTGGCAACAAAACTCACGGGGCTGATAAGAAAAATTCCCAGGAAAAAAACGATGGAAAAGAATCTGGCTGTGTTGAAATAGTAAGCCCCGAGGGGGAGGTCTTCATTTGCACTGGTGACATAGAAACAGGAGAATGGCGGCATCGAGATGCATTGATTCAACTCGGATGTTCTTGCAAAAATGATCTTGCTTTAGTGCACTATGCTTGTGCACTCAAATGGTTTATCAACCATGGATCCACTGTCTGTGAGATCTGTGGACTTGTTGCAGAAAACATAAAGACTGCAGATTTAACCAAAATCGTTGCTGCCTTGAAGGATTATGCTGCACTAAGAGAAAGAACAGCTGATGGAGATCCAAACCATGTGCAAGTGAACGCGGATTCAGGCACTGATCCGGACGAGGTTACTGCCATTCGAAGGCAACGACTTAATGAGATCTCGTCTTGGTTTATTATCCCTCACGGCACGAGCAATGGCAACAATAATTCCACCTCAGCTTCTCGGGTTATTTCAGAACCACCCTTAGGCATCGGAAATGAAGGTATATTACATTTGGAAAGCCGAGCTGCTAGATGGGCTGTCGAAGGTACGGGGATTCTGCTCGCCACAGGGCTGCTCACCGTCTCCATGGCCTGGCTCATTGTCACCCCCCATGGAGGAAAAGTATGCATTCGATCTTTATGTTCTTCTTCAATCAGAATTTTTTTTGTGCATTAAGCTCAAATGTTTGAACTATACTTCTTTCTGGTTGTATGCTTGCTTGACTCTTGTTTACTCGTTCAGAAATCTGCCGAGAGCGGACTTCGCATCCTACTGAGCGGTCTCTGCGCTTTAACAGTTGTTATCTTCGTCAGATTTGTGAGCTATCTTCTCATTTCGACCTATCACCTGTGTTATTCATGTTCCATTTTCAGCCTTTAAATATAACCATGCATCGTCTTCAACACATTGAACGGTGAAGGGATTGAAACTGGCAGGTCTTGCTTTCAAGAATCAGGTACGGCCCTGCGCGCTACTGGGCAATCTTGTTCGTCTTTTGGTTCCTGGTATTCGGCATATGGGCTTCTCGCTCGCATTCTGCTCACTCCAATTGATTCATTTCTTTTTACGTCCTGTTCGGTGTTTTTCTTTTTTCCTTTTTTTGTCCTAAACATATGTATATCCTCATTGATCATATACAGTCGCTAGCATCTATTTTGTCTACTAGCTCTGAGACTGTGCTGTCCTGCGCATGGTTGTAAGAATATCCATCTTTATCCATGGCTGTAATTTGATGGTTTGGTCATCTTTGCATTGAAACATCCGCATATAGAATTGTAGAAGATGCTTATAAAGGATCTGGACAGAGAGCATACGCAGCCTAAACCCCCTGAGGAAGCATCCCCAGAGGCTAAAACTGTATATACAGAAAAGATGTATATCACTGCAGTATTTACAGAACAAGATTTTGTCTTTTTCTCATAACTTTTGCAGAACAGCAAGGATCTGTCTTGAACAGCAATGATCCTAAACAAGAACTGCGTCTTTCTTCAAGATCGGATTGCTCACTCCACGTTTTTCCGCTTCCATTTTTACCCCTGTGGCTGTGGAGCAAACGCCCAATTCAAGAATGGCGAGTCATCATGGAACTGAGACACGGTTCATACGAAGCCGGTCTGGCAAGGGAACTGAGGGATAAAAGCGTCATTTTGCATAAACTCCATGGAAACGAACAGCGACGTATCAAAGGACTCGAAGTCGAAGTCGAAGTCGAAGTCGCTCAGAGCCTCCCTGTTGTCGCACGTGACATCCGGAGATATCACGTGACCGGAGCTGCTCGAATCATCTTGCAGCGTCGGGAACGAGTCCGACGTGTCAAAAGGTGATTGGTCCTCCATCGCCGTCGATTCGGGATAGTGCTTCTCCATCGTTCCCTTCTTGTTGTAGATCCGACACAACACCCAATCATCAAGCTGCCGACAAAGAAACATGTCCCATTGAGTTATCTGATCAACTAATTTTATAAATAAGAAAGGGAACAAAAGATGAAAATCCTACTCGCAAGTTGTTGTTCTTGTTTACAGAAGCAGACCTATCGGCGTCGGCCAGCCGGTACTCGTGCATGATCCAATTGGTCTTGACCCCTTTGGGAGCTTTACCCGCGTAGAAGACGAGTGCTTTCTTTATCCCCATTGTCTTCGGTTTACCAACCGGTTTATCCGCACCGGTCGCCTTCCAATAACCGGTTCCTGCCGCTCGATTTGGCCGCGAACCCTTCGGGTATTTCCGGTCTCTGTGTGAGAAGAAATACCATTCTTTCTCTCCGTACAAAGCCATCCCTAGAACCGAACACCAAAAACAAAATCAACAAACGAATCTCCGAACTTCAGTTGAATCCGAAAACAGAAGACCCGGATGATTTTTTTCGTAATATAATCAAAGACCCATCTATTGGATTTACCCGGAAGGTCCCAAGGATCGAACTTGTAGAGATCAATCTCGGCGATAACAGGAACCGTGATTGGCTGCGATGCGCTTTTCCGACACAAGTAGTGCTTTACGAGCTCCTCGTCCGTCGGATGGAATCTGAATCCCGCCGGTAGGTTCAACTCTGTCTTCATTTCCGAGATCACCCTTCTTCTTTCAGGGTAAAAAGATTGAGCCTTTCGAGAAAGAAGGAATAAAATAAGATTCGATTCGACCTTTCTGAGGCTTTTTTTTATCTGCTAGAGATTGGAAACGAGGAGCAGGGAGTGAGACCATGAAGCTTTTGTAAGGGGCAAGCGGAGGTTTCAGACACGTGCGGTCAAACCGACCGTTTTCTTTTCTACGCTGGCCGCAGCCTATCAGCTGTACACGTGGCGTAATGTTGTTGGATTGTCTATGATGCTATCATTGCTTGCGTCACCCGCAGCCCTCACCGGATTAGTCTTTGTGGATCGTTGACCATTTTTCCAGTCAAAGCCAAACTTTTGATCTGCAGTGTGGCTTTTGCTTTTCCATTATAATCTTTTTAATTTGGTGAAAATATTAAATTCCATTAAATAAATTAGTTGTACTTGTACATGGTTTAGCTTTTTTCTTTGAATCTGGCTAGCCTTAGTACAATGACAAGTCAGCGTTTCTTGAAAAGGGACACCGAGCATTACAAGTGCGCAGTGTAGGTGGTTCCGGTGAGCCTTCCCGCATGAGATTTTGTTTTTCTATATTGCTTACGTCATTCACATGACGTCATCCTACTTACGCGACGGCTCGAATATGCATGCCACGTACATTGTGACTCATCGACGTTGTCTTTTTTCCTTACAAATAAATTCCAATAATTTTTTTTTAATTATAAAAAATCATTAATTATTTGTATGTACTTTTAAAAAAATCAAAGAAAATAAAAATACAAATGCGAAATGTTTTTTAACTCATTTCCCACTTTTTTCAAGTGATGCATTTATGGTGTGGGTTGGATAATTAAGGAAGTGTACAACTCTTAGTCGCAATGAAATGGGCCTTAAAGGAAGCATGTAGGCCCATATTGTAATACCCTTACGTGAAGGCTCCATTTGGGCTTTGTCATGTCTTGTACGTTTTTGGTAACTTCTTTGTCGTCTACGTTAACCCAATCACCGTCATCGGCTTCGCTTATCCAAATTCCCAAACAAGCACCTAATTCAAGAAAAAAGGAATAAAAGTATATTGCTATTTTGTATATTCCCGGAAAATTTATCAAATCATTGTGTAATATAATCTGCTTATGAGAAAGCCAGAAAGTCACGAGATTATTTGTTTATATAATATGATAAATATAGAAGGAAAATATACTAAACCCATTTATTACTAATAGAAGGTTTCTCATTATTCAATATAAAATATTATAATATTTATAAATAGAAAACAGGATAACATAATACCTTATTTAATCGATATAAATTACTAAGATATAAAAATAAAACAAAATATTTACGAAATATTACATAATATTATCAAATCTTCTCCATATATCTTGATAATTACAATTCAATTAGACAGTTTTTATTTCATTGGCAAAAGAATACTAGTACTAAACCCACCTCACCAAATCCCCCTACTTTATATATTCACGTATATACCATATAAATGCCGGATTTACCCAAATCTCCATTTTCAAATCAACGCCCTTATTTTCATTATTATTATTATTATCACAAACTCAAATGATTCGCGGGATTTGTTTAATGCTCCAACAAATACACGTATAAACACACACACACACAGACATAATGTGTATATATACCCATGGATACATTGTCTTTTTTCGGACAGGAGGAGCAGCGGTGAACCCATCTGAACTGGGTTGGGGCTCTTCTGTTCGATTCCTGAAACACCGGCAAGAAGAGGGAAATGGAGCCGGGTCGGGTGGTGGGGTTCTTGTGGGTCATCGGTATGGTTCTGTCTCTCGCCGGCGGCGGCGGCGCTGCGGCGGCGGAGAAGGGTGTAACGTACGACGGGAGGTCTCTGATTATCGACGGCCAGAGAAAGCTTCTGTTTTCTGGTTCCATTCATTATCCTCGCAGCACTCCCCAGGTAAATTTCATCATACATATGTATGTGTGTGTGTGTGTGTGTGTATTCTTTTAAATTCTAATTTTTCTTATTTTGGATTGAATTGGGACATAGAGGATGAATCCAGAAACTTATCTGCATGACATTTTCTTTAAGAAAGTTCGATGGAATGGCAATTAAGAATGGAAATGTAGGAGATGAGTTGGTTTGCGCATGAAGAGAGTATATTATCATATATATATATATATATATACTGACGAGTTCATGAGTTTCTCATCCTCATGTTTTATATGTGAGGTTCAGATACCACCCTCTCTTGTATTCTTCAGCTTTTTTCCTGCATTTTAATATTATATATATATAGTACAATGATAAGTTTCTAATTTTGTATTTTAATCCCTTGTTATTACAAAAAAAAGTAAATAAATGTGTACACATGGAAATTGAACCAAGAACTAGAAACATACAAATACATGGGATAAAATTCTGCACCGTCTTCATACACATATATACTATAGCTTTTGTGATATGATTAACTTTTTAACTGAATTCCATCACGAGTGCCTTGACGTTTTTTGGTTTTTGTTTTCATGTACTTTTTTTTTTGGTAGAATATTGTTTTTTTGGTGGTGGGGAAGAGATAGAAAAATCTAATGAATCATGTATATGGGGATATATTAAAAAAGGAGTGAATGTGAAAATGGGACCATAACCAAAAAAACATGCGAATTTATCTAATTTTGACCACAAAAAAATAAAAATTTCTAAATTTTGACCAAAAAAAAGTGTTTTTTTTTTTTATTTTAGAAAAAAAAAACAGATAATAAAACATCTTTTTTTTTTGGTAAAATCATATGTTTACTTTTTATAAACTATGTTGTTTACAGCTTTAACAATGATAAGGAACATGAAAATCTCTGTTGGTTCACGACTCCCAAAACGTCCTCGTTTTGTCATTCTCCGTCTTCTTTGACTTTCTTTTATTTTTTGGTACTTTAATATATTCAGTTGACGAAAAAAAAAAGCTTCATATTAATTAATTAATTAATTAATTTACTACTAATAACATCTCCTGTTTTCCGGATCTTAAAAACACAGATCCGATGTCTGTGCTTCGTCTAATAATGTCTGCATGGTTTCTACTATTAACCGATAATACTATATTATTATATAAATATAAAGGTCAAAGTGTGAACCAATTTGGGATTTAATTATTTCATTTTCTAATGGATAGGTTCATTTGCTTATTAATTACGATTAGACCCAATTATATAAATCAGTTGATTTTTTTTCATTTATTTCTGTCTGATAATCATTTAGAATAATCATGTGCAAACAGCTCATACCCGAATAGGATCCCAGACCGTGTGAATCTAAATGATTAATTATTAAATATGATTAGACAAATGAATTTCACGTTCAGAATTAAACTCATTAATTTCTCTATATATATATATATTCTTGTCATCTCCAATTTTGAATTTGTAACAATTAAAATGTAATGGTGGATCAATTAAATATCAAGATATGCATTGATGGAGTGTGTGTATATATATATATAATGATTTTTTAAATTTGGTTGGTGTAACGATAAGATAATATGGAAAATATGTTTTTATTACGAGTTTTATATCTAAATGTGAGAAAAATATTCATCCGATTTTTTCTGATTTTTTGGGAGATATATTTAGATCAAAGATTCCGTAAATTTTTAGATTATTAATATATATATATATATATAATGATTTAATAATTAAGATAAGTTAAAAATGATTTGTAAATAGTTCAATTAATTCTAATGATATAAAAAAACATGCAGATGTGGCCATCTTTGATAGCCAAGGCAAAGGCAGGAGGAGTGGATGTGATTGAAACCTACGTTTTCTGGAATCTCCATGAACCCAAACCAGGACAGGTCGGTCCAAATCATATATATATATATATATTGCATGATTTCATATTTCTCTAACGAATATATATTCAGATTATAATGTTTGGTTTAAATGGGAGCAGTATGATTTTAGCGGAAGAAATGATTTGGTGAAGTTCATAAAAGAGGTCCAATCCCAAGGTCTCTATCTCTGCCTTCGCATCGGACCCTTCATCGAGGCAGAATGGAATTACGGGTTTACTTCTTCTTCTTCCCCCTCTCTTTATACGCCGTGTGATGTAATCAATATAATAACGTCACCTTATTTTACGGTTCGGTTTTTGGTTAACCAGCGGATTCCCATTTTGGTTAAGAGATATTCCCGGTATTGTCTACCGGACCGACAACGAGCCCTTCAAGTTCTACATGCAGAATTTCACTACCAAGATTGTGGATTTGATGAAATCAGAAGGGTTATACGCTTCGCAGGGAGGCCCAATCATACTTTCCCAGGTAATTAATTTCGAGATTTTGTTCCTTTACTCCGACCGAACCGGGTCTAGTCCACGGCACCCTTGGTCTAGTCAACCGAGCGGTAGTCTCTTCCTTGCCTAAACCGGGACCGCTACAAAATCGGGCATTAGAACATTGCTTTACCGGAACCGGTTCAAAAATATTAGACCAGACCGGTGAGGAAGCAGTATGGAATGTGATTGTAGATAGAGAACGAGTACGGCAACGTGGAGGAAGCTTTCCGAGAGCAAGGAGCGGCGTACGTACGGTGGGCGGGGAAAATGGCGGTGGGGCTTCAGACCGGAGTGCCTTGGATCATGTGCAAGCAACCCGATGCCCCCGATCCCGTGGTCTGTACACATCTGGCTAAAATCACCATTTTTGAAAGCTTCACATATATGATATACAGACACATATATATGCATACACTGTTTGAGTAAATCTCATGTGGGAGTGGGTAGATCAACACATGCAACGGGATGAGATGCGGAGAAACGTTCACGGGGCCGAACTCACCGGACAAGCCGAAGATGTGGACGGAGAACTGGCCATCCTTGTGAGTTGCACGTGTCTGCTTTCGTATCCATGTTTCTTCCTCGTCCAACAAGAGCTCTCACCAGTTTGTTTTTTTGGTCTGACATGAAAGTTTCCAAGTTTTCGGGGGAGAGCCGTACATAAGATCAGCTGAGGACATTGCTTTCCATGTCGCTCTTTTCGTCGCCAAGAACGGAAGCTACGTCAACTACTACATGGTAACTCCACAACCTTAACTCTGCAAGAACACACATTGTCTGTAATGGTTTTGATTGTATAACTTAACAGTACCACGGAGGAACAAATTTCGGGAGGACCACGTCTTCGTATTTCATAACAGGGTACTACGACCAGTCTCCTCTCGACGAATACGGTCTGCCTCTTACACCTAAAAACCTCTTCTCATAACTCTAATGCATCGAACAATTACTCGATAATCCGGACATTTTTCTTGTAGGTTTGCTGAGGCAACCAAAATACGGCCACCTCAAGGAGCTTCACTTGGCGATAAAATCTGTCGCGGAGCCTCTGCTACAAGGGAAGCAAACATTTCTCTCTTTGGGTTCATTACAAGAGGTGAAAAGCCTTTAATCTATATATATATATATATATATATATATATATATGAGCAGGGAAAGTACTGTAGTTTCTTAAACCACTCTTTGTATTTGTGTTTTTTGTTTAGGGCTATGTCTTTGAAGACGCAACAAGTGGATGCGTGGCCTTCCTCGTGAACAATAACGCCAAGGCAGCTACCGTAACATTCAGAAACAATGCATACCAGTTGCGTCCAAAGTCCATTGGCATTCTGCAGAACTGCGCCACCATGATCTTTGAGACAGCTCGGGTTAAGTTTCGTTTCTTTTTGTACTGTTCTTCTCAGAATCACATTCGAGCTTTAGATGCGATAGAGTAACGGATAAACAAAAGCGAGAAGACTGAATACGGGATCTTTGATAGGTTAATGTGGCAAAGAACATCAGAGCTACGACAAGAGTTCAACTGTTCGACGCTGAGGACAAATGGACAACAGTCACGGAGAGTGTTCCGAGATTTTCAGACACATCTTTCAGGGCAAATGCTTTGTTGGAGCACACCAACATGACCAAGGACACAACCGATTACCTTTGGTATACGACCAGGTACATTGGTCGAAACATCTTTTCCTTTTTAATCTTCTGGTACGATTTTTCTTTCGCTCTTACCTATCATTTCGATCCCGAGGAACAGGTTTGATTCGAAATCGGCCTGCATGAACCCCGTGCTTCACATTGAATCCTTGGGGCATGTTGTTCATGCATTTGTCAACAATGTCCGGGCAGGTAATTTTTCACTGGCTACATATTATCTCAGGGGACTGTAACATAACAATGGATCAGTCTTTTTTTTGAGACGAAACAAAACAAGATAAGATCTGTTTTTGAAGATTCTGTTCTTATAAAGACTGAGGGAGTATGTAGGGTCTGGACACGGAAGCCGGGACATCAAGGTAGTTAAAATGGACGTTCCAATTCAGTTAACAAGCGGACCAAACTACATCTCCATCCTCAGTGCCATGGTTGGCCTCCCGGTAATATGCTTAACCAAACTCGGTTTCTTCTTTGTCAATTAGAATCACAATTCTTCCCCAAAAACAGCACTGAATTTTACGTATGGATTGAACCCTGTAACGGGTTATATCTCTTCATGATGAAGGACTCGGGACCTTTCTTGGAGAAGAAATCTTTTGGACCGACCAAAGTGCAAGTGGACTGTTCAGGGACAATGAAGTATGATTTGACCAGATCTAAATGGGGTTATCAGGTGAAACAAAACGTGATTTTTCTCTCGCTCAAGTGATCTGAACCAATCAGACCGAGTCGAATGTGTGCATAAACCGAGTGTGTGTCCAGGTGGGTTTGGTCGGGGAGAAGGCTAGGATGCAGGACAAGAACAAAGTGAACAAGGCGAAGTCACTGAAGTGGAACAAGAACGGGGTTGTCCTCAAGAACCAGCCTCTTACCTGGTACAAGGTAAGCAGGAGACCTAGTTTTGCATATTTCATATCATATCATGTTCGTATGGACGAGAAATGAAGAGAAGGGGCATATGGTTATATGTTGACGTAGCAGACGACGTTTGGGACACCGAAGGGAGACGATCCAGTGGTTCTGAACCTGACGACAATGGGAAAAGGTGAAGTTTGGGTTAATGGCCAAAGCATTGGACGCTACTGGGTGTCATTCCTCACCCCTTCTGGCCATCCTTCTCAAGCCTTGTAAGTAAATAACACTGTTTCCGTTTCCATTTTTTTTATAAACCATGCATGGATATGTTACGTTGCTCTTTTATATTGAGAACGATAGATTAAAATACTATTAGAAATTTGATTTCGTTGAATTGAAATTGATGAAATCAGGTACCATATTCCAAGAGCATTTCTCAAAGAGGGTGGAAATCTTTTGGTGATGTTTGAAGAAGAAGGTGGAGATCCCCTTGGAATCTCATTGAACACGGTTTCGGTTATCGGTCCTAACCAACAACGGTCCCCATCTCAATTTGTCCGATGATTATTTTTAGGAAAATATTTTAAAAATAATAACATTATTATTCAAACGTTGTGTGCGCTCTTTGCATGCATGTTGACGGAGACAACACGAAATCTTAGAATGGCAAATAAGATGGATTGAACCTATGATTGTGGATTCTAAGAACAGACGTTGGCCATCGTGACAAAGGACTTAACACTAACGCCATTTAACACGACTTTAAAAAAAAAAAAATCAAACGGCTTTTACCTCGTTTGAGAAGGCCCTGATTGGAGTTTACTTGAACGCCTGGTCCGATGATGGGTTTCAAGATCGCAACCTCTTGAAATCGCTTTGCGGGACACTGATATCGCCTCCGTTACCGCTGTCTGACAGTTCCGTCTGACCCTGTTTAACATGTAACAAAAATAAAAAATTTTAAAAAAATATCCGAGTAAAAAACTTCGCCCGCTGCTTAAATCATTAAGCCGGGTTTTTTCGTGCTTGTGGGTTATTTTCTTGTTCTAACTCTCTAGGTCTGTTAGAGACAGTGAATTATGAATCAAAACAAAACTAAAGTCATGTGGAGGTTTCAGATCTAATTTGATCGGATGTTGCGTCCAATGAGACGAAGATGGTTTGGTGATAGATTCTGAAGCTTATGATTTAACTGGTCTAACTCTAACAGAGCGTTTGCTGTCAGGAATTTCCTCCACAACTCTTGGCAAGATATGCTCTAATGTGTGCCGGAAATAAAAGCTTACAGTTTCACCAGGAACAACTGCGTATCTCTCTGAGGGTGACACCCAGCTTTTGCCTGCACAAGGTTAATGTCCCGGAAACTATCAGAACTAAGATTTCGTTTATAGTAGGAAACAGCGAACTGAAATCTCATTGTACCCGTCGATGGATCGAAGTTTGAGGATTCTATCTGTTGCCCACTCGCTCCATCCACGCTCAGAGGCTCTATGATCTTTGGGAAGTTCCTTTACAGATGAAACCAAACATTTGTATCATCAATAATCTTATATGAACCCACCCCATACTAAGCCCAAACCAATCCTCGTAAGGCTCATTGGTAGAATTGAGCCCCAAAAGCTAATACTAAAACCAAAAGAAACGAAATGTCGTGTTCTTAACAAGTTAAATCTTCTAAAACATGTCAATTTAGCTTCTGGCCTTTAGACTTTATCGATAAAATTAAATTATCTTGCAATTTTCTCTCAGTCACAACCAACGGTATGCTTACCTGTCAACAGACTCTCCATGGCCCAGCTGTCCATTTGTACCTCTTCCCCACGAGAACACATTATTTCGTTCGGTGGCAGCCAAGGTATGTCTCCATCCACAAGAGACTTGTACTACTCTCTGTGAAGTGCCAAAGGAGAGTTAACCAATTTTTAATGCAACAAGCTGCATCCAAAAAAAAAAACTCAACGTAAGATAAACATACCTGGTCATTGGGAAATCTCACTTGCACAGGAGAACAATGATCTACATTGTCACTGACTCCTACTTGTCCAAACTGCAGGTTAAATGGCCCAACGTAATTAGAAGCTCGTCCTAGCAAAGGTAAATTGCTTAAACTTCCAAGTCTACGATTAGGAATTACAAGAAAAAGGGTAGTGTGGTTAAAAGGAAACAAGAAATAGCATGTCTTGTTGACAAGAGAAAAGCTTTTCCTAAAAATATACATGACAAGAGAAGATGTTTTCTTAAAAATAACATACATGTACTGATGTACACCCCTATGAATCTTAAGGAGAGAAGGTGTTGCACATGTAATCCAAAATCGAAGCAGGGAAATGGTTGTCTATTCTACGAAAAATGTCTACATCCAAGATATAGTATGCAAATGCATAAAGCAAGTCAAGGAAATAAAATCTTGACCTTATTCCAACCCCATCCATACAGCTTTCCATCTGAGGTCAGTGCCATGGTGTGTCTCCAACCTCCTGATATCTGGAAACAGCCAAAGAAAATCCGAAAGTTACAGAGCCAAATATAGGTAATATGGACCGCCATAGTACATGATAGAAACGAGAATATTTGTTAGCAGTGTGTTATCCAAGCATGAAGAGATGATAATTAAATTGGATTCGGAGTACACGGCGAAAACCTGAGATATGAAACAGTTGCTCAAGGCTTCCAGCTTGCAAGGAACAAGGTGATCCTCAAAATCTCCGTGTCCTAGTTGACCATATTTGCTCCAACCATAAGTGTACAATGCACCAGAGAAAGAAACAGATATAGTATGTCGCCATCCACAAGCAACCATTGCCATCCTCTCACCCTAAAATGCAGTTGCCACAATATCTTCAGAACAATAAGATAACCAAGAGAGCAGAGCATGAAAAGGGTAAGCTGACAGAAAATAATATAACGGGATAAAGAAAGAAAATAAAAGTCAGCCAGTGATGAAGTAACACAGTACTAATGATTCATTAACAAACTAAACTTGGTTTTGCTCAGTATTTAGGTTTAAGGCGTCAAGGGCCATTTACTCGTGTATGTCCATCTATCACAATACTAGTATAATGCACAGTGTTACCATAAGTGAAAATGACTTGGAAGATTGAACAATTAGCAGGTGGTTAAGTCACTCAAAGAATAGAGTTTGGTAGTATACACCAGCAGAGGTAACTTTTTCAGGCACCCAGCGGTCATTTCTGTCACCTAATCCTAGATTTCCATATCTTCCCCAGCCCCATCCATAAAGATCGCCATCTTCAGTAACCGCAGCAGTATGTTCAGCACCTGCAGCTACCATTTTGATTCGTACTCCCTGCACCCATTATAAGTATGATGAAGTGATCTGATACTGGAGATGGGGAAACCAATTTTATAAGCTTGTAGTCTCCAATCGAAATATCTTCATTAGTCCGGCCTCATCATTTAACCACATAACTTTTTTGTATTATATTCTCTCTGCATTTTCAGCTATTCACATGGCTTGAAGTTAATTTGGTCAGATAGAACTTACAAAACTTACAATCATGAACTAACAAACTACTATTTTGAAGGCATCTCCACCAACTGTGGAACCCTAATCGGTGCCGTTCAATCTTTTCAAAGGTAAAGTGAAAGGAATGGAATAACATAGTTGATCCAGTTTGAAAGGCATATAGTCTTTGAAAAATTCAAGAAGCTAAAAGGAAGAACACTATTAGCAAAATGGAAGCAGAAGAATCGAATAGCAAGACAAACCTCAAAAGCTTGAATCTTTTGAGGTACCAAAGAATCTTCTGTGCCCCCGAGACCAAGTTGACCGTTCTGGTTGCGTCCCCAACTTTACAGAGAAGCGAAGATGTGTTAGACAACTAAGCAGGAATTCAAAAGTGTTTGCTGGATGAAATCACTGACATGCTACATCTCTGAAATGGGGTGTGCAATTCAGTTTGATTAGCAAGGATTTCATATAAGGCAACAAACATTAATATAAAAATGTACCTCTGCACCTCTCCTTCCATGGTCACAGCCAAACAATGGCTATCCTCACAAGCAATCTGTTTTATCCGAATGCCATGTAACGCTTTGATTGGTTGTGGAGTGAACAAGTCGCTAGAGTTTCCATGGCCTAACCTCCCAAAATCTCCCCTGCAGAAAAAAAATATGAATGGAGATATAGGAGTCTTAGAGCTAGTAAAAAACTCTAGGATAAACTCTCAGCGATACAAAATACGTCCTTATAGGACATTTATATAACAAAATGACATTAACACAGAAAAAGAAAGTTCTTTTTCTTTCCCCTTTTTTGGGTATGATAAAGATAAAATAATCTTGCACAACAAGATGCATAAGATCAAGCACTATGAGAACGAACCATCCCCAACTATAGACCTCCTTCTGTGACTCTGAATAAGCAATGGTATGATCAGCACCGCAGGTAACAGAGACAACTTGGTGCTCATCCAGAGCACTCAGCTGTGTTGGAGAAGGTCGATCCTCTGCATCACCGTGGCCTAACTGCCCATCCTCTCCTCGTCCCCATGAGCAAACGACGTCCCCGGCTATAATTTAAACATCAGTCATTTAATTAAATGCTGAAATATATCCTGATATATACCAATCCTTAGTTTTCAGTCATCATTCCAAGTGTAGATAGTGTAAGGAGACTACCTAAGGAGCACAAGACAAGTAAATCAAAACACGTGAAAGATATACTTTAAGAAACAGCTTACATTAACAACAAACACTTGCATTCACCTATGTTGAGACTGTACTTAGAGAAAATTGTGTTCTAACGACGCAAACATGCTAACATAACACAAAATTCACCGTCGCATTCCGAGATCATGATTCCTAAACAACCTCATGATCGATTCTCAGACCTAAAAACACAAAAAATTTCTGATGCTCAACACTGCAGAACTCGTTTTGCTCAAGATTGGATTTCAATCAGGAGGCAATGAAAAACACCGCATAAGCGAGAAAATGCAGCCAAACAACATCCCGGCGGGAAACCGAAGACTTCAAATTGAACTCGAAAACCTAATCGATCCCACAGCAAAAAAGTAGAAAGAGAAAAGAGTAGAGGATCGTACAGAGAAGAGCGAGGGAGTGACTGGCTCCAGCGGAGATGATAAGAACCCTACGAGGCGGAGCCGGAGCATCCTCCGCCATGGATCGCAAATACACAATCTCTCTCCGTCCCTGGAATTTTGGTAAATTAACCTAGTTTCTATTATTCCCCATGGAAATTAATAATGGAAGGGAAGTCCACAGCTTCTCTTTCTCTATCTAGAAGTAGTAGAGAGAGAGAGAGAGAGAGAGAGAGAGAGAGAGAGAGAGAGAGAGAGGCGAAGGTAAGGGGTTGGATGCAGAGGTCGGTATTAAAGGCGCGACAGAGATTTCACATTTTCATTCCATCTCCCACCTTCTAATATTTACCTTTTCACATATATATATATATATATATTACTGCATAATATTTTCGTTGCTTTTTTATTTTATTTTATTTTATTTTGGAGTAGTCGGATATTAAAGCAAAGATGGAAACAGAAGGATCGATCACCCGCCATTAATGGCGGATAGGGGTCCCCTACCTTGAATACTATATACATATGTATACATTAATAGCAAAAAAATATTATTATTTTATGAAGTTGATAGATATATACCCCCTTGTAATTTAACCGTTATTCTTGTATTATATTTTACCAATATGGAAAGTTTTAGTCCGGGGAACAAAGCACGTTGAGAAACGAAATAAATTCTCGAACATATTTTTTTTTAGTATAGATAGTTCGTGTAATTCGTCTTTTATATTAATTTTTAATAAATTTTAAATCAGAATTTTTAGACCGAACATAGATTAGGTGGGTTGAGTCGATCGCAAAACACAAGCGGGAGGTAATTTCTGTTCGTCGAAGGTATCGGAATCTTCAACAGCATCTACTGCAGACGACGACCCACAACACGACAAAATCTAAATAAAAAGGCACGTGCGACTGTACACCAACAAAACAGTCGACAACCATAATTTGTACGATTTCGAGTAAACAGGCATGGTGGTGAGTGACGGGTTTTGAAAGTGTGTATGTTCATCTCCGGACAAACTAAGTTGTTATCAGACAAAACGAGAGTTTCAAGACCTTCCAACGGACATCATCATCATCGTGAGAGTGATGATGGGAAGAACACAAGGACCACAAAATGGGCAACACGACAAAGTGAATGTCAACAGCTTACTTCTCTGAAGAGTCATGGTTCTTGTCGTTGAATGGTAAGAATACGATCAACAGTGGCTCGGCTCGAACAGAGGTTCCTGACCTTTAGTTTGTGCCCTTTGATAATGCAACAGCTTCACGCTCCTGCCGGATTCGTTCTCTCTTGAGCCATCCCATGAAACACCATTACCAAAACAAAAAACCAATCATACTAATCAGTCTCACGAGATTGGTGGCAAAAAAAAAACAGCAAGTCTTCTTCCACAAACATTATCAATAGTTACTTGCAGTCCTAATGCATCATGAATCACTCACCAAATGACATATCTATCTAAATTTATGGCAAGTTTATTATTATTGGAATGAGATAAGCTCGCTTGCCGTGGGGTTTGAGATCACGGGTTCGAATCAACCTCTCTGCATTAAAAAACAGGGTTGCCTAGTATATTCCCTTCCCCAACACCCCCACGAGTTGGGGACTCGCACAGGGTTGGTCCTTTATTATTATTGGAATGAAAGCAGACAAGGGTGGTAAGCAAATAGAAAGCAGAGTCAACATAGGAGAGTGAGTGTAGAGGAGCATGCATACCCTTCTTTCCCAGTAAGGAAGGAAGCAGACAAAGTCATAGACTGGAGTGATCGTCTCCACCAACACAATGTTTATTCCCGTGAAAATCAAGAGCCCTGCCAATGGCCGCGTCCTGTGCGGCATCCTTCTTCCAATCCAACCCTCTACGATTTCCCCCCCTACTGCTGCTATCATCATCATAATAACACCCTTCTTCTTAGTCACCCATTGATAATTCACCCAACTCACTCAACGATTTCCTACTCTTTTACCAAAAACTGAAACCAATCTACAAGAACCCTAAAAACCCTCACCAACCCTTTTTCTTTCAGAAATCTATCCATGATCCACACAGCGACATCAACGTAAACAGGGCAGTGGTAAATTTCAAGCCCTGATGACTAGAAATCAACCAGGAATTTCGACACGCCATGGAAGATTAAAAAAATACTAAACTAATCACAAAAAATGTACCAAAAATCAACACCATAACTACTTACAATGACAAACTTACCGTGATCTCGGAGTTAAACCCTAGGTTTCTCACCAGAGGGAGAGGCGCCTAGGAACCGCGAATCTTATCCGAAATGGAGACGAAGCGAAGCAAAGATGCAAAGAAGTCCCGGCGGCGGCGGAGAACGCTGGCGAAGGAAGCGATTCTGGAATGCGAAATAGAGAGATAAATTGTATCACTATCAACGTAGAAATTATATATAAAAAAAATGTCTGGATATTTTATTTAAGTGGGGGATAGAAAGAGTTTGGACGGTGGATGACACTGCAACGTGGCAAAGTAATTAACAATAAAGAGCTCATCACCGTCCGATATTTTCCGGACGGCTCGGGTCGGGTTTCTGTCAAAAATTTGAACCAAAAAGAACTGATAAGACAAGGCGAGTGATACATAACATAAGACATCTTTTGCATTAACATTCTGCCAAAACATACAATTTCTGCAGTCTAAGGCTCAGACAAGAACTGAACAACAGAAAGAGCCCCTGTCGAGATGATCACCCATTTCTACCAGAAGGTAAAGGTGAAGTGAGCCCTAAGATAGGTCGGCCATGGCCTTGTCGATCTCCTCTGCGTGGCCTCGCCCGGAGAGGTTTCCACTGCATTCTCAGCAAAGAAAACCACTTTAATGAATAGGCAAAGACGATAATCGTAGTTAGCAAATGGAAACCGGGGGATCGAAGGTAGATATAATACCTGATCCACGCTGGAAGAGATGCCTGAAACATACGACAATCATCTCAGTTACTTTTGCTTTTTATAGGTCATGCATATACTTAGTTCTTACAATGAAGCATATGCCTTAGATATATCATCTCTATGTGATATGATGATAATCATTGCCGGAATCCCTCTGTCATGACTTACCAACTACTTAGCTAAACCACTCTCTTCATTAGCTCATAAATCTATGGCTCTAAGTAAGTCCATCTAAGTCACCCGCATAAATGACGACAGGTTTTGATTTGAGATTACGAAAAGGATACGAGGAAAGTACCCAGATTCGGTCCATTAGGAAGTGAAGTAAGAACAAGGTCTACACAAAATTATTTTGATCCTTGCACCTGTATTCTGCAGGATTTTTGCACTTTCTCTGGAGCATGAAAGATGATAACTTATGACTTTATCTTGCCTAAAACACTACGATTAAAGTATGAACAAAGGGTATGTTTCAGTACTTTCAAAGGAGTTCCAAAAAAATGGGAAGTGTCATCTAGGAGAAACACGTGCATTGCCAAGAAGCAAACCAAAACAGAGCAAACTCCTACATGCTCTTTTGATTACTCCCACAACCGATGAAGCATCTTTCACCGTAATGGACTTCCTCGAGCATGTCCAACCCCAAGAATTGTTCATCCAGTAACGTTATTGGCAAAAAGCTAGTCTCTTTCCTACCTAAATACTTGCAGAAACGTGAAGAAGAAAATTGCATTGCATAGATGAATAACGTACGCTAACCCAAAGGAAACTACCAGTCCACAAATCAAAGAGAATATAGATGGTAAATTTCAGATGGTGAGTGGAAAAAGCTAAACTTTCTTGCCAGGCAAGGTCTTGTCATCCTTGATATAGAACTCACGGATGTCAATCCAAAATTTCCCCTTCCAATTCCTAACCGAGACTCTCCTATTATTTGATGTCTGATCAAAAGCAAACAGACATAAACCCCGTAACGCATTGCTTTCCCTCTTATCACGCATCAATTCAAGCAAAAACCCTATTATCAGCCTCTTCGTGAATACCCTAAAACATAAATACGAGATTTTGGTCCTTTAGAAACAGAAAGGGCTAACATTGCAGACGACAATGTCGTCAGACTCGTCGGAGGAGTCGGCAGACTTGGCGGCCTTCTTCGCTGGAGCATGAGCCTCAGCGTCTTCATCCCGCGCGAACCCTTCCTTGTCTTTTCTCTTTCCTCTCGACGCCATTTTCAGACACCCTGTGGAGGGAAAAAACCCAGAAAATTCTCGTCAGACCAAGGTAGGTAAAACTCGCAGAGATAAACCATAACCACAAAATCACCACCATACACGAAAGAAAAGAAATCTCTTTGACCCTGCAACTTGCCTGTCCATGATCAATCTCTGTTCTTCAAGTTCATACTCTTGGAAGAAACTAGGAAAAGCGGAGCGCCATCCCTCCAATACCGGGGCTTATATACTATGTTTTCGTTTTCGGAGAGAAGGATGCGATTGCCTATATCACGCGCGCTTAGCGCGTGTATTAGCGAAAATTGCTGAACTTGAAACGCGCGTTTCTGAAAAGCGCGTTTTAATTTCTCCTCGCTCCCCGAGCTTTGTGCGCTGGACTGTTGATCCAACTGGACAGAGAGAGAGAAGACAGATTGGACTTTCTTTGAAATTCCGAAGGCCTTTCGAAAGTCTAGGACTCGTCGGTTTCGTCCCGACGACGAAATCTTCCATTTTCCAGGACGATTTTGATTTCTTATTGTCGATTCGAAATCAATAGATGGGGAATTTATTCGTGAAGAAGCCGAAGATCACGGAGGTTGATCGGGCGATTCTCTCTCTCAAAACCCAGAGGCGCAAGCTCGGTCAATATCAACAACAGGTTCATGGTCCTCGTTTACGGTCTCTGCTTTGGTGTTATATTCGTTTTCTAGGGATTGATTTTGGTCGAATTTGAACTGGGTTATTTTTGCTTCTTGATTTGTAGCACCTATGGAATTTGAGATTGAAGGAACGTTCGTTAGTTTGATTCATCATGCCCCCTTGTGGGTAAAACCGTAAAAGCTGCCAACTTTCTGCTACGTTTATCCTAAACTTGATGTCTCTGGTTATTGGGAAGTAGGAGTCGATTGGTGATTTGTTTGCTTCAGAGTTCAGAGTGCCACACAGAAGATGGTGTGTCCCTTGAATTTATGGTTCTGATGCAAAATTCGTGCTTGATCTTTTACATGAAGTTACTCGACAGACATCTAGTTTCTGTGTCTTAGATAATGTTGATGGTTCAACAATGTAGTCCTGTGTCTGTTTCACTTTTTATTACATTTCTTTAAGTGCGAAATAGCGGAAACAGTGTTGATGAAGTGCAATAGCTGTTCTTGCTTAATATGTTGAGTTTCATTGCCTTAGCCCTCCTTTTTACATTTTCTTTTCAGCTGGAGAAAGTAATTGAAGCCGAGAAGCAAGCTGCTAGAGATTTGATCCGTGAAAAGCGAAAAGACCGGGCCTTGTTAGCATTGAAGAAGAAACGGGCACAAGAAGAATTGCTGAAGCAAGTGGATCAATGGGTCATCAATGTTGAACAACAGGTAAATCTTCTCTTTAAGGTTATTATTATCATCTTTTTTTTTCTGGTTTCATCGTTGTACTCAATTCTGTCATCTGACTTCTCAATTTCCCCTTAGCGATAATGTAAGCCTGTATTTACCTGATAGGGATGTCTATGCCTCCTTGTATGGCTTTCAAGAGATATTAAGACAGCTTGTTTCTTTGTGTCTCTGTGGTTCAGTTGGCAGATATTGAACTTGCGAGCAAGCAGAAAGCTGTCTTTGAAAGTTTAAAGCAAGGTAACAATGCAATTAAGGCAATTCAAAGTGAGATCAACCTTGAAGATGTTCAAAAACTCATGGATGACACGGAGGAGGCCAAAGCTTATCAAGATGTGAGTTTAACCTCGTTGTGTGCATGCATGCATGCTCTTCATTCAGTCATGTTTATACTTTTTCTGCTTTTTTAACGGGCCCCTAGTTATCAAGATGTGAGTTTAACCTTGTTGTATGTTTTGTTTGTCTTTGTCTAGCTTGCAATTGTCTGTAATTATCAGTTCAAGCTTTATCTTGATTTCACTGATGTCGTGTTTTCTATTTCTTGCTAAATGGATTGTCCTGTCCTGCATTTGGATGTTAGGAACTGAATGCCATATTGGGTGAAAAACTATCAGCGGAAGATGAGGAGGAGATACTAGCAGAGTTTGAGAACTTGGAAAGTCAGGTATGTATCATCATCATATGTTTATGTAAATGCCCCACTTGTTCTGGTATTCCCTTCTTCATAATCATTGGACAGTGAAATATGTTATCTAGAGTTGTTATCTTCTTTAGTGGAGTGGGATGTAATAATATTATGTTTTTTTTTTGTTTTGATTGCTTGTTAAAAGCTCATTGTTGAAGACTTGCCTGAAGTGCCTAAGACAGAGGCAGTGTCTGAAGAACCCGAGAAGCTTGATCTACCCGATGTCCCGACCAAAGCACCAGTCCCTCCCAATGCGGAAATCACTCCGGCTGAATCTTCATCAAAGAGAAAAGGTCTTTTGCTCTTTTCTTTTTCTCCATATCTTACCTGCACCAGTCAAAATGACAACCTGTTCAACTCCTGATGCTTTTACCTGTTCTGTCCCGTTCTTGTTTTGGTGCAGTTCTTGAAGAACCATTACCTGCTTGATTCAAGAGAGATGTTCCATGGAGTCTTTCTCTCTTTCACTCCCGCAGATGTATGTAGCCCCTCGATTTCCTCTTTTCCTATTCCTGCTCGGGCTTACCATAAAAAAAAAATGGTTTTAACATTCTTTTGATACTGTGTTTCTTTTAGGGTCCTGAAGATCTGTATAACTTCACTCGTGCAAATTTGTAAAGAATGTCTTTCTCTTGGTTATCATAAATAGCTGAGCTGTTTGAATTGTTTAAAGCTGCTTTCTTAATTGTTCCACGTCTCTCACCTAGTCCCTTACCAGTCTCTCGAGGAATTTCTAAACCGGACTGGACCTCTTTATATTGGTTCTTTTCAGTTCAGTTTGGTTTGATTCCATCCGGGCAAAAGCCTATTAGATACATGTTTTACCCGACGAGACAGGTCACGAGCATCACGTGCGCAAATGAGAATCAGAACACCAAAAAAGGGTCTATTATACAACATCAGCACAGAAAATCAGGTGCGGGTTTTGCATCGTTTCTTCGTCAAGTAAACCACTCACTATCAGCGATCAGGAACATAGCTGTGAGCTTCTGTACCTGCAGGCATTGTCCCTGTTAGGGCGTGTCCTAACCTCATCAAATATCTGAGTGGAGACCAGAACTGCAGCTTCTTGTCCCCGAAGAAGATCCCTTCGTCAGAAACCTGGAGAGGATGAGTCTTGCTACGTTCTCAGCAGCCACGGCACTCGTCTCCATGGTGCTAGCCCCATTTTCAAACGCATTCACGTAGTACAGATGATTTCCGTCCAATATAAATGGCGCGAAAACTTCAGGTGCATGGTACTTTGGATACGCGGCCCAGTCTATACGAATAGTCTCTTCTCTGATCCTGTTTGGTGAAAGAAAACAGACCAAGTGATCAGAAATCTAATAACACAGTTGCTCATTTGCGCTATGATCCAATCTCTTTTCTGTTATTTTGGTCATCCTGTCTTGGACTGAATCATGATTCTTTAGTAGGAGTTCTGGTGAGATAAGTTGTGCGTAGAGCTGCAAGAATTACCTGAAGAGGTCATCCAGCAAGGCTTCGGACATGGGTTGTCGCGAAAATATCTTGTAGGTCGTATCGTTGTCACCGTGTTTCTTGAGGACTGAGATGCTGGAGAACGGGATTTCAGGGTCCTCGATGGTTCCCACCAGATTCGGTATGTCCAAGACGGATTTCAGCCCGAAATATCCCTTTCGAAAGGGGGAAACTATATTTAGAAGCAAATCCAGAGACAGAATGGATCCATCATGCAATGACACTTACTGGGTTTAAAATTCCTCTCACAAATGTTGCATGTGTGTGTTGAAGCTCTCTCTTGGGTATTGAGATTGAGGGTAAGAATTGAATATCCACTTCATCCAATGGTGTAGCAACCACTGCAACATCGCATTTGTAGCTGCCCCCTTTGGTGGAGTTAAGCTCGTAATATTCACCGAGATATGAAATCGATTCAATTCTCTCATTTAGGTGTAAAGTAACATCAGAATGATTGATCAGCTCGGCAGCCATCTTCCAGTTCCCACCTTCGACAGCCCATAATCCTCCACTTGAACCTGCCATGGAGACTGCACCTGCTAGTCCGCTGATGAGTAAACTCTGTCCATAGTTTATCCTGGTAATGACCTGGACAGGACAAAGGGAACAGAACTAGAACTTATTAGCCGAGATGCCTATGTAGTCGAAAGAGAAGAATGGCTTGCAGGTGAGAATCCTTACAGTAATGAGCTCGTTGGCTAACAAAGGAGATAGCTGAGCCTCGGATAGTTCCTCCTGGAGTGTCCGCCTTGTCAGATTGTACAATCCTGACCACTTAAGCATCTCTTCGACGGTTTCAAAGATCGGTCTTGTTTCAGGATTTTTGTAGTACTTCAAGAAATTACCCACAGCATTCTGCGTGCACAAAGATACATCGAGCAAGAATGGATAACTGTAGCAAGAACATCTCTGTAGATTACATAAAGAACTGCTTATGGTAAATGTGTGCATAAACAACTTCCTAGATCTTTCCGTGCATCTTATAGACAACGTTCAGAACATCAGTTACTCTTCTGTCTGTTTGTAATGTTCTGTTTTGGATCATCCAGCCAGAGAAACTTTCTTTTCATCGCTGAAAGAAGCAAAAGTTCTGCTTCCAAGGACCACTCGTTTACTCAAAAGTCAGACAAATTCGCGCTAGGACGAAAAGCTGAATCTACTTTCAGACACTCTGCAGAGAAACCAAAAATGGTGGAAAGCGATTATGGATTGGGTGTTTCTATATTGTAATCAACCGGATAAAGATCCAAACATTTCGTCGCTCAAAGCATCCAGACGCTCCATAAACTCTATAATCTGAATTACCCCTTTAAGGAATCCATGGGTTTTGATTCAAATTACAGGAAATTCACGAAAAATTAGGTCTGTTTACCATAGAGAAAGGTGGAGAGAATACCTCAGTGAAATCGTTCATCCTGAAGAGCGAGAACCCGTAACGCGCGAAAATAGAAAGATCATTTAACAACGAGACGATCCAGTTCAGCAGCGGAGACTTGAAACTAGCCCTTAAAGTCTTGAAGATAAACCCTCTCCCATTCCAGATTCCGACCGACGAATCATCCGACGACGAGGAAGGCGATCGGATCTTCAGATTAAACTTCTCGGTGAAGTTCCGGGCGTGGTAGTTCTTCGGGTGAAGAATCGAAGCACCGGCCTCAAACGTATCGCCGGTGACGGTTACGGTGGCCATGCGTCCGCCGACGACGCCGTGACGCTCGAACATCAGGATCTGGGCTCCAACAAGGACACCGGAAACAGAGTAAGCACGGAGGAAGTGGGCCACGGAGGAGCCGCCGATTCCGCTTCCGACGATGCAGACGGTAGACGGCGCGTCATCTTCACCGCCTTCGGAGCGGGAAAGTGGCAGCGATTGGAGAACAAAGAAGAGGAAGATTGCAGATAGACAAAATTTCATCTGGGTATCTGGAGATTCCGAATTCTGGTCGTGGGCCTTATCGTTTCGATCGATCTGAATCAGTCTTTCGACAGCTACAAATTGAATTGTTCGTCCTCACTACCACACAAATACGTCATGGGAAACGTCACCAAAATGAAATTTCCAAAGACGTCCCACCAACTAAAAACAAAGCCTCTCTCCATCATCCCTTCTTCTTTTCCTTCAAAATATCATTACACTCTTTTGGTAAAACGTATACAGAAGATCTATTACATGTTGGATTTGGGTTTATTTGATAGAATCAAAACGGGCCTAGCCCGTGAGAAGTCCGGTCCGTATAAATTTAAATCTGCAGAATATTAAGAGAATATTCTTATTTGAATTTGAAATTCAAATTCAAATTGGATTCAAATCCGTAGAAAATCTATCAGATATGATTGAGATAAGATTGATATAAGATTGAATTAATATCTAAATAAAATCAAATTTGAATTTTGAAATTCAAATTGATTTGTTTTGAGATTCTCCCCTCTACTATAAATAGGGGGCTTGGGTTAGCTCATAAAACACACAGAAAAGAAACAAGCATTCTAGAGAAAAAGAGCATTCACATATTTGCTCATATCTCTCTCTGAGTTCGCTTGGTATTTGGAAAGCTTCTTCCAAATACGCGGTCGTTGTATCCTGGGAGTTCACCGTGCTCCAATAGCCTCGAAGCTTTAGAGGTGGCACGGAAATCGAACTTAAGGAAACTGTGTTTCACAGGCCTCGACAAAATAATCTTTTAATTTCAGGTACTTATCTGGAATCGTTCGAATCGCCGGAGTTTTGCCGTCGTCAACAACTGCCGTCCCCAACATTACATACATCTTGTAATTGGATGTATGCATGTGTGTATATATACACGACAAACATGTAACTTATCTACGTACACACATGGGCTTCTCCGGTCATCTGGTAGATGTAGTCGGACCAAAGGCCCGGTGAACTTCTGGATTATCAAAAAAAAAAAAAAAAAAACTTATCTACGTACAGCATGTGTGTGTATATATAGATATATGGTCTAACAGACGGAAGTTCTGGTGCATTGTAAGGCTCCAGCAGAACTAGTCAGTCCCTTAACAGCTCTCGCGTCTGCTGTCCTGAAACTCTGTTCACGAGTGTAGTTTGGTCTGGCTCCGCCAACTCCTTTCTTGAGCGTGAAAGACGCTCCGTTCTCGAAATAATCGTTTACCGAATAGAATTTCCATTGCAGTTGATCTCCATCACTTTGTTTCTTCCATGTCACCTGTAAGGAAAGGAGAGCATGTTATGTTAATCAGTAAGCACAAAACGATTTCTGAAGATTTTTTACACGAGAGCTTATCAATGAATTATGATATATCATCACCTCCTTGTTTCCTGATTCGGGTGCCACGAAATAGTTTGACTCGCTCTTGACGCGAGGACTCATGCTTCCTCCAATGGCGTACTGTGTCCATCCTTGGTAGTAGTTGTTCGCCACATGCGCGTATCCATGTCTCACCCTTTTGCCAAATAACATGGATAATGAATGATGATTATATATATATATATATATTCATATATGTATAGATATATATATGTGTGTGTGTGTGTACCTGGGCATTCTTTGGTTGCAATTGGGACCAAAGTGGTTGAACACAACGGTCACTCGCATGTCCTTGTCTCTAACGTACCCATCGTCGTGGCCAAGAAGCATGACCTTGTCCTGGTTCCTGAACCAGTTGTTGGAAACGGTTACGTCAGTTGTGCCACGAGTGACGTCAAGAAGACCGTCCTGGCAATCGTAGAGTGTGTTATGGTCGATCCAAACTTTTCGGGCGGTGACCAGACGGATGGCGTCCCCGTCGACTTGGCCTAGTTGGATAACGTGTGAGTCCGGACCCATCACTGAACTCGGTGGCTGTGGTTTGCAATCATGGATCTTCAGTCCGTGGATTATCACATCAGTGGCCTTCACATTCAAAACACACGTAATGATCAAAATGTTTCACATCAGTGGCCTGCACAGTTATTTCGGTTTTTGGAAAACTACATTCATTTCGTTTTTAATGGGTTCGGTGTTTATTGACAAAAATATTTATTTTTCAAAGAAATTTTCAGTTTTTTTTAAAAAAATTTTATTCGGTTGAGATTCATTCTTTTCGTTTTTAGGGAAAACATACAAATTTGATTTTTATATCGGGTTCAATCTGGTTCGATTTCTGTTTGGGTTCGGTTTTTATTGATGAAAATATTTTTACGAAATTTTTGGTATTCGATTCGGATTCATTTTTTGAATTTTAGAAAAATCATACCTATTCATGGAATATCAAATTATCCGGTTAGAATTCATCTGGTTTATTCGGCTAATAACCAAATTGACCACCTTTATTTTCGAAAACAAAAGTGAAGCTTTATTATACCTTGTAGACGAGGAGGCAAGCCGGGCCAGAGATGTGAACACTGACGCCGCGACCGTCGAGAGTGGTGAAGCTACTTATGAGAAGCGGCTTGTGAAGGTTAATCTTCATGTTCCTTTTGAAAGTGATCCATTTCTTACCCTTCACAACCGTCGTTCCGTACCTTAGAGTTCCGGGTTTAGGGTTTAACGGGTCATCGGACGGGTCGGTCACTTTGTACTGAACGACCCCTCCTCCGATATTTCCCGTCATTTTGCCCGCGAACCCGACCGAACACCTCGCCATCTGCTGCCTGTTTCTGCGCCACTCGGGGTTCGGTCTCCAGCATTTGTCGATCACGTTCAGCTCCGCGGCCTCCAAGGCATTCGCCGCGAACAAGACGACGACTAGGAGTTGGACCAGTACGACGTCGTTCCATAAGAACCTGGCCATATGCTCTTGATTTCTGTGTATTTTATGTTGAGGAAAATTGAAGGAGAATGTAGAGAAGATGCGTTGGGAAGGATAGCGGGATGTGACATTTATATATAGATTGGAAAAAAATACAAGTTTGTTTACGTGGTTTTATGTGGGACGTGCACAATCGTAACAAAGTTCCATTTAGTTGATACAATTTCATTTTTTGTTATAACACTGCGTAACCGTTTTGCCGTGTTTAGTCTACGGTGTTAGAGTTTTAGCGATTTACATATAAATTATTTTTTGTGTTTTATGTTTTTTTAAATAAACACAGCCTGACATTTATTCTAAAAAAAATGCGTTGTTTTTTCATGAAATCAAATAACGTCTATATACAGTATACATTTTATTAAAAAAATTGCTAAAATGGTTCATATATACTTATAATATATAAATGGACATTATTTTATTATTTAATTATTTAAAATTTTATTTGTAATTGTATTTTAAAGTATCTTTAGTATTTTTCTTATTATTTCCATATAACAAGTAATTTGCGTCGCATACTCCACCGGCGGCGGAGCATCAGGCTACCGATACCCCGTCTCCGTCGCCGGCGGCCGGAACCCTAGAGAATGGAGTTCATGGAGAGGACATGTCCCTGGACGAAGCCCTACGGCCGGAACCCTAGAGAATGGAGCAGCCTTGTTATGATCTTCAATCCAGCCTTCCTAGGGTTTGCCATGAGAGCACATTATTGCAGATGTCACATAACACCCAGAAATTGCTTCTCGAAGTGTTTGGCTTTTTCAGGGTTTTGTCACATGACTGTTACATTCTGATCTGAAAACGAATGTCATTTCCAGTTGGATCCAACGAAATCCATTACAGTCTACACAGAATGCTTACACGGCCTCATCAGCATATGATTTGGGCACTTGTTCTTTGTTTTTGATACAAACTGACACTGTACATGGAGGAAGGCTAATCGCAGTTTCAATCAGAGCCATGCCATGATGCCATGGCTCTGCCCCTGGGCTTAACACATTCAACTATAAAGCCTCAACCTCGTCGTTATGGGTTGTCTGCACATAGGACATGTCTTCACAGCCACACCACATTCCTTGCATGTCTTCATGTGGAAGAAGAGAAGATATGTCACACTCTTTTAAGCAAGAACTCAAAACCCGAACCAGTAAGTACGTTTTTCTAGAGAATTCACTTACCATATGGCCACAGCCAAAAGCCATGTCCTTTGGACTCGTCAAGCAAATGGGGCATACCTTTAGAACAAACGAAGAAACACTCTTACAAGACAGGCATAGAAAGCTATGACAGAGAGATGCGGAAAGAGTGGAAAGAGAGAGAGTCTCACCGGCTCTGAAACCCGAGCTGTTGTTTCACTTTTCTCGCTGTATTCCACTCGAGGGACTGATCTAACCGCATTGTCATGCTCCATAACCTCTGGTGGAGGTGGAAGTGGTTTTGTTCCTTTGTGTGAAGCCCTTACATTTCCTCCTCCACTGCATCATGATCGAAGAAGAAGGCCTTTTCACAATGTTCAAAGTGTCATGAAATAAATAAATCAATAAATAAATCAATAAAAGCAATAACCATTGTTGCTTCTTGTGGTAGAATCTACCTAACAGGCTGGAGGCTAAATGTGGCCTTGTACTGAAACGGAATCTCCATGAGGGCTGCAAGCGCAAAGGCCGTCTCCTTTTTCCCCGCATCTGCCTGCTCTGACATTATCTTCGTGAAGTTTACAAACTGCGACAACAGAAAACACAAAACTATTAAGATCACTAAATAGTCAGTCGTCTACTCGGTTTTACCGATCATCGTCATTATCATCTCTCAACTATTAAGGAAAATCTCATAAAAATATACAAATCTGTTACCAAATTTTAGATAGATACATTGGTTTTAAAATTTTCAGTAAAAATACACCATCTTTTCTCCGAGTCCTAGCTAAAAGCTTAAAATGACGAGTTTTACAAGAAAATGAACCCCAAAAAACTACAGTCAAATAAGAAAGATCATGTATATCTCTAAAATATGATTTTTACTGAGAATCATAGAGAGGTTGTGTATATTTCTACAAATTTTAAAGTTTGCGTGTTAATCTAGGTGTTGATGACAAATCCGCGTATGTATATGCGGTTTTCCAAAATGAGTATGCTGGCTACAGGCCCCATAAAACAATACCTGGAAGTTATCAAATTCACGACGAGGGATATTGTCATCAAATTGTTTCATGGTGTCCCAAGGGCCATCTCCTACTCCAACCAAGATGATCGATAGAGGGTAATGGCTGAATTTTCATTTCCAAAACCACACATATCAACACCGGCAATAACAGCTTAGCTCAGACTCGAAAGAGAGTAAATCATCAGTTACATTACCTCGCCGCCATTATGGAACTGATTGTAGCCTCTTCCTGAGGACTAAGCCGACCACTCTGCACATTGGGGTTCTTGGTCACCTGTCCATCCGCTATGATTATAAGAACATGGTACTGCATACTATTCTCCTCGACTATTTCTATGGCTGCGTCAATCACCGGCGCAAATGAGGTCGGACCTGCCCATGACACAAAAAGGACATGAAAAATCTTCAGGACAAGAGAGAAAGGAATTGGTCTGAAAAAAGTATCCAAGGAGAAATCTGCAGTCACGTTACCGGACAACTTCAGGTATGGAACGATCTCTCTGTATCTTTTCAGAACATCTTCAAAACCACGGCAAGGCTGGTTATCGGGATAAAAGCTGAATACGTACTTGTCATGCGTTGATGCTGCATAAGAAGATATTACCTTAAAGGGAGCTTAATCTTAGACCAGAACCAAGCATGACTTAAAAGGAGGAACTAACCGTCGCCAAAGCCGAAACAAGGTATTAGATTATCTTCATCAAAGGGGGACAATGTACGGCCTATAATGGATATAGCTTGCTCGTAGGGATTTGTCCGATTACCAATGGCATGAAGACTTCTTCTATTGAATGAATACCTTCCTGCAAGCAAGAAAGAAGATACTAACTGTTATTGATGAAGGATTTTCTGTGAAGGGGTTATTAATTTAGTGAAGGTGAAGACAATGGATCATCATCACCTGTCCATTCATTGCTGTTGGTGAAGTCAATCCCCAATATCAAGTTCGAGGATTCAAGTCCAGCTTCCCTCAGAGCGGATATTACCTGTACGGAAGTTGCATAAGACTTGTCTTATGGTATCACTTCATTCCACCAACTCTTAAAACCAAAATTCAGAAGGGTGGTGATCGTGAAACCTGATCCAATTTGGTGAAATGGTCAGCTATAAACTTGGGTCGCTGATCATATTTATAGCTACGATTCATCGAAACTCCTGCACCAGCAATCCACATTTTTCAAACCCATGATCAAGAATACATCACCAAAATAACTGCCTTCAAGAATCACGCTTTTTAAACCCAATTCAAGAACCCAGTTCTAGCAAAAACACTGGAATGACCCAACAGATAAAAAAGATAAAGCAACAGAATTGAAATCATTTAACCTAAGCAATCAGCAAGAGAGACAGAGACAGAGAGCAAGTATCGACCTGGAGTTGTCCAAATGAACCAGAAGAACTCAGACAAACTATCCGGCAGATTTTCGTGCTTTAAAACAGCAAAAAAAAAGGTGAAAGAATAAGAACAAAATCGAAAGTGTGGTTTCGTTGAGGCGTACAAGCTACTGGATTTGCCTTTGCTTGCGCCGGAGATAATTGCAATAATTTGGACAAAACTTTTCGGTTCTTTCGTAGAACACGACAATGGTGGTGACGAGTTTGGTTCCGTCGTGCGTCATTATCCACCACGGCCGTGGATTCCGCGAAGGGCCACGTGCCACGTGGCTAACGTGGCGGACCCCGTCATCTTCGGCGGCCGCCTGAATTCTGCTGCATTTTATTGGGCTTTAGAAAATCCCAATATATGCCTTAGATCTTGGGCCTTTCTCACGGGCTTAAATATCTTTGGGTACATAAAAAAAACAAACTGCCGTTTCTTCTCCAAATAAATAAAAAAAAATATGCAGAAAAGAAAATTCAACAATAAACTACATTCTTCATACAAAATGTTTGTTGCGTACAAGAATATTTTTCCTAATCAAATACACAATGCCATATATATATATATATATATATATATTATTTTGGGCCTGTGGGCTTAAGAGCTTTCGAAATAAAATACGGTTAAGCCCAACAAGAAATAGCCCAAGCCCAAATCTTTGAGCAGCCGCACCCGCAAGTTAACGTCAATCAACTTTGGCATAACCCTCACGCGCCGAACTTTTCTTTTTCTATGAAGTCAACTAATACATACAACGAAAGGATAATAATATTATTAAAGATAACATAATATATATATATATATATTCCCCCTCGCGACAAAAATATTACGTACACAAACGGAGACGTGAAAGACGGTCTGCGAAGTTTCCAGGGAATTCAACACAGGGCCGATGAGCTGCGATCGCATTCCTTTGCGAAGAAAACGAATTAAGTATTGTCTATATATTGTTTCAGAGACGCCATTGCTTTGGCGATCTCGTACACACACCCCGACTTGAAAGTATTTTTAACGTATAATCGATATATATATATATATATATATATATATGTGTATATGTTCGATGGCTTACGAGAAGGAGCTCGCTGCTGCGAAGAAAGCCGTCTCGCTCGCTGCTCGTCTATGTCAGGTTTTAAAAAAGAAGAACATTTATTATTATTATTACCACATGCATGTATATAGGTTCCTTCGATGTCTCGTACGTGTGCTTGATGTTTGGTTCCACGTCCATCAGAAGTTGCAGAGGTCTCTGTCTCAATCCGACATCCTGACCAAACCTGATAACAGTCCGGTTACAGTCGCTGACTTCGGTTAGTTAATTGTCTACTCTCATCCCTCTTTCTAGTTTTCTTTTTTGTCAGTTGTTGGATTTCATCTGCAGTTAGTTATTATGGTTACCGGCTCCAAAACCCATGTTCGAATCAGATTTCTTGTTCCTTAAGTCAAACAAGACAAATCTAGTTCCCAACACTTTGGTCAATTTTAAGGTTCTCAAGTGGTGGTTACTCTTGTTCTCCAAAAGGAGCTTCAACCTGAGCCACTCTCTTTGGTTGCTGAGGAGGTGAAAACAAAAAAAAACTTTTTTTTTTATCACAAACCTTCACATATCCACACGTCTTTTCCTGGGTTTTTACTGTCTTTTTCCGGAAAAAAAAAACCAATCAGGATTCCGGAGAGCTGCGGAAGAATGGCGCTGAGGCAGTTCTAGAAAGCATCGCAAATCTCGTGAAAGATACTCTCGACAGTGACGGATATTACCCTTCTTCTCCTCTGTCCACGGACCATGTGTTGAGAGCCATAGAATGTGGAAGATCTGAAGGTGGTTCCACTGGTCGCCACTGGGTTTTGGACCCTATAGACGGCACCAGAGGGTGAGTGAGTTGTCGACGTTTTTATCTCTATGTCCCCATCTTTCTCTCGTCACTTCAAAAAGTCTGACTTCCAACATGAAAATTTCCGGCCACAGGTTCGTAAGAGGAGAGCAATACGCAGTTGGATTAGCTTTGCTAGTGGAAGGACAGGTCGTGCTCGGTGTCATGGCTTGTCCTAACCTTCCTCTGGCCTGCGATACACAGAAACCTTCTTCAGATGAAGTCGGCTGCCTATTCTCCGCTACAAAGGGAGATGGGTCTTATGTCCAGCCGCTCAAAGGCGACGGTACCCCACAGAAGGTATATATACATAAATATATATATATATATGTATACTCTCGGCTTTGTGTCGGGCAAAATACTCTTATATCCTGAACCAGAAGCAGCAGCAGCCACTGCTCTGGTTCTGTTCTGTCCCTTGAGACTATGTTCTGTCCGAAACGAGATTGAGGTTGACAAAACAGGTACAAGTGAGCAGCATCGACAACCCTGAAGAAGCAAAGTTCTTCGAGTCTTACCACAAGCCAATGCCTATCCACAGCTCCATTGCCAAGGTTCATCTTCTTTCTTTGTACCCCCGCTATACAGTCATCTGTTTTTTTTTTTTTTTTGCGGCTAAAGCGTGCTGTTGTTAATATATTGCAGAAACTCGGGATCAAATCGCTGCCCGTGAGGATGGATAGCCAGGCAAAGTATGGGGCTTTGGCGCAAGGAGGTGGAGAAATATACTTACGTTTCACTCGCAACGGGTACCAGGAATCCATATGGGACCATGCTGCTGGTTCAATTGTTACAACCGGTACAGCTACATCATATATCCTCTCTACATATCTTCGTAATAATATGATAATCTTTTAGAATATTCTCTGTACATATTGTATATAAAGAAGAAGAAGCTTTGTGCAGAAGCAGGAGGAGTGGTAATGGACGCGGCAGGGAATGCTCTGGACTTCTCGAGGGGAAAGCACCTTTGCCACAAAACGGGAATCATAGTCACCACCGAGAAGCTGAAGCCATGGCTGCTGAAGGCCGTCAAAGAATCTATGGAAGAAGACAAGCTTCATCTCCTCCAACTCCAACATGTATAATCCATACACTATTTCATATCAAAATGAAGATCTGAATGAATAATAGTTATACACATCTATTTCCCAGTTTGTTCCCTGAGATTATTTCTATTTTCAAGTCGCTCCCTATATTTACGTTTCGTTCACGATACGCCACATTCCTATCGTTCCATTTTTATAAGATGCCCACCCAAAGGACTCGGATTCTCGATTCTACCGTGATTTTGAGTAATTTTGCATCAAACCCGATCCATAGAATCACTGTAATCGCATTCACGTGCATGCGTCTACAAAACGATAAGAAGCAGAGTAGATTTAACCAAAATAGGTAAAACCCGCTAACAATGTATTTCCGAACAATTCGATCATGGTTTGTCTGAAAAATTCTGACTTCCGACCACATCAGAGAGTAGAGAGTAATCAGGCAGCAGAAGCCTTCACAATGTTTCTGCTGATCACTTCCAAATGTTACTTCGAGTTGCCGGAAAATGGCTGGGTCGGCTGTGATTGACTTTGACCAGACAGCATCTCGAAGCACGAGGGATCGGCAAAGAATCCAAACTCATCCTGAACCAGACAGATGCTTTCTGAGTCGCCCAAATTCTCAGATTGAGCTACAGGAACAGTCAACGGCTCGGCCAGATCCCCTAGCTCTAGGAACAATTGTATATCCTCATAAGGGTTGCCATGTGGGGCCACGCCTGGCACTTGATAGAAGCTGTTCAGTTCTGGAAGTCCGCTGAAAACGTCATCTACCTCCAAGCAACGAGGAAGTTCCCCATCTCTTGGAACTCCGGACTCATGTCTTGCCTGCAAAACCCCATTTCTAACTGTCATTAACCGCCATAACTTACGAAGTGAATTGGAAACTTTTTGATTTTGAAGTAACCGAACAGAACAAACTGCATCTAATCCGCACCGTGCATAATGCATGGAAAAGCATACGAGGACAGTTCAAGGGAGATAATGAATTATGATAATCATATACCATATGCCTAATTAAAAAACGTGTTAAGGAACTTAAGCTATGGAATCATGAGGCTAGATACCTACCTCATTTAGAGAATACCCACCAAAACCGAAACTCTCATCATCAACAAAGAAACCCAGCATTGGATATATATCATCATCCCCAGGATTCTGAGTGGCCACTGTCAAAGTTCGTGAGCTATTAAAATCGAGAAGAGGTGAAGAAGGCCTTGGAGTGTTATCTGCACCATTCGGAGGCAGAGGCATGTTAACAGTTGGTACCATATCAGAGACACATGACTCTGATATCATTCCAACACCAAAATCCTTTCGGACATGTGACTGTGAGGATGTAGCAATCAGACTGGTTTCTTTGCAAGGCCCGGGCACATTTACAGAAGGCAAAGCTGATGCAACATTGTCAGTATCTTCCTCTTCGTCTTCTTCCCCATCACTCCATTCCTCTTCCTTAAATGGAGCCCCATATTGAGCTCCATTTCTCGGTCCAGGACCATCTTTCTTAAAGAGAACACATAGCACGTAAGCATCCTGCAGCGGAAAACATATTTTAGATACGTAACTAGAGTGAACAGGTAATATCATAAGTTATCATGAACTGGCTAGAAGTTTAGAACAGACTCTTTTTTTCCCTATCAAACATGGAAGCGTTACTACCTGAGCGACGTCCATCTGAGCCAGTTCCTTGTCTTCAAGCCTGTATTCGTGCATAACCCAATCAGTTCGTTCACCTCGAGGAGACTTGCCACAATGGTACACCAGGGTTTTTATAATTCCCACAATTTCGTTATTGCAAAGAACAGCTCTATCCTTCCCTGTGATCTTCCAGTAACCAAATCCAGTTGTACGGTTCTTCCTAACCCCACTGGCATATTTCTTTCCTCTTGGGCAGAAGAAGTACCACTTAAGATCTCCAGTCTTTAGATAAGATTTATCTGCAAAGACCAAGGTACGGTTAAGGATAGAGAATAGTGGAAAAGACACCCAAAAACATGAAACAAGTGGAACAAGCAGCAACAAAGAATTTTCACAAGTACCTGGTAAATCCGAAGGTTCGAACTTGTAAATGTCGATTTCTGCGATGGCTTCAACTCGGAGCTTTTTCCGCGTCACTTTCCTCTTTAGGTAATACTTCACCAATTCAACATCAGTCGGATGAAACCGAAATCCAGGAGCTAAGTGAGTCTTCACCATTGGAAGACCCAAAAGGGAAACACTTTCCTAGGATCCCGATCCCTCCTTACAATACGAGAGAACTTCTGAAATCCGATGCCTGGTGCTTTTGCTTCAAATTAGCAAAAAAGCACCAGCACAAGCAAATTGTATTAAACAGCAACAAACAGAAAGGGATTTGGAGAATCCAGCAAGAAATCTTACTAGAAAAGGGAAGAAAGAAAGAAAAAAAGGGGAAACAAAAGATCAAGAGTCAAGTCCAATGTCTGAACAAGATCGATTGGAAGCACCACAGCCTCCCCCTGCTCATAAAACCACAATCGCACCAAAAGAAAGATGGATTCTTCTTGCAGAGATCAACAGACATCTGGTGTGCAAATGGAAAACCTGTTTTAAGAATTCCAAACAAAAGCAAAAGCAAAAAAATGAACTACAAAACCAACCAAGTAGCAAAATATACAGTAAATGAATAACTCACTCATGAATCACAAAATTTCACAGCAGCAAAGACCAATACACAAGCAACTCCAGAAAAACCAAAACTTTTGTAAACGAGGGCAGCAAAACGGATACCAGTACAAAACCCTAAAATTCCGGCTCTTTTACACATCGAAGCATCAAAGATGCCGTGCTAACCCCCAAAAAAGACTACACTTTTCCGTCGCGAGATGCTTAAATCATCGATGTAATTCGAGACAAACAATCAAATCAATCTCCAACCCGACAACACCCGGATAGCAAAACCGTAGATACCCACAACTCGAAATGAAAAGGGATTACGAGAAACAGTGAAGAATCGCGATCAAAGCTCAGAAAAGGAAAAAGAGAGAGAGCAAATATAAACGGTACCCGGAGAAAGGGAGATGCCGGAGAAACGGGAGACGGTGCGGCGGAGAAGCGAGCGAGCGAGCGAGTGAGAGGAGAGTAGCGTGAAAGAGAAGCCGAAAAGACCGACAAGTGGATGAAGGGTCTAGGGTTATATGGACGGAGGTGGGCCTTTTGTGGAAAAAAAACGACTGAAAAAGCAATTAGTAGAAAAAGTGTGTCAGCGAATCTAAATTTAATTAATTGCCATTTAAATCTTTAATTATACGTTAACATTAGCTTCAAGCCTCTAGAATTGGAGCAGATTGACATCCATTCACGGTTTAATTCCAAAAACAAATTGATAATTTTTTAATGCGAATATGTTTTTATACTAAGCAAATGGATTAGCTGTTGGTATTTGATTAATTAGTAGTTATTATGGATGACTTCCAACAAAAAAAAGCCGGGGTCAATAACAGAGTGATATAAACACAAAGGACAGTTCTTTGTACAATATAATAACATAACAGTAATAATAATACACATCATTTACACTATTAATATCGCAATTTCTCTGTTATTTGTGTAATATACTACGGACAGTTTCAAACTGCCATCAGCTTAATTTAAATTTTTTAATAAAATTGCCCTCCACATTGCCCTAATTACACACTCGTATTCAATTCCAGAAGCATAACCCATCTTGAACCTAAAGATTCATCGGATAGAATTTCGATTATTTCCCCTCTCAAGGTTTGAATTTCATAAATTAAAATCTAAATAAAGTAAATATTAAAGAGAGATTGTGTTCAGTAAATAGTGAATTTCCAAATATACCCTCAGGGGGGATGAAGTGAAACACTGGTATGTGGTACTAGAAGCAGGGAGGCAGGTCAGGGGGAGGTTTGAGCATGCGAGATGACTTGGTCGGACCGTCTTTCACTATGAACACAGTGTTCATTCCCCACGTCGCATGTCTCTCTATGTGGCAATGCAATAGCCACACCCCTGCATGTGCATGCATGCATATACACAAAAAAAAAATCAATAATATATATATATATATATACATATACACATGCACGCATATGTTATGTTTAAGGACTCAATAGAGGTGACTAACCGGGATTGTCCGCTCTAAACCGGACGGCGGTCCAGCCATTATGCGGCACTCCGACGGTGGTTTCCTCCGGTGGATCCACCAAATTATATCTCGACGGATCTCTCCGGCTGTCGAAATTCCCAAAACCGGTTCCGACCACGTAGAAGCTGTAACCATGGAGATGGATCGGATGGTTGTCCGCTGCCAAAACGTTCGTCCCTTGCAAAACCAACTCAACACTAGAGTTGTACTCCAAAACTACCACTTTCGTCCCGAAACTTGTCGGCAAAGGTAGGTTTTCCCCCGTGTAATTGAATTCTTTCGGAGGTTTTCTCGGGAAATCTTCCCCGAAAACGCCTCCTATCTTGTGATAATACGCTCGCAGTATGTCAATGCTCGGGTTAACAAAGCTGACGTTGTTAACGCTCGAAGCGAATCGCTTCCCGAGCGGTCCGTCACAGGGTCGGTCGCCCGAGCAGTTCATCAAGTTCACCGAGAAGGCGTACATCAAATGGGTGTCAATTTTAACCGGGACGTGAATCGGGCGGTTTTTGGCCACGAGGCTCCTGAACCGGTTAGTGAACTTGGTTGATGCTTTGGTGTGGTTGTAAGGAGGCAGCACCGGTAGAACCGGGTCTCCGGTTCTGGGGGCGGATTTGTATTGTAAGATTGCGGTGGTGGAGGTGTTATCGAAGCCGGCGCCAAAGGCGGAGGAGTAGGCCCGAGCCATGGCCGCGTAGAGGCCGGGACGGCTGTTGGCGTGGAGGAGGACGTCAATGGACTGACCGGGAGTTATCATGAGGTAATCCGTTCGGAACGGTTTTAAGTATATACCGTCTTTGCCCACCACGGTCAATCTATGGTTCGCCACCGCGAAGAAGAGCTCCTCGTCCATAACCGCGTTTATGATGCGGAGAAGGTATCGTCTTCTGCGTTCGACAGTTATTCTGAATGTATCTGTGTCAAAGATTGATACAAACAAACATTACGAATATGGGTTTGAATTAAATTTGAAAATCATGGAACAGGGACAGAGAAAGAGAGAGATCTAGTACCCTTTTCAGAGCAAGGGTAGAGAAAACCGGGTTGTCCATTGATGGTATAAGCATCGGAGATGGCCGGTTCACCTCCGGTTTCGATAGCCTTTCTCGGTATGTCCATTGTGTTTTCCTTCTTCCACCATTCACCTGTATGCATGCATCATCATTATTACCCATTACCATCACCATAACCATAACCATCACCATCACCAGCACCATGGAAAAAAAGGGAGTACCGAGAATGATGGGGATTTCGCGGTGGGGAAGGGGAAAAGGATAGGAAGAACCGAGTTGAGGGTAGACGACGAAAGCGCCGTAGACAGTGGCACGTGCCCATTCGTTGTGGGCATGCCACCATATCGTCCCTTCTTCAGTTGTCAGATCGATCCTGTACTTATAACGTGTCCTCGGTCTTATCGGACACTGCGTTATATACTCTGGTCCGTCCGCCCACGGATTCCTTACCTGTCTTGCTCCATGCCTACATGTATTTTTATACCCATCTTCTCACTCTATCAACAACCAAAGTTTCCATTTTGTATCGGAATTTAAATCCAAAAGGGGGATAGAAATATTTACCGAATTTCCCTAATTTTTTTTGAAGATGTAATTGAGACAAAAGTTTGATAAATTTGCGGATTATAAAAAACTAATCACACCCTCTAATGAACCATTTCTCCGATTTTTTTTTAAATTTCAAACTAAATCTAATCAGAGATAATCAAATTAAACCAAATGGATATAACTGCCTCAACCAAGAATTTATTTCATTTTTTTTTTTGTTACCAGTGGATGGTGATATTGTAATGGGCGTTGTTGACGACATTGATGATGAGCCGATCGCCTCGTCGGGCTGTCAGCGTCGGGCCAGGGTATTTACCGTTCACTGTCAATATGTTTTTGGTTTCACATAGCCTCGTGTACGGTTTTGTCTCTATCTGTTTTTATTTTGTTTACCATCAATTTCCAAAAAAAAAAAAGATGGATCGAAGAAATAATGATATGGCCTGAAGACAAAGTACAAATACCACGAACTTGTGTCTGATAATCTTCGCGTCAACGATTCCACGTGTAAGAAGAATGAAGAAGAAGCAGACGACCAAACTCCATGCCTTCACCAAGGGATTGTATTCCCCGACCGCCATCGTTACTCTGTTTCAAGCGTTGTTGTTTTTTTTTAAATGAAAAACTCTTATAATTCATATAAATTTGTCAAAAAAGACAAACCATATGAATCATTTTTATTTGTTTCCATATAATATCATATCCTTTTTTCACAAAGCAGATCGAAATAGTTAATTATTTCCCAAGTGAGAGAGCTCCAGCTAGGAACGGAATCTGATTATGATCATCAAGGTGGCAATTGCCTTTTTTTTTTTGTTGTTTCTTCTTCTGGATTTTACACTCTGTGAAAATTAATATAAAATCCATACGGATTTATTCTCTTTCACACGCAGTAAAGATTGGAATTCAAGTGGGGGAGAATCCGTTTCTCAAGATGAACTCAATCAGTAAATGCTAACCGGATTTAACCAGCTTCTCCAATTGATCCATAACCGGATCCAAAAACCGGGTTTAGCATTAATATGTAGACTCAGCTTCGATTTTAACCCATTAATTCATGAAAACGACACAAAACGAAAGTGAAACAAGTCCAAATGTAAAGAGAGTTTTATACACTGAAGCCGAGTTTTAATGGAAACATAATGTAAATACTACTCTAAACCCTACCATAGAATAATACATCCGGTCTAACCGATAAGGCTTGGTTTAGAGACGAGAAAACAATAGAACCGATACACCAGCGGCTACAGATGCCGCCCAGACCGGGACCAAGGACGAAGCATAGTTCACCTGAGCTGGGGCTGGGGCCGGGGCTTGACCATTAGCTCTGGCTGGTCTTGGCCCGGCCGCAGAACCCGGAGCAAGACCTGAAATGAAATCGCCACGAGAGATTATTAACTCACTTTCATATAAGCCCGGATCGGATTTTCCCAAATCATCTATGTCAAGAAGGAGCATGCTACAAACTTGCCCCATGCGACCATGTGGATCAAGCAAGAGACAAGGAACAACACATCCGCAATGGATGGGAAAAGATATGGCCATATCACATGGTTTTAATGGTCCCATGTGATGTGACGCCATGACAATGATCAGCATCAACCATGATTCTCCGCATGGATTCGGTAGCAACTGATGAAAAGGACTCGGTACCGCAATTTAACCCATCATGCAAACAAAAACTTCATTCCAAGAAACATTTACCATCAATTACTGCTTCATAATCACATCAATTTTACCAGATGCAGATTGAATAAAACCTTGAAATGTACGGAATCTGGGTGGGTTGAAATGATCAAGATTCTTCTTGACATCATCCAATCAGATTAAGGTAAGTGCCAAAGTTCCCAGGAAGATATGGTCTAACATTGCAAATCCTTCTAGACAGCCACTGAGTTCAGAGTTTAAACCTTTAGAATGATGTAAGGAAGTTGCAGAACAAACGCAGGAGCTAAGCAAACGCTACAATTCAATTTCAAGAACCGGATGGAAGAAAAAGAACAGTGCAGGAGAATACAAATGCCATATTGTAATTTCAAAATCAGGTGGGATAGGGAAAGGGCCAAACCTGGGGCGGTGGCAGGAGCAGCAGACGCTGAAATAGAAAACAAAGACATCCTTTGTCGTCAGTAAGACACCCAATAATCTTGTCTTGACGATAAAGAAGACATGTCCAAGTTCTATATCCCCTTCGAGAGAAGACAAGAGAAAAGAGAGAGTAGAAGCAGATCTCCCGATTTTTCTATAAGAAATTGAGAAAATCGCCGTAGGTACCAGGAAAGAAACAAATCTCGGAACGAAAATCCAGAGCCAGAAAACCAATTAATAATCTCAAAATGCCAATCGCACGTCTCTGAAAAATAAGTCACCGGAAAAGGAAAATGCGAGGAGAGACATTAACGAAACGGGAATCTGATAAATAAAGAGCCAAACCTGGGGCGGTGGCAGGAGCAGCAGACGCTGAAATAGAAAACAAAGACATCCTTTGTCGTCAGTAAGACACCCAATAATCTTGTCTTGACGATAAAGAAGACATGTCCAAGTTCTATATCCCCTTCGAGAGAAGACAAGAGAAAAGAGAGAGTAGAAGCAGATCTCCCGATTTTTCTATAAGAAATTGAGAAAATCGCCGTAGGTACCAGGAAAGAAACAAATCTCGGAACGAAAATCCAGAGCCAGAAAACCAATTAATAATCTCAAAATGCCAATCGCACGTCTCTGAAAAATAAGTCACCGGAAAAGGAAAATGCGAGGAGAGACATTAACGAAACGGGAATCTGATAAATCCACTCCAAAAAAAACAAAGCATAGAAACCCGAGAAAAATCAGACATCGACACCGGAAAAAGATCCAGAGACAGAAATAGAGAGAGATCCAAGAGTCTCACATCCGCAGCTGGTAATGGAAGGAGCGTGAAGCTTGCATGCGGCTGGAAGAGTGAGGGCCTTAGTGACATTCAAGGTGATGCCGAACGAGCCGCTGCTCTTGAGGCCCTCGCAGAGACACTCGGCCTTGGTGTTAAGCACCGTCTTCAGACCAGAGCAGCAAGTTCCCTCCGGCTTCTCCGCCGGGCTGTCGCTCGAGACGAACGGCAGACAATCCGCCATGTTCAGTATAAGCTCCGAGCAGTCAACAGACGGCGACGGAGCCACGTGATGGTGCGAGGCGCCGCGGACAGAAGCGGCGGAGACAAATAGGAGGATGAGACCGATCGCGGCGGCGGAGGATCTTACGGCGGCCATTGTTGCTTCTCTCTTCTTAGTATGAGAAATGGAGAGAGAAAGTGTGGGCGTGTGGGAGAGAGGAGGTGTATGCATATATATATATAGACTGTGGGAGTTCTTAAAACGATGTCGTTTTAGTACATGTCACGCGTTTAAGATGGATGCGTGAACGCAGGTCCGTCACTAAGAGACTTTGCCTTTCCCCTTTTCCCTTTCCGTCCTTCAATTTTTTTTTTCTAAATTCCCCAAAAAAAATTTCACTAATTAACATTATTAAAATCTACGTCAAATCATCTGAATTACAAAATAAATACGGATAAGTAAGTTTCCAAAAAAATAATTAAAGCATACAAGAAATTAAACCTATACCATTTTTATCTAGAAATTATTAAATGTTGTTGTACAAAATTGGAAAGCAGATTAAAAACTTTGGACCTTATGTTATTATTTTATGGGGGGTGAATATTTTTGGTAACATGCATCCTACAATAATACAATGTTTGAAGGAGAGCGCCCGCCTGCTCTTTATTTCCTCACATCCACACGTCTATTCGTTTATAGAACCATTTCCGAATTATACAAACTTTCATTGAAAGGATTATATTCCCTCAAAATAGAATATAATTATTGAACAGAATAAAAAACAAAAGGAGTAATAAAAAAGCAACTTTTATTTTTGCATGAAAATAGAATAAGCCACTTGAAGGAATATAGAATTATGAGGAAAATATGAATAAAAGCCTTTTCCAGTTGGCAAAATCACCCAACTTTTTTTTTATAATTCGGAAGTTCACCGGGCCTTTAACCCAACTACATCTCCCAACTACATCTCTCAGAGAACCGGGGGAGTACATAAAATCACTCACCTTATATAGGTGTTGAATGATAAATGGTTTTCGGAGTTTTTGGATTTTAAAAACTGAAAAAACCGACAATCAAGTTTTTTAAAATTTGGTTTTTCTAAAAATTCGGAAATCTACTTTATAAAAAAAAAAAATCAACTAAAAACCAAAAACCACAATTTTTTAGATTTAGGCTTTGAATGACATTGGTTTTTATTTTGGATTTTTGGCTTTAGTTTTTGGTTTTTGAATTTTATAAGTTTATAAATCTAGAGAAATGTGGTTTTTGGTTTTTAGTTGATTTTATGTATAAAGTAGATTTCCAGGTTTTTAGAAAAAAATAAATTAAAAAAAAAAACTTGATTATTGGTATTTTTACTTTTTGAAATCAAAAAACTGTGAAAGCTCTTCCCATTCAATACCTTACAAACTTATAAAATTTAAAAGTCAAAAACCAAAAACTAAAAACTAAAAACCAAGGTCAAAAACTCAAAATAAAAACCAATGTCATTTAAGTTCATATATTTCACAAACATAAATCTAGGAAGCTAGGTCATTTTTATTCCCACGGTATAATGTTTCATCTAACATCAATTATGTTTATTTTATTTTATCTAATCCGATATAAATTCATGAAATTGAAAAAATATTCCCTCTCCGTTTCATTTTAAAAGACGTTTACAATTTAAACACACAAATTAAAAAATCACAATTTATCTAAAATACCATTATTTATTACATAGATCATTATTATTTGAACATTTCAATAATATTAATCAAAGAGTAAATTTAGAAAAAAAATATATTAAATTGCATGAAAATTTTCAAAAAGTCAATTATTTTGACACAAAAAATTGTTCCAAAACGTCATTTAATATGAAACGTAGAGTATCATATAAGTATATAAAAATTTTCAGATTTTTAAATAAATACATTAATTTTGTCAAAACTGTTAAATTTACAAAATATCGTTGACAACATTACAAATAAGCGGAATTCCATAACAACGATTAACATGATTGATCGAAATTATGACCATAACATCAAATAAATATCATGTCAATACCACTCCATAAATGTTATATCAACAAAAAACATCACATTATTGTTTTTTAGAAAATTTCAAATATATATACATTATTATCATAGAAAGGATTGTATATACACTTGTATACATACGTATATTTTTACAACTATTTTTATTTTTGTTTTTTTATAATTATTTTTTTTAACGATTGGCTTTTAACGTGGTAATTTTGACGTCGTTACGTTTAGCGATTACTATCGAAAATTTCACTAGTTTTTTGGATGATCGAAAAAAAAAAAAAGAAATCAAAAGATCGGTAATTTTTTTGTTAAAAATTAATAGGTCATTGTGATTAGGAAAATTGAAACATTTCAGTAAAGATTTGAAATGTAGTTGGGCCAAAGGTTCGGTGAAATTCCAGATTATAAAAAAAAAATTATTTTTTTTTTTAAAAATTTCCAAGTTAATACAATAATACATAATGCAGTGGCCGAATAGATATCGCGTTTATGCTGTAAGCCCATTAATTAAGTGTTGAACCGCAAACACCTCGGGTACCAATTTAAGAAAATCCATAAAATTACCCCGTTTTATTCAACAGTTTTCAAAATTGCCCCGAGATAAACAAATGTTTCAAAATTGCCCCATTTCCTCAACAAAAGATCTTCATCTACTGTTTTTTCTGTCGCTAAGACTCAGAGAATATAGCCAATACTTTCCCTTCTCGAAGTCAGACCCATTTCCAATGGACTTCTCCGTCAAAGCTTCCGGCGACTCTCCTTCTCCGTCCTTCTCCACCTCTTCTTCAACCCCTCACCGATTCCAGTCCGCCTCCACTGGAACCTCCTCCACCGCTGCAGATCGCGATCCGATGCATTCATGGTGGGAGTCCGTCTCCAAGCAGCGCTCTCGTATCCTCTCTCTGTCCTCCATCATCTCTTCCACGTCTGAGGCGGAAAACGGAGATGGAAGTCTGATCTCCTCTCTGGCGGATTCCGATCGGCCGGCGCTTTCTCTCCTCTCGTCTCCGGCTGCTTACTCGTTGATCTCCTCCGCTCTTCGCAATCCGACCTCCGGATCCGGATCCGACCCGCTTTGTCAGTGGCTCTACGACACCTACCTCACTTCCGATCCGCCACTTCGCCTCGTTGTCCTCTCGTTCCTCCCGTTGTTGGCCGGAATCTACCTCTCTCGCATCCACTCCTCTGATTCGTCTGCTCTTCCTTCCCTCGCCGGATTCGAAGCCGTGCTTCTCTCCATCTACGCCGCTGAGGTCAAAGCGCGCTCTGGTAAACCCATCCTCGTTCATATCCCAGATCTCTCTCAGCCATCTCTCTACCACACTCCGCGGATCGGCGCGATGCCTGATTCCCCTACCGCCGCCTGCGTCGGGGTATTGTCTCCGCCGCTCGAGCCGCAAATGGCCGTCAAGTCAACTAAGCGCGCCGGCATCGTCGGTGTGACACTGCAATGCTACTTCAAGGAGATCTCTGAGATGCCGGCTTGGTCTAAGCTCGAATTCTGTAAATTTGCTGCCAGTTGGGCTGGTCAGGACTGCCCTTGCAAGGAGAAAATAGACGGTGATGAACCCCAAACCCTAGCATTGACGAACGGTTTTGCTGATTCCTCTTTCAATAGCAGTAACGGTCATAGCGTTGAGATCGAGGAGGAGTTTGGTACACTGGCCATTAGAGAGAACGGAGAGCATCTAAGCTCCGAGGTCGGAGGCGTGAGAATTCCGCTTCCATGGGAGCTTCTTCAACCCAGTCTACGCATCCTGGGTCACTGTTTACTGAGCCCTTTGAATTCGCAAGACGTCAAAGATGCAGCTTCGAATGCAGTGAGATCTCAGTATGCAAGAGCCTCTCATGATTTGAATCCGCAGGCAATCCTCGGGACACGTAGTCTGGTTAACCTAGACAAGGGCTCGCGAGCCGGCTGCACCAGCCATTAATGGCTCCTCAAATGCTAATACTCCTAGCAAGGGGAAGAAGCCCGAGATCCTTCTGGCTTCAAAGTGAGTGTTCTTTATCTTGGTTTTTTTGTTTGTGTAGGTAAGGTTTGAAGTATGTATAAAGTAGGATTCCTGGGGTTAAGCGGTTGGATTATGGAGTTGATAGATTGAGTTGCTTGGCTTAGAAGTTGTGATTAGTTTGTGAAATGGCTGTGGAATTTCGTGTGTCTATTCGTGGATGAGCTTAGCGTTGTATGATCTTGAAACCCTTTCCAAATAAAATAGCAATTCGATTCTTTTATCGGCTTGTTTTCTTCACCTGGATCATGTCTTAGTACTGCCATCCTCTGCTCGGTGTGATTGTTCGGATGATATTTAGTATGGTAACCCCGAACAGAGCATATGTATGTATGTATGTATGTATGCATAGGTAACATTTTTCACAAAGCTTTATCACAGCACACAATAGAACATATATGATATAACAGCAGTACAATTACAAAGCACTTACGACTAAAAAACCAAATTCGAGAGCTACTTCGGATAAGACCCATGTCCCCATGTTTTCTTTGTCTGATTCTAACACTTTATGCTATGTCCCAATCACAAAATGCTTAACAAGCTCTTATTATCCTTTACCAACGGTTTTACTTTGAGCACTTATTGATTAATTAACAGCAGAGCAAACCCTGCGGATCTCACCGTCCGACCCGGTCTTCACTTCAGTGAGACTCATCTTTATCATGGACCTCGCAAACTGGGGTCCGAAGGCAAGGACCGGTCGACGCAGTCCCAAGAAACGTTCAATGATGGCTCGTGTCTCGGGGTCGGACCATAGCACCTGGTCGGACTGGAGGACCCCACGACCGGCCCTGACGTTGGATAAGAAGGAAGTGTCGAACCGGCCTTCGCTTCCGGTGTCAAGAGCCACTCTCGTCGTTGCGTCGCCGTTGAGCGGACACTGAGCTTGAATCTGTGGCACGAAGCTCGGGTTGATCGATGGGTCGGGGCTCCCAGTGTTGTTGAAGTTGAAGAACCTGTTCCTCACCACACCGCACCCAGCGGTTCCTAGGGTGTGCCCTCCTGGTTAAACCGGAAAAGAAAATACCCAACTCAGCAAATTTTCGGATAATAGTTTGATTATATGATATCAACTGATGGAAATGTGTCGGTTCGTCACTAGATACTAACAGATGTTACTTTTGTCCGTTACACGTTCAACGTGTATAAAACTATAATCAACACGATTCGTATTGAATATGCTATCTAATAAACATGTTTTCTTGAGTTCAAGGATATGTATATATAAAGTTTACGCACGTAGCACCAATATATATATATAGCATACTTCTTTGCGGTCAAGTATTCATGTTTAAGCATATGAATGTTACATTCGGACATACCTACGAGGGTGACGAGATCGAGTGTGTTGAGATTCTTAGCTGCGAAATCCTGCTTCTGAACGGCGACCGAATCGAAAGGGCTAGGCAAGTTCACGTCCGAGGCCTGCGAGATTCGACCATCAAGCCGTCCCAATGGCACCGGCCACGCTGGCCCCCCTGTCTGCGTGACCATGCACGATACAAATATCTTTAGTGTTATTACTATGCACATGAATGAAGAGAACGGTACATATATAACGACAAAGTTTACCAAGAAGACGACGTCACGAGCAGCGAGTGCGAGAATATCAGCACAAGAAACGGTGTTAGGACAAGCGGCCTCGAGCCGGGCCTTGGCGTCGTCTATGACTTCGAACCCTCTCAACGACCGGTTCGGACCGGCTGTTCTCTCTGAGTTTGTACCGTTGATGAGGACTGAGCCATCGCAGCCATGGACGAAGCAGTCGTGGAATTGCATGCGTAATATGCCCGGCGCGATCCGAGGGTCGGACTGTAAGTGAGACTGAACCACCGACCGCACTATGGTTTCCACATTTCGGCAGCGAAAGTGAGACTGAACCACCGACCGCACTATGGTTTCCACATTTCGGCAGCGACCGCCGTAGAACCCTGGCCTCGGTGGCCCCCCCCCACCACGGCCACGGCCCGGCTGCGCCCATGTGGCTACGGCCATTACGAGAAACGTTACGAGTACAAATCGGATGCTAAAGGCACGGGCCATTATTTTCTTGGCTTGTGTGATTCTCAGACAAGTGGTATACTTGTGTTTTGTGTGTGTTTCGAGTTGGTACGTTTTAAGGGTATTTATAGGGGAAAAAAAGTCAAATATTCCACGAGCTGTTTATAAAACAATGAGCTACGAACGACATTTCTCGTAATATTTTTTAATCTTTTAGTTTTTTTTATTATTTGGATTAGTTAATGATTACTTTGGATAAAGAATTCGTGGATCCCATTTTTAAGCAAACACAAACACGCATACATGTATGTATATATATATATATTATGTGACATTGTATGTGCTTTTTTCTTTGGATTTAGAATGATTATATATGTACAATAGTTCTAATGTAACGTTTAGGGATTTGGAATATCAATCAATACCCTTAAAAAATAAACTATATAAACTTAAACTAATTTTGGACTTTTTTTTAATAACAATCAAGAATCATGCAAAGATAATGCATTAGGGATATCTCTCATGTTCTAAGATTCGCCTATGTACTTCAAATTTGTATTTTATAAAAATAAGTCAGCATCTGAAAAATGGTAAGTTTGCAATTTAAATTATAATATATATGTATATATTATGTCTATAGTTCGAGAAATTTTGGAATTTATAAGAACAATTAATGATAATGATTGGTCGGCGCTTAATTACTTTGTATACATAATCATTTGAAGTTCGAGGAGTTCAGCGAGAGGAGGGTTGACTTTCCGATAGGAATGATAATAATTCCACGTACTTTCATGTCTCGTATAAAAATATTTCGACGCGCTTTCCCTTTTGAATTTGCATCACATTCATGCATGCATTATTGTTATTGACAAGAAATAAGAAGCGAGGGTGAAAAAACAAATCCCAACCCTATATATATATATATCAAAATGAGTTTAACTCTTGAATCGGTTCATTACCAATGATTTTTTTGGCAAATTGAGCCGATTTTTTGAATATTTATTCGTAAACGAGATTAATCAACCAATTCACTATAAATTATAGGGATGTCAAACGAGTCAACTCGGATCGTTTTTGGTTTGATTCATTAGGTTCGGATCGTTTTGGATTCAACTCGTCAGATTTGTTTTCTAACGAATCAAAAAAACATCGACTCAGATCCCTCGCCAATTTTTCGAGTTGAACGAATCAACTCGTTGAACTAAAGATATAAAATATTTTTTTATTTATATTTATTTCAAATTTAACGATAAATTAAAATAAATACATAAAAAATACATTAAATTTTAATACCATAAATTATATAAGAAAAATATTGGTCGGGATTTCAAAAGATAATAACAATAAAATATATTTTAATAATATTTTTTCATATTTATACTCTGTTTTTTATTTAATATTTTCGATTATCATCACCATAGTAATTGTGATACTTAGACTATCACATGACTAATATGAGAAAAAGAAAAAGAAATATAAAGTTATGTTGAAGTTTTTTATATAAATTTTTTAATATTTTTTTTTAAAATCAATTTGTTGAATAGTTCGCGAGCTCGCCGAATAGTTCGTTACGTCCATGAACTCAATGAACAGTCTCGCTAGACTTATTTTTAAATGAGCTAAAAAATTCATGGTTCAATTCGCTCGTTTTTTGGCGAGTTACGAGCCGAACTCGTTTTGACACCCCTATAACTGTGAGCTTTCATTAACCATCTACGATTTGGTTCGCGAGTTGATGGGTTTTTTAATTTTATTTTTATATTTTATTTATAAAAATAATAATTAATTTATTTGTTATTAGATATATATATATATATGGATAATTTATTCTATATACTTAAATTTAATGTTTGAATATTTAAATTTTCTATTAAAATATTATTTATTTAGTATTTTTTACAATATAAATAGAAATATTATATTTTATTTTGACTCACAAACGGACTCATTTAGATTATAAAAAAGACGAATCGAATTTTTTTTTTTGGTTCGTTTGAAAATGAACCTCAATCGGTGAATCCAAAACGAGCCAATTCGTTTTACTGAGCCATGTTTTCACAAATTAAAGTAATGACAGCTTTTTATAATAACGTGTTTAGTTAAAAATACAACTGGCATGCATATCTATCTCTGTAAGTACTCTATGTATAGATGACATTAGAAACGTGTGTGACCATTTATCTACTACAATATGCTCGTGTGTGTGTGTATATATATATATATATATATATATATATATGCATGCATACATATACGTGGATTGAAAATCATGCCGTGTTCTATACAAATAATTTACACATTGAGCCAGTTGCATATATCGTGCTAAAATGGTGAATTGACATATGTGATGTGTGTATATATATTAATGCGATTCAGATAGAAATAAGAATGGGTGTATATATATACACACACATACACACAAACATATATGGCATATATAAGGAAGGAATATTATAAATAGATTTCAAATACGTCATACTTTTGTATATAAAATGGAGCCGATGTCACGGGATTTGTTTGTGAAGTTTGAAGTCAAAATTACAGAGAGGCCGTGAGGGAAAGATAATGATGTTTAATGATTAGAGTTGAATCCTCATTCAATCCATACATATAATTTATTTATATTTACTGTAACAGGTCTATATGTATCATCTTAAAATTCGATTTTAACAGTATCGAATATATAATTTTATTTTTACAAAATGATAAAACCAAATAGATGTACTTTTATTTTTAAAAGGAAGTCTAAATCCAGAGATAATTAAATCTTATTCTAACAAGCTAGAGGTTGTTGGGTGTGAATAGAGTTTATTCGATTGCACCAAAACCATTGTAAATTAAATATGGTTTCCAGCTAATGCATATTTTATCCTTTTTATTCCCAATTAATCAAATTTATTTTATTACAAAAAAAAAATCAGTATGGACTGTTCATTAGGGGTAGGTACGGGTCGGATACCCGGGAAAATCGAGAGATTTGGATTTGGATTCGAAAGACTCGGGTATTTAACTATAAGATTTGTATCCGGGATTTGGTATTTACGAGTATTTGGGGTACGAGTATCCGGAATAATGGTCGGGTATTCACGGGTATTTGGATCCGGATTTATTTAAGAAAAACAACAATATTCGTATATAAAATTTTCAAAAAATGAAGATATATTTATAAAAATTGATGAATTATGATAAAATATACGAGACAAAAGAGATAATAGGAGATAAATAATAATAAATTTAATTTTTTTGAATTAATATTAAAAAATATGTTATTATTTAATCTAAAATAATTATATTTTATAAAAATGTTATATAAATATAAGATATAATTATTTATAATCATAATAGTCAGGTACCCGTGGGTATCCGGTTTTAAAAATTCTATTATTTGGATTTGGATTCGGATTGACGGATATTAAAAAATCGGGATTTGGATTTGGATTTGAAAATTACGAGTACCCTAAAATCGGGTATCCGTGAAACGAGTATCCGACGGATACCCGATTTTCGGGTATTTGTGCCCAGCCCTACCGTCCACAAATCATACGCGTACGGCAAATTAACTATACGAAAATATTACCAATTACCGAAAATTTTAAAATAAAAATCATATGACTTCAACTCTCTTTCTCTCTCTCTCTCTATATATATATATGTGTGTCATATGTGTGTATGTATGTGACAACACGGGACTTGATTAAAGTTGGATTTGTCCTATACAAACAGTGATTGAAATATTACTATTATATAATCTACTAATTATGGTAATATGGAGAGACATGGAGATAAGATCAGCAGTCAAATCACATAAAACATGAACAGTGTTCATTGAACACTACCATTTTTCACTTACTAGGCTTCTGAATTTAACTTTGCAACTTTTATATATATATATATATATATATAATGACCACAGATTGATTAGCACACCGTAAAACGAATAATCTGCGTGAATGTAGCTTTTAAAATGCAAAGGGAAATATCATTTTTGGCAATTAAATTAACCATTTAAAATGTTCTTTTCTTTTCGCATAAATATATATACATATATTAATTGTGTTATTCTCATGTAATGTTTTTTTATTTGGAAATAAGACGCTGTGTTGTTGTATTTTCACGTACTATTTTTTTTAACACTATTCAGTTCGTATTTAGTAAATAATTATACATATGCGCATTATACATATATCATATATATATATAATATCGATCTTCATCACATCTTCTATTACTTTCTCTTGTTCTTGGTTTTTGTTCACTACCTAATTTAATTATAATCATAGATATTTATATCATTTTCTAACATTAAAATAAATATTTGTAGCACTCTTAGGACTAACGGGATGTTTGAAAAAGACAAAAAATATATTATAATACTTTGGGAAATGGTGACACGAGAAAGTCCGACCATCTTATGTTAAAAGTTTACCTTTTGAATTTGGTTGCTATATATTTTAGAATTAAAAAAGACCAATCATTAGAGGATTAGGATACCGGCTTTTTTAACCATTTTGACATTTTCTTTTAGAGAAGATTATATAAAAATACGCAAACTTAATTTATAAAATGGATTTAATTTGATAAATAAATAAATACATTAAATGTACAAAAAAAATCATCAAAATATTGAACACAATTTCCTACACATCGTCGATGTAATTTTTTTTTTTTTGAATAAATGGAACTGCTCTTCTAATCAAATCGTTGATCGTACCATATGCCAAATTTGAACCAAACACAATTTATTTGATTATTAATACCCACTGCACAAACAGAGACAAATAAACGTAGGTACAATTTCCATAACTGTCACATGGGTTTCCTCTCTGACAATGGCGTGAATCTTATTGAGCTAACCATGAAAAAAAACTATATAACTAGCTATATAATGGAATAGGGGTAAGGAATATGATAATTCTTCACTAATCAATGCTTAATTTTGATTAATTAACGGCGGAGCAAACTCTCCGAATTTCCCCATTTGCCCCTGTCTTCACCCCAATATTACTCATCTTGACCATCGACCTCGCAAACTCAGCGTTGAAACTCCCTCTCGGGCTCAAGAACTGTTGCACAACGGCTCTGGTCGAGGGGTCATTCCAGAGGCTTTGGTCGGACTGGAGGATTCCACGGCCGGTCCTAAGATTGTTGTAGAAGGACGTGTCGAAGGTGTTTGCGCTTCCGGTGTCGAGGTCCACCCTTCTCGAACCGTCGCCGTTTTGAGGACAAAGAGTTTGTAACTGAGGTAAGAAGGTCGCGTCAATGGTCGGATCCGCAGTGCTTCCGGTCGTGTTGAAGAGTCTGTTCCTGAAGAACTGGCAAGCCGTCGTCCCTATCGTGTGCCCTCCTGTTAATTTACACCATTCAATAATCTTTTCAGCAGTGGTTTGTATATATGTGTGTGTATACATATGTAGTGTATAAATGTTTTTGAAATTTTTGTATGAGATGATGGAGGAAAGTGGATACCAACGAGAGCGACGAGATCACGGATATTGAGACCGAAAGCACCAAACTTGCGAAGTTGAACGGCGACGGGATCGCTCGGAGCTGGGAGATTGTTGACGTTCGATGCCAACGAAACCCTTCCGTCTCTACGTCCTGTTGGGACTTGCCAACTTTGACCTCTCGTCTGCATGCATGCATCATGCATACGTTAATTCACGTGTTGCATTATATCACGTACTTTCACATTACATGTATATTTTTTTTTGTTTTTTTTTTAAAAAAAAAACATGTATATGTTTATAAGTGTTCGTAACAAGTGAATAGAAACGGATTTGCTTACGATGACGACGGAGTCACGAGCGGCTAGGGCCCAGATATCGGCACATGAGACGACGCCGGGGCCAGGG